TGTAACGGGCCAGGTATTTACCGTTACTAGCTTACACGTAGCGATGAGGAAGCGTACTTAGCACGACAAGATTCAATTCTCGGTAAAATAAAACTCTGATTTAATTTTGCTCCAGGGCGGAACCCTGTGGTCCCCATGTAATATCCAGGTCGAGCCTGGATGGAGATTTTCTCGTCTCCACGATTTGATTCCTGTCTACTTCCTTTTGAAGGGCTCCGGACGTCCTTGACCTAAAATTTCGCTCTTCAGGAGCTCCAACACGTTGATTGCTGCGTTCACGTCGCGGTCCCAGTATCAAGCCCCGCAGCCCTCGTGGTCGCAGCGGAGCACTCCGTAACATTTCTTCTCCTCGAACTATACTTCTGGTCGATTACGTATCAGAGCCATTCTCTTACGCTTCTTTCGCTTCATGAGCTTGGTGTCGACGAGATATTGAACAGACGAAAGTGTCTGGTGGCACTGCGAGTAGAGATTCCTCGTTCTGAACTCGTCCATGGAGATCACCATCGCGCGCTTCTGAAGCGCGTGCTTCAACCCTTTCACTGGACTGTATGCATGACCTCTGATACCATTGCGCTTACTCCAGTCTCCGTACGCCACACATGTCTTCGTGCCGACCACTGGAACGATGCGTTTGGCTATTGCATCTACCGCAACACGTGCCATTCGCTTCCTGAAGAATTTCCACTTAAGAAACGGGTGGTCAGCACAGAATTCAAGTAGGAACTTGGCGTGGCGCCAGACGTAGTCGAGACACTCCAAATACTTCTTAAAACTTGCCGTCCTGAACGACGGCATGTTGACAATGACTCTTTGATATTCTTGATCTCGTTTCTTCAGACACCCACTCCACTCTCGAAATTTGTTGAACCCGGTCAAGTGTCAATATTCACGCGTACTGATGCGAACTACATCTCGGTCGAATTGGTGCTGAGGAGCCTTGGGTCTACGTATCCAGCGTGGGCGATTGCTCTTCCTTCGCTGTGATCCAAGTGTCTTCTTACCACGCCGGGATCTGCGTCTTCGTTGTCGAAAGTGTCTTTTCACATTAGAGCGTAGATCTTCTGTGACGGCCGTACAAAGGGCTCGCATCCCTGGTTCCAGTCCAACGATGACGTCCGGCACACACCCAGCAAGGATAACGGGGTGATCAGAAGACCTCTTTTCCGCTCTCTCCTCGCCATTTTTCTCTGTCTTGGGCCGAAAGAGCAGAATAGATGCGCCGTATCCATCCGTGGTGACCTGGTTTGCAAAGAGGTGGCTAGCGTGCTCATATTTCCCTTCTACGGGGAGGCTCGCAACTCGGGCTTGGGGAGAGGGCACTGAGGACTTCTCGTTTTAAACCTCGATATGTCAAAGCGTTGCGCACCACCACTCAACGGTTTTGCTGAAAAGATTCCGTTGAAACCTCCAATCTGCCAGCAAAACTCCTTCTCCCGCTTCTTGATGCGTAGGTAGAGTCCTGCAAGGGTGGTTCCGTTAATCTTGATGTGCGACGCCGTGTATGTCGTGGAGAAGGGAAAGAGTGAGAACGCACGCACTCCCTTCTCATTGGGCTCTTTTTTCATCCTCTTCTCAACCACTCCTTGGAACTCCCAGATCAATCGAACGTAAAAAGGCCAATCCGTTTTCACCGATGCGGTTTGGCCATTGTATCCACTGCTCGCTCCATTCGACGTCACACGGAGTAAGAGCGTCCCGTATTTGGAGGGCTTCCACCACATCCGTCTCATCGGTGCTGTAGCACGCGTACATAATTTCTCTCACAAGGAGCGCTTTTTTCTTTTTCTCTTTCTTGTCGAGATTGCTATCCAACCCTCCAAATGTAATATGCACGTAGAGCCTCAGGCGCTTTGCAAAATGCTGACGAATCATCACTCCAGCGTTCACAACCATTTGTTCACAAAGTTCAGCCTTCAGCCGAGAGTAGTCGACGAGGTTACGCACCTCCTCAAGGCCTGCGAGTGCTCGCTTCTCTTTATACACCCGGTACGACTCCCAGAGCTCGGGGTTCTTCCTAGTGATGAGATTAGTTTTGGAAGTAGTTGCGCTGCAGGAACAGCAGTGGTCGTAGAAGGTCTTGTCAGTGTAGTCCGGCGGAATGTCGTCCTCTAGACATCGAAGCGTGTGGAGGTTTACGAGATGCCAAGCTTCCATCCGAATCTGCTGCATCTCGCGGGCGCTGCGGCGAATTTCATCACGGAGAAGTGGGTCCTTGTAGATGGAATTTAGTTTGCACGTGACACTGCAGTACTCCTTGCCCTTCTTGAACTTGTTCTCCTTGGGTGTACCGATGGACTTCCTTCCTTGCGGTTGTGATGAAGTATTGTTGCCGTCTATCCTCGTAGTGCCATGCCTTCCGTCCGACATCCGTCGCAGTCTTAGCTCCACCACCTTTGACGAAATAGTGGCCGGGATTTCCGAAGATCCCGGCCACTATTTCGTCAAAGGTGGTGGAGCTAAGACTTCGACGGATGTGGCCATATCCAAGTATCCTGAGAAGCCAACGTAGCCATTGAATTAAGAAAAATAGATTTGAATTGGACCAACTACATGTAGCGCTAAAACCAGGTGCAACTCGGCTCAGTGGTCGTTTGGCATAGCTGTTGCAGATATGAAAACAATGAAACGAATGCTGGATGTGAACACTGTAACGAATGCGCAATGCAACAACCATGTATTATATACGACGAGATAACGACTAACTTCTCGTTTTTCCAGCACCTCGTCACAAGCGAAATCTCTGACATCGTCGCCTATGGAGACGATTGAGCCATCGGAGGTCATTGCAGACGTCACGGAAAATGTGAACGATGATGTTGAGAGTGGAAAGAAGACTGCAGAATCCACCTTCACATTAACAATCACCTTCCAAGCTGCTCATGAAGCGCTTGTTCATGATCGATCGATTGTGCGATCTGTGGGCAGAATAATCTACTCAGCCATCTACTTTGGTCTCTTTACGGCCATGCTGTTCACTCATATCCCTACATCACGAATGTATGAACAAGCCTATGCAGTTTCCTCGATATTGGCTCAGTCAGGTGACGATACAGTGACTCCAACTTCGCCTATTAAGTTTTACAACATTGGCCAGCTCGGCGATGTATTCGACTGGCTTAATAACGCCTTCGTTCCATCGGTATTCGTGACTCAAGATCAGAATGGAGTAGATCTACCATCCGAAGACTACGCTCGCATAGGATTGTTCAATAAGGGCCTTGGTGGTGTACTAATTGAGGTCTACAGAAAGTCGACAGTTGATTGTGGGGCAGATGGCTCTCTCTACATGGTTTACCCAGTGTGTCATGCATACCAAGGTCTTGACAACGAATACCAGTCTTACTTACTCATATTCAGTCTCAATGCCACCGAGGCATTGGAAGGTCTTTCTGACTGGAAGAACCAGAATTGGATCGACAATTCGACAGACAAAGTGGTAATTTCAGTTTTGACCTACAACGGGGAGCTTGAAGGCTACGTAGTCACAGAATTAACGCTGGAATTCCACGCTGGTGGCTATATTACGCCTAAGGCTAAAGCGAGACCAACAATTTCGATTCCTTACGGGAAGAAAAGTTCATACGTGAACGATATTCTTGTTTGGATCTGGTGGATTGTTGCACTAGTATGGGCGATCTCGTGCGTTTTGGAGTGGCGTAAGAAGGAAAACCGTCCATCTCGACCTAGCATGATCACTCGACTGTTTGGTCTCTTCATCGTTGAAGCTGTCATGTGTGTGTTCTACGCTATTTGGGCTAGCATTGCGAGTCTGTTGAATGACTATGATTTCCAAGACTCTCTCTGGAAGCTCGCAGATCCCTACGCTCTTGATGTTAACGGAACCGAAGACGACATTCGATCTCTCAACGTTGTGATCGACAATTTAAAACGGATCGCTGATCTCACTTCGGCACTTCGAGTGGTTGGTGCCGTCATAATTGCGCTGATCGGTTTGCAAATTCTCAATCGCTTCCGGTTCCACCCACAGCTTAACATTCTCACGCGTACTGTTACAAGCGCTTTGAAACAATTTGCAGCGTTTTTCATCGTTTTTATCGTCATCTTCTTGACGTTCACGATCATCGGGTCGATGATTTTTGGCGATCGAGCAAATGAGTTTTCTTCGCTCGACAACTCGATGGCTTCGTGCATTAATATGCTCTTTGGCGTGTTCGACTTCGAGTCGATAAAAGATCTCCAGTTTTCCGTCGCATTCTATTGGATCTACATGGTCGTTGTCAGTCTGGTACTGATGAATATGATGTTGGCTATCGTTCTTGACGCCTATGATGAAGTTAGTAAAGAAAGTTACAAGAAAGCTGCCAACATGAAACTCGCGAACCGTGTTGTAACAATTTGCGGGGATGTGGTGAGTGAGGTAAGTAAAATGCTATTTGCTCGACGCAGCGTAGTTTCACGTGGAAAGATTAGACCACGTCTTCTGGAACACATTCTCCAGCGAAAAATTAAGGAGAACCCGCATACAGTTTTAAGTCTAGAATCGTTGAAGACATTGTTTCCGGATGTCGACATTGGCTTGGAGGTTTATCAAGCCACACTCCAGCATATTGAAAATGGTATTCTCATCGTTGAAGCGCTCAAAACCGAAGAAATTAGAAATTTAGCGATATCCTAAATCGAGAATTCATAAAGCCACGGATTTCCATTATTTCTCTAACGTTTGAATTGTCACTTCCAGGGATCGAGTTTATCGCCACGCAACAAGCAGACAGTTTTCAAGGCTGTCCTTGGTGTCACAATAGTGAACAAGTCGAGTCTTCAGCTGCAACTGCGCCAAATACGCCGCACGCCCTGCGTCGATAATACGTTTGCATTTCCTGCCCAAAACTGCACGATCGTCTTTGCTGCAGTTGTCAAACCAAAGGAAATGTAAAATATCAGACAATTCATCTTTGGCACATCCGTAAGTAAAAGTACTTTGACCGTACCTGATGCCGAGAATGTGCTGCACGGCGTCACCCTCAAGACCCATTCCGCAGGTGGTCCAAGACGTCATACTAGTGAGTAACTCAAACTCTTCGGGCTTGAAACCTTGCGACAGGAAAAATTCTGGGTTCGCATAGTCCTCCCATGCACACACATGATGGCAGCAGAGCGCGATTGCCAAGCCCTGGAAACTAGAACTGATAGAAGTGGCACCTTCTAATGGCGTAACTTTATCACTCTTGAACTCAGGAAGTGTTTGTGCAATGGCTCGTAGCGACAGATCTGTTGCTACACCACACAAATGCTTGGACATGCAGACGACGGGTTTGTTCAAAATCTCTTGCATACCGGCAAAATTCAGGTGGCGAATATCGATCTTTGCCCGTAGCGTAGACGAATTTTCCTTTGCAGCTTCATCAACCTTGCCGTCACCGCCAATAAAGCGATCTGCCTTGCCCCGAGTATGCGCCCGATCAATCAGCACGTACAGACTGTCCGGGTACATCTGTGCTAGCGCTAAAGACAGCATTCCTCTCCCAGCTCCAAGCTCCACGAAAGCTGCATTTGGGTCTTCAAGCAATTGCACCTTCTCCATGTGTCCGATGATCGATGCTTGCTGCTCAATGTGTCGCAACACGCTCTTGGATGCTCCGGCCTTCTTCTTCTCTTCAAAAAGCTGGTCACAGCATTTGTGGTGCAGCTTCTCCAGTGCCAATTCACCAACACAAGAAGCATACGCCACCTCAATGCGTTTTCGCAGATCTGCAAAGTCGATAGCTTGAAGTTTATCAATGATGCCTTGTTGCTCTTGAGCTGACGGTGTTGAATGTTCATCCTCCTTCTCTACTGCAGGTTCTTCAGTATCTGAAGCTTTGCTGTCTTCCTTACCGCTGCACTGCGAACCAGAGTTGATGTTGTGACTATAATATGGCAGCTTCTTCATGGCATCAGCATCCTTAACGCGGTTGCAGACTAACACGTGCTTGGCCAGGTCGTACTCGTACACCGTGTGCGACGCGTCCACCGGACACGGTACACGGCGACGTGTGGCAGCCTTGAACTTCTGCGACTTCTTGCTTACTACTGTGTCATTATCAGGTAAGTGGTTGCCGCAGAATAGCGAGCCTGACACTCTGCATAATAACCATGGTCAGGTAAAGTCTGCAATCATTTCGATACGTTATGATACATGGAGTGTTATTCACCTGGAGATGTTGCAGTAGCGGTTTTTCCGCACCACCCTGAACATACAGCGGTCCCACTGGCCACCGTCCTTGGCCTCAGCCTTGACTTGCTTGCGGCGCTTGCGCTGGGCGTCGCGGGAGAGCTGCTCGGCGCTCCGCTTGGTCTCCATGATCGTGACTGGAGCGGCTGAAAGGTTTATATGATTGGTCCAAATGTATATTTGAAGTAACAGGATTGGACGAAATCAGTTTTTGACAGTTTTGCTAGTCATGGAGGACAACGCAGAGCTCCAGGTACGACACGTTGATGCCAGCGTTGCAGGCATCATACGACGAGAATTGAGAGCTATTCAGCTGGATATGAGTGACCTTCATCTTACGCTTAATGTTGTGTTCAATTTGTTGCGTTTTGTATGGATTTAGAACGAGGAGATCGAAGTTTTACAGGTGATTCCCATAGGTGACGGTCGGTTAGTAGTATCGAACACTTTTATTTAACGTTTTTCTTTTCACTGATGCAGTCCATTTTCGAGGATGAATTCCAGCTCAAGAGCGATTTGGATCAACCGGGCATTGCGAGATCCTTCACCATCTCAGTGCCCGGACCTCACGCCATCGTCCTGCTAGTGCATCTGCCTCAGGGATACCCGTCCACAGACGCTCCAATCGCTGAAGTGTACGAGTCTTTCGGACTCACAAACGTCCAACGAGATGAAATCCTCGAGGACCTGGTACGTCGGTGGCTGCATAAATTGTCAACTATAGCTCTAACAGTTCGTACAGGCTGCTATCTTCGAGCGATCGAGCGGCCAAGTGTGTCTCTACGAATGGATCGAAGATGTAAGGGAGAAATACGCCAACGCTGAGCTAGATTCCGCTCAAGTGGATGCCAATGAAGACAGTGATGAAGAGGGAATAGCAGGCCCAGTTCGACTTGATACTGTGGAGTACTTCGAGTCCGACTCCCAGACTCTCCGACCTCGTGTACGCACAGCTCAACTGGTGCGCGATGTGGAGCGTGAAGCGAAGATTGCACCGCTGATCGTCCATGGCACGGCGATCGTTGATCGGAAAAGCACTTTTATCGCCCATGCGTGTCCCGTCAAATGCGTTGAGGACGTTCGCTCCTTCCTCGCTCTCTTACTGGACGATCGCAAGATTGAGCGAGCGATCCACAACATGTTGGCGTATCGAATCATTGGCGAGTTCACCGTCAAGGACAATGACGAGGATGGCGAGCACGGAGCTGGAAGTAAACTGTCGAATCTGCTGGAGCTGCTTAAAGCTGAGAACGTAGCTGTAGTGGTGACGCGTTGGTACGGCGGGATTAAACTGGGTCCTGATCGGTTCAAGCACATCAACGCTAGCGCTCGACAGGTACTGGAAGACAATGGCTTCTTGGATGAAGCAAACCTCCATGGCTCCAAGAAAAAAGGCAAGCGGTAATGTAGGGACACCTGTGCTCACGGTATTGTGTTCTTGTCTAGTGGGTTAGTGGTGCAAATCGTTATGAATGTACCTTAACGACGCCATTTCTGACTGGATTGTCTTACAAAATGCGGTTTCCAAGTGCCGACGAGATGAGCATGAGCGCCATGTCGACTGTAATCTGAGCTCCGTTTCCAGGCGCCAACATGGGGTTCACTTCGACCATGTCCAGACCCACCATCAAGTTGGTTTCGGCCACAGCTTCAGCAACGTAGTGAGCCTCGCGCCAGGTGAGTCCGCCACGCACACGTGTGCCCGTGGAAGGAGCCACCAGTGGATCCACTGCGTCAATGTCGTAGCTCATGTGCAGTGGACGCTGCTTCTTGCCGCACAGGTGGTCCAGCGCCATCTCCATCGTCTTGCCAATGCCGTAGCGGTCCACTTCTTGCATCGAGAACGCCTTGATGCCCTTCTCATGAATGACGCGACGTTCAAACGTGTCGACGTCACGCAGACCCACATACACGAGCTGCTCCGGTTTCATCGTGGGGCCATTAACGAGCCATTCGAAGCCTGGAACCTTGGAGCTGTCCACCATACCGTCCATGAGGAAGGCGATTGGCATGCCGTGCATGTTCCCAGAGTCCGAATCCGCTGGCGTGTTGATGTCAGCGTGGGCATCCACCCAGATAACACCAGCGTCCGGGTGCACAGACAGCAATCCTGCAAGCGATCCAGCTCCAATGGTGTGGTCACCACCCAGCACCAAGCAAAACTTGCCTTCTCCAGATTTCTGCTTGAAGATCTCGTACAACTGCTTCGTTCCATTGCCAACTTCACAAAAAATGTCAATTCTTCGTAAGAATAACGCATAAAAAAAGATCTTCTCACCGGGGAAGCACTGCTTGGCTTTGCCGTAGCGTGGGTCCAGTACCGGGTCGTTAGAGGATGGCGCCACGAAGCTGAGGTTCCCATTCTCCTCGACGGACCAGCCCAGACCCACCAGAGTCTTGTGCAATCCCGCCTCGCGCAGTTGATCCGGGCCACTGTCCGTGCCCAGTAGTGGCTGGCCATCTGTGTTATAGTATAGTAAGGTAATGGTAAGTCTGCTGTAAGGTTGGAGGTAGGAGGGCAGACGTACACGTCATGGGGGCACCGATAATTGACACGGTTTGTGGCAGGTTCAGCTTCGGGTTGCCGTGGGCCCCAGCGTGGAAGTGAGGACGCACTTGGTCCCATTGGCGGCTGGAGGAGCTGGAGATGCCGCGCTGCTGCACGCGGCGCAGGAGCGAGGAGGAAGCGCGACGCAGCATTGGATGGTAAGAGTGAAGGTCTTGACACTTGGGCAGATCTGGAAGTGATACTAAGGGAATCAATAGTCGCACGTGTTTTACCCTGCGAAAGTCGATTGATGTGCTGAAAGACTTCAACCACAAGGCAAGACTTGGTTTCAGTATGCTGGCCAGCGCTAAACAAATGTGAGAGAGGATTCTGGCAACTTGCATGGTAATACTTGCAAAGTAGTGAATTGTGCAGGAAGAGGACTGTGACCCAACTTGCTACTGGCAGCATAGGATCTCTGTTCGTCTACAGGTTACAGGTAGAGAGATGGACGGCTGACTCATTTTGCCGCTCCGTCTCGGTTTTCCATGGCAAACCGTTGGCTGGCAATCAAGCAGCGAAGTTGATGCATCCTGTTTGAAGTTATCCTCCAAGCTTCACAGACCTCCTTGCGGTCCTCACTTGTTGCTCCTTTTCTTGCGACTCTGGACGGATACCAACGAATCGTTGGTCAATATCCGTGCCCCGCCTCACCGTGATGCACAACTTGAGGCTCACCTCCGACGTGATTCAACAGCTTCCAAGCTAGGCTTCTGATGTACACGATAAATACAATGAGATTGAGCACGCCAACAATGCTATGGCACGCTCGACTTGCGAGCTGCGACCAATCTTACGCTAAGAAGCGACCATCAGCGATGCAGAAGGTTAGACACGAATGGATGGCTCTGGCAGACTCGTCCGTGAAGATCAATGCTGCTAGCTCAACTTCACTCGAGAAATCTTTAAATTGCTTCTGTGTGTGGTCGTGGGCCGGGTGAGAAGCTGCTCTTCAGTGCTGAAGTTGACTCAATGTTGTCAACGAAAAGAACTCGACAGTGGTGCAAATCCGAACGCTTGTCCAGCAGTCGCACAAGTCGCAGATCTGTGTGGTCGCGGTACACACAATCTATCACACAGGAGACCACCAGAAGATGCCGTGGAACGCGAACAACAACCCGGCAGGCGAGATCCGCGCGCCCGCCATGGCGGCGGTGCTCCGTCTCAAGAAGCAGCAGCAAGGGTCCATGGACACAGGCGTTGTCTGGACGCGCTCGCTGAGTGTCGAGGAGCTGGACGAGCTGGACATCACGTCTGAGCAATTGCGTCATTGCGCGTTGGTGCATCCGGAAGACTTCCCCGTCGATGCTTCAGGCCCCGACGGCGCCGCTCTGCTTCACCCTAGACTGCACGCGCAGTTCGTAGTATCTGTACGTCCGCATGATGCAGTCCCACGTGGCTCCATCGCCTTATCACAACCACAAATGATCAATCTGGAGCTCTGCAGGCTCCAAACGGAGAATTGGACGCTCTTTACTGATCGAGTGCCTACTGCAAATGCAGTGGCAATTGAAATTCGCCCACTGCTAGAGGAACAAGACGGGGAGGGCAGTGACGAGGATATGGGTGTTGCAACACAGCCACCAACAGCTCCGATCGTGACGGATGCCAAGGAGTTTGCAGCAGCATTCGCCAAGTTTACGTGGCAACGAGTACTGACTGAGCATGAGCGACTTGTGATGCCGTACAAGGATGGCCGCAACTATTTCGTCCGCGTACTGGAAATCGATGCCGAGGACGAGGACGAGACAGACTTCACGATGCCGGACTCGTATCGCGGTCGTGTGGACGAAGACGTTCAGGTTTTCGTATCGTCAGAAGGAGGCCAATCTCCGGCGTTTGAGCTGTTAAACGTCACGCCAATTAGTTCTGCTGGACTGGCGTCTATGCGCTCGGATGTAGTCACGGTACTCACGAATGACGAGGAGGAGTTCCCCGTCAAGAAGAAGCTGCTGTTCCCATGTATTAAACTGTCGTCGGCTGTGCTATCGGGCAAGGGGGTACATAAGGACGCATCTACTACAATCGAAGTGGACGTGGACTGCTGCACATTTGATCGCGTTCTTCTGTATCTTGAGCACGAAGCTCGTAACGACGGCACCGAGTTTCAATTCGATCCCTCAGTCACAGACGATCTGTTAGCTGCTGCTATCACGGTGGGGTGTATCGGTCTACAGGAGGTTTGTCAGCGACGCTTTGGCGAGTTCGAGACACGCGTGCGTAAGGAAGCTATTCGCTGGGAGGAGGTTGTTCACCGCAATGAGGCGGGCGAGGTGTGGCTTGTTATGCAAGGAATGGTGCTGGACATTACACGTTGGATCCCTGAACATCCCGGTGGCTCCGAGTTAATCGCCCAGGAAGCGATGAATGTGGACTCGACCGTCATGTTCGAGATCTACCATGCCAGTCGCCAGTCTTTTCGTTACCTCAAGCAGTTCTACATCGGAGAACTCTCTGAGTTTGACATTTCTGCCATGCCCAAATCGAAAGAACAGCCTTCTGAAGCATTTATTCAAGAGCTGCAGCAGTACACGACGTGGCGCATTAAACCGCAGGAGCACAGCTTCAAAAGCTTTTAATGGTGGCTCGTTATGATGAAAGAAATCCCTATTTGTTAGCATTTACTCCTACTGTTCTTGTAGGACACTGTGGAAGATGAGGAGCATTTCGGAGTACACACAGTGCCTCCGATGTGTGTGTATTGACTTGTTGTCCCACAGCGTAGTAACCATCAAGTACAGGTTGAGCTGCTGACGACCCAAGCGGGCAGTACACGTTGTCGGCCCCACAGGCGTGTTGCTGCGGATCTGGAGATCCAACGCCACACCAGTAACCGGGGGAACAAGGCGCACAAAATTTGCCATTTCGAGAGTACGACCCTGCGGGACAGGGCGATTGCTTTGCTGCTATTGAACCTCGTGGACAAACGTGTCCGTCTTGGCATTTCCCCGAGCAGGTTTGAGACGAAAGACCGGAAGTGGCTCCGTACGTGCCTTCAGGACAAAGATATTGAATGCCACCGACGCAATAGCTTCCAGGTGGACAAATGGTTTCGTCTGTACGAAGACCCCCTTGTGTTGCCACGGTGAAATGCCCGGTATCGACAGCGGTTGGTACGGAAGAACCTTGGCGACAAAATGATGTTCTTAGCGTGCACGGATGCTGGCTGTAGTCTGCTGTTCCTATCGGACTGCAAACACAGTCAGTTCAAGAACTTGAAGGTGTGGGAACGTCGATAACTTTACCAGTAGAAACCGGCAGGACATGGAGCAGTGCATGCAGCCGTCGACAAGCCATCGGTTGCGCCGTAGGTTCCTGCCGGACAAAGTCTCTTAACACCGCCAGAGCAATACGAACCTTTATCGCAAATATGGTGGTTTGATCGTGTGGTTTGGTTCTGAATGGCAAGCGAGTTCCCTTCTACATACTGCAGTGCTAGCTGCTCTCCAGTGAAGGATGTTCCAGTGTACACTTTCCAAGTGGTGTAGTAACCTGCCGTAGCGGTTGTTGGTGCGGACGAACCTTTGGGGCAAAACTTGTCAACTGCTCCACACTCTAGCGGCACTGTTGTCGCGAGTGGGCAGTAGTATCCCGCTGGACAAGGTGAAGGAACGCACGACAACACTCCATTGACTGTAGAGCAAATACTCGAGCATGCTGAGCTCATGGGACCTGGTGTCGCCCCGTAAGTCCCTGCAGGGCATGGCGCTGGAGTGATCGTCCCAATTTCACTGCAGCGAAAGTGAAGTAAGGTTAAAGTGACCCGAATCAACACTGAAAGCCTTTGAACGTACCAGTAGTAGCCAACTGGGCAGAGCCCGCTACAATGAGCAGTTGTTAGACCGAGTTCGCCTCCATACGTACCAGGAGGACACGGGATTGGAACTGCCGTTGCTTTGGGGCAGTACGATCCTTTAGGGCATGGTGCTGTGCACTCTGGCGTAGTGACTCTTGTTGATTCTCCAAATACACCGGCAGGACAAGCTCGTCGTACTCCGAAGACGCAGTAGTAACCTTTTTCGCAGCGTATTTGCTGGCCAGCGCCTTGCGAAGTTGTCTGGTCGGATGGAAAGGTGATCGTGTAATACCCTTCATCCACGCGACGACGTTCAGCACTACCCGGTGGACAGTAGAAGACGGAAGTACCGCAAGGCTTTTCTCGAGATGAAGTCGACCCTGTTGGGCAGAAAAACCCAGCGGCGCACAGCCCAGAGCACGATGAAGAGATGAGGCCTGGTACAGCGCCAAACGTGCCTCCTGGACATTGCAAACACTTAACTCCATCGAAATACGTTCCAGCAATGCAAGCGAGCGCTTCGGTTGTGGGAATCGAAGCAATCGTCACAGAGATACACCATGCTACTGGTGTCAACCTTCCCATTGCGATGAAGACCGACGGATCTTAAACGGGCAAGGATGTGAAGAGACGCATTTTTACAATTTCTGTCGCGATGGAGCAGGATGCTGCTTCGCGGGCGCAATCGTTGCAACTATTGAAGAGCAAGCTACGAAGAAGACGATCAAAGGTGAACAACCGCATTGTCTTAACTTGCGAAGACTTGACACCAAACCAGTTAGAGGAAAGAAACCAACAGTCCAGTCCAACAGAACCAGAACTGAGCGAATTGCAAGTAAAGCGTTCATCGAGTGAAGAGGCTCGAGATACCAAGTTACCAGATGCTGAGACTTCAATAACCCCGGGAAGCTGCAATCAGGACGAGATTTCGGTGGCGGAGCTGAGGAAGGAGCTCTCAGAGCTAAAGGGAAAGTCCGCATTACCAATCGAGCACCAGGCAAATGAGCTTATGGCGCTCTCCGACCCCGCGCTGGCTCCGCTTCCGATGAAGTTGAAGAGCTACACCAAGATGGTGATTCAGTGGTCATGTGACACATGCAAGCGCGAGTGTATCCCTGTTCGCGAGGAAAGCCGATGTCTTTGGTATTGTTTTTACCGATTGATCTCTACTGCCATACTGGAATTAATTTTTTTTACCAACTTTTACAGCGGACATCGATACAAGGAACATCCGAGTAGTGTCAACGATCCTCGTGTGAAATCTCCAGCAGAGTTCCGCGCTTTCGCGTGTACATCGGCCAAGTGTTCGTGTAGAGCTTTCTTCTATGTTGTGGCGGAAGGCGCCTGGATCCTACGATGCCGCTGCAAACATAGGCACACGGATCACGACCCGAGCAGGAAACCATTTGTCTGCCAAAAGACCAAGTGCGGCTGTCAAGGATTTGACAGGTGCGTACATGCAAATTTTTGCAAGTCGCACGAGTGCAAATTTCGATCTTACAACTCGGGTTGTTGTGTATCAAAAATCCACCGTATCTTGGTACTCTATAGCCCGTGGGTTTGCAATTGCGATCACCCGTGGAGCGCACACCGCCAGCATCGCGTCGAGAAGAAGTTCGACCCGCTGCAAGTGCTGCAATCCCAGTTCACTGCTCCGGAGCTCAACACGGTGCATCGGACGGACTTGCTGGCCTCTCCACTGAACCTGCGGCTCTGATGCAGCTCAACTTCGCTGGCAACGTTGTTCAATCCAGCTGACCTTACATTTGACACCCGCGCCGGCTGGAGCAAAGCTCTTGAGTTGGACGCTGCGAAAATCCATCGGCTGTCAAGCGGTTGCAGTCGAAATTCGATCGTAATTTCCTCATCGAAAGGCCTTTGCAAGTTGGTAACGAGCCAAAACTTTTGCTTTAAGATGTACGTTCCTACGCAGGGGTGTGTTTTGGTGTACTGTATCATCACCGAAAGCCTTAGAGGCCATCGCAAGCTTGCGGCTGCGAATGGCTCACTAAAGCTCGAATGAGCGGTCAGTCTTCTCCATTGCACATGCCGTTCCATGGTCGAGTGGAATTGCACTGTCAGGTGCGCTTAGTGGCCAGATCATCTTGTCCTCAGGTTTGTGCCCCGCAGTAACATCGGAGACCGCTTCGCGGACGAATGCCAGCCAAGTTTACCGTTTCGCTAGAGCCGGTACGACTTTACTTGTGTTCGGTTGTGAAGGTGGGACCGCACGACGATTGGCCGAAAATCGGCTTGAACGTCTCGTGATTGGTGGATCAGAAACGGACTTCAAGGGGTGTGACACGAGATGTTCGGTCCACATTACGACGATGGTCTTGCGGCATCTTGTGCTTGTCCATGCGAGCGGAGACTCACAGCCGACGCCAAACTCCATTTTTCCGAACGGGGAAAGGATCCACGTAGTCGTACTGCTCGCAGTCGGCTCGTACCAAAAGCACACCAAAGAGAACTCTCTCGGTGGTTAAATTTATCTTCGCGTGGGGTATCTATTACGAGAAATCTCGAGCGATTTCTGATTGCCCAAAAAAAAAACTTGCCAACATCACCCACTACAGGACTCAGCAAACCTCCGTCCGTTTAGCCACTCGCCAACTCGACGCTTTCTCCTTAGACACATTTGGCCATGAGCTGGATCGACAAGTATAATGTGGCTGTTCCCTCCTACCAAGTCACGGACGGCAAGGTTTTCTTCGTTATCAAGCTCACCCAGAGCGACTCTGGCGTGGCTGTCCCAGCGTCGCATTCGTCCAACGTCGTATGCACGACGTTGCGCTCATATTCGCAGTTCCGTCGCATGTGGAAGACGCTCCGTGAGCGCGTGAACGAGCCGGTTGAACGCACAAGACGTCACCACCCGATGAATCTTGGCTTAACGCACAAATGCCGCTGCGCCGATAGCCGTTGCGAGTTTGATGGACTGTACCCGATGCTGCAATCATTTCCGTTCCCGTCGCGCCGGTCGCTGCGCTCCAAGCTCACAGGTCTCGACCATTCCGCTGTCAACCAGCGCCGCGACGCTCTGGCAGCTTTTGTGGCGCTTTTACATGAATTCTTCAGCAACTTTGCGAGTACAGTATTGCGCGAAAAACTACAGAACAGCAAATGTTCGGTGCTCAAGACGTATGTGAATTTCCTAGGTGCTGCCGAATACTTTCCGACCGACGCGTCGGTAATGCTACACCGCCCGCTGGCATTGAATGCCTGGAGACAACAGTGCGCCGATCAGATGCTTAGTCAAGACGAGGAGGAAGACAACAGTTGCTTCAACGACAACGTTCATCTCACTGCCCCACGCGCAGTGGAACTTCGTATTGGAGAGGACGCGACGTCTTCTCCAAGTGAAGAAAAGAACGTAGAACCAGCAACGCTTCCGTCCTTGCAGGTGAAGCCTGTGCGCGTTCACACCATCCATTCGTTCATGGAAGAATTCTGTGAGCACGTTCTTAGCCAATTTGCAAGCGACATCGACGAACTCAACTCGCCCGAACTCACCCCTTCCCGTCGCTGGGAGATCTGCCTGTACGTTGCGTGCCGAATCGGCCACACGTACGCCGTGCAGCTCATCCTATTCAATTACGCTGATGCCAACACTGCCATGGCGGACGGCTCCTCATGTCTGCATATTGCAGCTCGTATGGGCCGAACCGACATTGTGTCTCTCCTGCTCGACGAAGGTGCTGATGTCAACAAAGCCAACGATGCCGGTGTCACGCCGCTAATAGCAGCTTGTCGCAACGGATGCGTCGACGTCGTGAAGCTTCTTCTTGACACTGGAGCCAGGGTGTCGGTCTGTAGTAAACGCGGCACGTATCCTCTTCACGCCGCTATTGTCTCCCAGAATATCGAGATCGTATCGATGCTCGTGGAACGTGGTGCCAACGTGAACGTCATGACTGCTAGTGGCATCACACCGCTGCATTTTGCAGCCAAACTGGGCTCGCTGGCCATTTCCGAGTACCTATTGCGCCACGACGCTGACCCGGAGAAACGTACCAAAAACGACAGCGACGCCATGATGATCGCGGAGGCCAATGGCCATGCTACTATCTGCGAGTTGTTCCAGCGCTTTTCGGGCGTCGTCACCAGTGAGCACGTGGGATCGGACTACAAGCTCAATATGAGCGAGACCGGCAAGTCTCCAGACATGGTGCGCATGCTCTCGCAGCGCCGATTGTCCCGCGCAGCAGCCTAGGAAGAAGAGCTCTTGTTCTTCAGGCAACAATTATCTATAAAGCAGCAGCCAGCCACGTTCGATCGAAGAACGTGAACGAGGAAGAGGTTGGCTTTGCACTGCGTTATTTATTCCTACCGTAGTAGAGCAATACACATGACACTTTTCATGATAATATTTGTCGACTCGATCTTTTCTCCGTTTTGGCAATACTTATGTGGAAGTTGAAGTGGCAAATTGACAATGCATCGGGCGAAGCAGACGCGCAATTAGCAATGGGATCAGCAGAGATATTCCATCCCGCTCGTTACAGAACAGGTTGTGGAAGCCAGGTATTCAGGATCGCTCGAGCACGGAAGCGTTAGACTTTGCGAACAAATATTTCGACGAGTTTTTTGAGGTCGATGCCTATCAAAATGCCAAAGCCAGCCAATAATACTCGGTGGCAAAAGTGACAGTGTTTGTGGCGACCCGGCCCGTTTTATGATATTTTTGGCGAATTCAACATGAGAAACGGGTGCCAGAGTCCAAGAAGCCTCGAGTCAATCACATCGGCGGTTGACCATGGCGGACAGCGACAGCGACGATGAGCTCATGAGCCGCCTGACCAGCATGGGCATGGGCTTCGCGGTCGTCTCGGGCGAGGACTGCGCCTACTGTGCGACTTCCAACGCCTCGTTGTCCTGCACCATCTGCAGCAAGGCCTATTACTGCAACGAGGCAAGTGGCAAACAAAGAGAATAAGACTAAGAATTATCCTAAATATCACTAACTATGTATGAACAACAGACCTGCAAGAGAAGACATGCCCGTGCACACCGTAACCTCTGCATTAAGATGAGGATGGAGAAGGAAGCGGCCGAGGAGGAGGAAGAGGACGAGTCGGAAGAAGAAGATGACGAGAGCGACTCGGAGAGCGAAGACGTGGCCCACGCTCCACTCTCATCAGGGCGTAGACCAAGTGGAGGCGTGGCTATCCCTGGGCTCACGCCGAATCAGATCAAGAAGCTGCTGGACTTGGCAACCAAAAGCGATGCAGCCACTACGAGTTCGTCCATTGATAAGCTACAGAAGCAGATCTCACAACTTATGGCAGACAAAAAGAACGGAGTGACAAGGGAGAGAGGGTCTTCTGGTGCCAGTCTGAAGGAGATTAAGGCTCTGCAACAGAAACTCACTGAGTTAGAGAAGAAGACACAGAGCGTGGCGTATGCACCTCAGAGTGGAGGCATGACGATGGCCAGGAGTGTTTACACGCCGCTACTGGTGAAGGACGACCCGGATTTTACGAAATATTTCAAGCTGAAGAGCATGAACATGCCGATCGACCAGATCAAGACAAAGATGAAGTCTGACGGAGTCAGTCCTGATCTATTGGACACGCCCGATGCAGTGTCTCCGAACGACTCGGGTGTACGTTAAACGTTTGCGTTGTATGCTTTATTTTGGTTTAACGGTGTGTTGTTTGCTTGTTAATAGCCGGAGAAAGGAGCCTATATTCCTATGACTGTGGCTAACGATCCAGCGTTCAAGAAATATTTCAAGTTGAAGGACATGAGTATGCCAGAGGATCAGATCAAGATGAAAATGGAGGCGGAAGGCGTGGATCCAAGGCTCCTGGATACCCCGAACAGTGTGTCACCTAACGACCCTGGTGTAAGTTTTGCAATGATGTTAGAATGACCGAATGAGGGTTTTCTGATATGTTTTGTGCTTATGAAATGCTGTAGCCACCGCTGCAGATTCCGTCCGGGTATCCGTCGAATGGGGCTCCGCTTTCTCCGCTGCAAGGAGCAAGCGGTGGCTTTAGCTGGCCTTCAATGCCCGCTGCGGCCCCCGTTGTTCCATACGAGCCACTTTATGTTAAAGAGGACCCGAAATTTGTGAAATACTTCAAATTGCGACAAATGGGCATGCCCGACGAGCAGATCAAGCTCAAGATGAAGGCGGAAGAGGTGGATCCTGATCTTCTCGATCATCCAGACCAGGTGTCGCCCAACGATCCCGGTGTAAGTTTTGTATATCGATCTGTACATTCTGTATGTTTACCGACGTAAATATTGTAGCCACCGGTTCAAGCCCCAACCTCCCCTACTGGCCCTGTCTCAATGGAACAGCTCTTCAGCATTCTAATGCAACACCAGCAGATTATCCAGCAAGGTGAGTCATTTTTTAACTTCGTTTGATACTGTAGTTACTAATCAATCATTCTTGTTTGATGCAGTATCAAACGGGGGAAGTTTAAGCGGGTCACGTGGTCGTGGCAGCAGCGGTGGAGTGGACGGCATGCCACCGCGATCAGTAGAAGACCAAATGGCCCAAGAACTCGCCGCTGCAGAGAGTGCTATCGACGACATATTCGGTGATGAATCCCAGCAATCAAAAGGTCCTGGTGGTATGAGTATGATCGAGCAGCTCGAGAAGAAGGCACGGAAAGAAAGCAACAAGAAGCTCGTGGAGAACCGTGACGAAGTCAATCGCCTAGTGGCCGAGCTGTTGACTACGAAGCTGTCTACTGATGAAGAGGCCATCTCGTTTTACAAAACGATCGCTCCTAAGCTGGAGGAGTACGGGCTTTCTCTCGGTACTGACTCCGTCCAGACCTGGTCTTCGCGTCTTCTCATCAAGAACAAGGAGACACGAGACTGGTATTTCTCAGAGCAGGAACGACTGGATGCTGGTAAGGCTTATGGACGTCTATGGGGGCTTTCCTTCCTGGAACGCGACTCTGGTCAGTTGATCGCTAAGCGTGTGCAGATTCTAAATGCTCCTGCTACATTGCGCGCGATTGCGAAGGGCAAACCGGAATTGATCGACAAGTTCACGCAGTTACTGAAGGACACGGTGAAGCTCAAGCACAAAGTATTTAAGAGCGGCTCATATGCAGCGGAAGTGCGTCAACTGCACGCGTTCAACATCCCCGAGCGCTTTGAACAGCGCGGCACAGAACTCATCGACTCTGCCACGGTGTTAGCTGATGCCTCGATGGATTTGGCTGAAGAAGAGTTTAAATCGTTGGAGAATACTACACGAGCCAAGAAGATCCGAGCGAGGGCTGTCGTGCATGTTGCCGAGAAGGCCGTGACTTTAGTTGGTATCGTCAAGAAGATTGGCGCCAATGGAGTGAACGAACTGCGACTGAGAGAGGTGGAAGCGAACGTGGCAAAGATCAAGGAAATGTATCTATCAGGAGAACAAGAAGAGGAAGAAGAAGACGATGTGCTGTAAGGGAAAACTTGGCGTACATCTTCCAGAGGGGAAGCAGACATAGGGCACTTAAGCATAAGCAAGCACTTTTTTTTTTTTTACGAATCTATTGACGAACCTGACCGAAGAGCGAGCGGAAGAGCTCGTCCACGTCCATTTCGGGCTTCGGGTAAGGCTCTGGGAACATGAAGTTCTCGAGTTTGGGGTGCACCGTGTAGCGTAGTTGACGGCCTTTGCTGGCCTTGCGGTTGACGATTTTCTTCTTCTTGCGATGAGTACGTCTCACCATGGCGTCCTGACCAGCGCCACCCCCGCCGCTCTCGATAAACTCCTTGAGCAGTTGCTGGTAGAAGTCCGAGTCGTCGTACATGAGCTCGTCCAGTTGGTCTTCGCCTGCTTCTGTTGCTTCGGGTACGTCTAATGGGGCGTGTGCCTTGCGCTTGACTCGTTGAGGATCCACGAGAACAGACTCGACTTGGGCGAGGATGTCTTGGTTCACAGCCTTGAACTTCTTGGCCTGACTGTTCTTGCCTCCTGCAGCCAAGTCCGTCTTGCGCGTGTGTGTGATGAGAATGTCGTTGTACTGAGGCAGCATCGCGCGGTTACTGGCCGTGATCTCCTGCCACAGTTCGTCGCATGTGCGTTTACGTTTCTTCGTTGTGTCTGCAGCATTCAGCTCCGGGACGTTGCAGAGCTTTTCCTGTAAGGCTGACACGGCGTCGATGCTCTTGTAGAGCTCAGCCACGACCTGCTCTATAGTCTTGGTGGCCTCTTCATCTGTCTCTCCGTCTGTCTCGTGGGCTGATGCGTCCTTGGCTGTAGTTAGAAGCCTCTTGGTGTAAATTTGCACCTCCAGACAGCGCTCCCAGATGAGCTTCTGGTTGCGCACTTGTTTGGCCTTCTCCACGACCTTCTCGCTGTCCTGTGCGCCCATAAGTCGAGCCGAATCTTCTTTCTGGAAGCCGCGGATGAGCATCTCAGCGCTCTTGTCTTCATCGTCACTGTCCTCTTCACTTTCTTCTTCTTCAACCTTCTCTTCCTCTTCTTCATCTTCCGATGCGCCGAACGGCTCGGCGTCTGACCACTCGGCCATCGCGTCCTCGTCGGGTGACTCCATGCCGTCATTCAGGTCCTTGCGTTTCACCACTTTGCCAGCGTACTCCTCGCTCTCCAGCAACCCTGCGTCCCAGTTCTTGACACGAAGTGCTGACGCTTGTTCGCGTTGCTTGCTGCCTTTGCGCTCCTGCTGCAGTCGCTGCTTGCGGGACGACCGCAGACGCGTTGAGCTCTGCGTCTGGCCGTCTGAATCAGATGCAGCATCAGTGTGAACTACAGCGCGCGTGCCGTCGTCAAAGTCCTCGGCCTCATCGATGTTGAACACCATCGCAGTCTCTCGAGCTTCCTCCGCCAGGCGATGGTCAAAGTGTCTGCAACTGGACAATAAGCCCTTCGATTGGAGGAAAATGTGAACGCATTTCTCACCAATGAAAAGCTATAAAATACCGTGTGATACACTTTAAGCTCGTGGTAATGTGTCTTTGCGAATCAGATGGCTCACTTGGAAGAGAGTCTGAGTCAAAATGGCGCCATCGACACCACGGATGCCGCTGGCGCTGCTGGCCTTGTACTTCGTGCACGCCTTCTACATGACGTTCCCGATGACCGCGTACGGCGAGTGGCTCTTCGACGTGCTTCATATGCCTCCATCTACGACGACGCTCTATTACTCGGTCACTTTCTTCCCCTGGAACCTGAAGCCTCTCTACGGTCTCCTATCCGACAGTCTCCCGCTCTTTGGATACCGCCGCAAGTCGTACATCGTCATCTGCGAAGTACTTGCAGCTACGTCATTAGTGCTCACTGCCACCTACGTACACTCTATTGCCGGTGCCTTCGTCGTCAAACTGGTGGACGCAATTGCCGAAGCCTTTGCCCAGCTCATGCTCGGCATCTTATTGGTAGATCTGACAACGGGAGACGCCACCAGTAGAAGCAGCGCTCACGTGCAGTCGCTGGCCAATGGGACGAGGAATGCCGCGTCCATTGCAGCCTTGATACTGGGCGTCCCAGTGTACAAGGACAAGAACATTACGCCACAGCAAGTCATCGGCTGGACCAGTTTACTGCCACTCACAGCAGTGGGAGTCTGTCTCCTTGGACTGAAAGAAACGCCAGTCTATGAATTTCTAGATAGCCAAGAAGAGCGCTCTCTTGAACTCGATGGGATGATCCCAGCGTCCTCGTGGAGCAACACGCTAAAGTCGTGGTGGCTTCCATTCAAGCGCGATCTACAGCACAAGATGGAGCTTATAAAGCCTGTACTCCCGCCTATGCTCTTCTTCTTCCTGTGCAATGCACTACCAGACGACGGGACGATCTGGTACCAGTACACGTTCTCGCTCCTTAAAGACGAGCACGAGTGCGTGCAGTATATGTCTCTGGCCGGTATGATCGGACGCTTCCTCTCCTGTCTGTCGTACGCCAAGTGGTGTACCAACAAGAATGTTCGAAGCGTCTTCCTCCTCTCCACAATGTGCTCCGTAGCCGCCGGTCTTCCGCGGTTGTTGCTAGCGCCTCCTGTTGTCGATCTACCAGTCTCAGTGTGCACCTTCAGTACAGTGGAGTCGTTCATCACGTCCTTCACCTCCGAGTTCGTACTGTTGCAGTTGCTGGTTGTGGCCACGTATTACTGTCCAGCCAATCCGGAGGTTCAAGGACTCACATATGCCTTGTTTCTTTCGTTCATGGACTTCGGTGGAGTTGTATCGGGAGTGCTCTCCTCCTTCGTAGTGTCGGCACTAGGGATTGTGCCCGACCCGACCACGAGGATTGTAGATTGGAGTCATCTCTGGCAGGTCGTGGTGATTGCATCTGTCGGTCAGCTCCTGGTCTTGGTGTTTCTCGGTGTACTACCGGAGAAAGTTGACACCTCAGAAAACACAAGCATTGAAGGAACTCGAGTCAAACTCAAATCGATTTCAATGCCGTCAGACGAACCAGAGAAGCAGCCACTACTCATGGAACCAGAAGCGTATGCAGACGTGCGAGTGTGAAGTAGACAATTGAATAACCCCAACGGTCCAGTTAAAAGCTCAACGAACTTCACTGAGCTGTTGAATGAAGGGCAAGGATAATTCAATACTTTAAAGCGGGACGAGGTTGAAAGAGAAGCTACCGACCGCTGCTAAAGTACGAACAAGTTGGTTGCAGAAGATAATAATTGAGGGGTTCAGTCTGAAATCGACGCAGTCAAGCGAGAGAAAAGGTAAAACTGTACCAGATAGCGCAGTAAAACTTTATACTGATGTCACCGTTGGCGCGTGGTAGACTGACGCTAGGAAACCGAACAAGTTGATCGCATAATGAATGGAGATATCGAGCTTCCGGGGGGTGCTCATGTACCTGCGGCTCCAGGCCGATATCACGTCGATCCCCCGCCAGATCTGAATGAAGTGACGGATAAACGGTTCTTTCTCGAGTACGATTTCCCGCTTCTCATTGTGCGCGACGTTGCTTCTGATGCTGGATCGGAAATGGAGAAACTCGAGGCACACGGTCAAGCAAGCGACTGGAAAATGAATCAACGACGTTCTGGGTATCATATTGAGCTTGACCACGCCGGCTACCAGTTCAACCTACCAAGCTCTAGCCAAGAAGATGCCTATCAATTCCAGTTCATTCCCAGCATTTCGTACGTTGATCAAAGCACCTGGTCTGCTGTATCCGCTCAAGATAAAGGGAAGTCATACGTCCCATGCGTCCCAACTGTTGTAATTGAACGGGTGACTGCTACGGAAAAAGTTGATAGTCTTCACAGCAAAATGTCCAAGTTTATCAACTGTGGCACCCGTGAAGGAGTTGTGGTGGACACCAGAGGAGATCGAGTGTGGGTCTACAATCGAGGAGAAGAACCGACGTGCGAGAAGTTGGACACGGTTCTCTTCGATAACTGGCCTGAGTTTGAGCTCGACTGCCTCGCGATCCGTGATGCTCGCGTCCGCGCTGGACTTAAATAGGTCGGTTCAATGTTGCAGCATGCTGCGTTCAACTACAACACATGTATGCCCAACTAATCAAGAAAATCAAAAACGTTGCAACGTGACAATCCAACTTGCAAAACGACCAACACTTCGCTGCTAGGAGGGACCATTATTAATGCAGAAAATCAGGATAAGACGATACTTTTTGATGCGCGATGTATTGTGTTCCAATTTTCCGCAATTGACCTTAGGGAGTGCCGACCCTCTTAAAACGAGGGCAGACAAGTAGATGTCGACGCAAATGACACTTACTTCTTCTCCTTCTTGTCAGCCAGACGCTTGGCCTGCTTGCCGAAGATGCGCTTGTCAGCGCGAGCCACACGCAGCTGCGTGAAGACGCTCTTCTCCTTCATCTCGGGCGTGATGACGGCCGTGGTCGACTTGATGCTCGAGCGGGTGATCGGGAGGATCGGGCCCGTGTGCTGCACGGCGTTCTTCACGTCCTCAGCGGGGGCATCGCCGTTCTTGGGCTTGTTGCTCTTGCGCGGGAACACCACAAGCTTGGCCTTGTAGGCCTTGAGGCGGTGCACGTTGGCCTGGAGCGACTCCACCGACTTGTTGGTGCGACGGAAGTCAACGGCAATACCGATGCTCAGAGCCTGCTTGCGGTTAATGCCAGCCTCCTTCAGCTCCTCAAGGGTGAAGCCCTTGCCGGCACGGACCTTCGAGCCGTACTTGATCGTGGGGCAGTGCACAGCGGGGCGCAGCAGACCAGCGGCCGGACGCGGGGCGATGGCAGCAGCCTTAGCCTTACGTCTGAGACGACGGGTCTTCTTCTTGGCAGCCTGTCGACGACAAATAATCGCGGGATCAGTATAATTGCTATGCTGCCTGTATCCACCAGCCAGCCAGTTTTTCAGACAGCCACACGGTCCTGTAGGTCTCTCCACTGTCGACGCCCACAATGTCTAGTGATTTAACTGTCTGTCGTCTCGTATGGCTGGCTTGTTGACCTGTTCACCTCCTCGCGCTTTGTTCCTCTAATAGAGAGGACCGTATAGACACGCCTGTGTATATCTGCTAGCTGCTGGCTGGCTGGGCTGTGGATATTGATCACGGCTGTCTTACCTGGTCGAACCAAGTCTTGATTCGGGACTCCCAGTACTTGTGGAAGTGGCCGTTGGGGATGACGTTGTTGTGCTTCACCATCTTTCAACTACAGACACACAGAGGGGGAGGCAGGTGAGTGTCGCTCCTACTTGGAGACCTGGCATGAGCGCGCATTTACCTTCGCGCGAAGTTACTCAGAAAGTTGCGGGCAATTTGGAACTTGGAGCCCACCAACAGCTAGCGGGGCCACTGGCTGAAAGAATTGGTGGTTGCCGCTCTCCAGTCCTCGAATTGACTTGGACTTACTATGCCCCACTGTCACAGCCAATCAGGCTGCGCTGAAAGGTCAAAATAGAAATGCTGTGAACCACATCATTTAATAGTTTCGACTAAGTACGCTTTTGATTTAGAAACGCATTTCTATACGGAGGGGGTACAGTTACTCAAAGCTCCCCAAAACTGGCAACGGTGAGCTGATCCAGGCTTCTTGGCGGCGTGTATAGCAGCTCCGTGGTCGACGTCGCGATGTTCAGCTCCGGGAGTGCGTTCTACTTCCATTTATATCTTAGTTTATCCTTCTCGCGTTGCAATTGGCCTCGCGGTCGCTGAGTTCCGTGCTGACACATCTTTTGCCATCATCCGCAGATCGAAGTGGCGGCTTCGGGGCGCAGGGCAGTAACCCATTCGGTCAGAATCAAGGTACGACAGGATATACAGCTGCAATTGCTCAATATGCGTATGGGAGGGCGTGCTTGTGCTGTGGCGGACAGTGCAGGTGGACGAGCGGCTCTCGTGGAGGGCGTCAAGCTCTCTCGTCTTCTTTTACGGCCAGTTTTTGAGTCTTCCAGGTATTGATCGATGCCTTCGCGTGTCCAGGATCGACGACGGTGAACCCGTTTCAGCCCGGTAATAATGCTCCAGCCGTGAAGACGACGTTCGGGCAGAGCTCTGGCTTCGGCAGCCAGCCGCCGCTGCCTCCGGGCGGCTTGGCAGGCGCTCCAGGTGGCGGATTCGGTAACCAACCACCTCTTCCCCCTGGAGGTCTAGCTGGAGCTCCTCCAGCACCGTCGGGAGGGTTTAGTAGAGCTTCAAGTAGCGGAAATCCATTCGGCCAGCAGAACAGCAAGAAGACTCAAAGCAGCTCGAGTACGACGTTCGGATCGACATCATTTGGACAGAAGAACGTATCTTCTTCCTCTATGTCGACAGGTGCACACACGACGTTCGGATCTGCGTCGAATCCCGGCAAGAATCGAGGTTCAGGGTTCGCTGGAAGTGCTCCTAAGGTGGCGTTCGGTGAGAGTGGATCAGCGTCATTTGGTGGAGGAAACACAGCATTTGGTAGGAACGACAATGGCTTCAGTGGGGGACAAACAGCCTTTGGTACATCTAAGCGTGGACAGACTGGATTCTCGCAAGACTCGAACGGATTTGGAGCTGGAAGTACAGGAGCACCAACACCGTTATCGTCGCCAGGTTCATCGTATGGAAGCCAGGCGTCGGGTGTTAAAGTGCGGAAGAAGCAGATTACTTCGAATGCTGCGTCCTCTGCTCGTGCAGACAACCCTTTTGTCAACAGTGGTGGAGCTTCAAGTGGTCCAACTGTTCAGACAACTTTTGGTGGATCGGGTGGTAGTGGCTTTAAAACCTCCCCGTCATTTGGAAAGACCTCTCCTCCTAGTAACGCTACCACGGCATTCGGTAATGCTTCCGATAAACGACAATCTGCTCCAAAATTCGGCTCAGAGGCTACAGCAGGATTCGTGAACTCGGACAAAATGGCGTCTATGGAAGCGCGAATGAATGGTGGCAAGAAATCACAGTTTGGAAAAAGCAAACGCTTTGGAGCCACGGAGCAGGACGCGAATCCTTTTGGCCAGCAGTCCAAGCCCAGGATCAGTCCAAAGTTTTCTCAAGATGGAGGTGCTTTTGGCGGAGCTAAGGCGCCTAAGACAAGTCCAACACATGACAAACCTGGAAAAAATCGGCAAGGAAAACAAAAGAAAAAGGCACCAAGCACAAGTGATGACGAGACTACATTCGTGCCGTCTGCTTCTACGTCCCGAGATGAGAACAGCAAGGCGGAGCTGTCAGCCGCTAAAAATCTGGATGGCCTTTGTGTTGATATGTGTAGTCCAGCGGAACGGGAGCTGCATATTCGAGTAGATGAATTGAGCGTCTTCGAGAAGTGCTTCCCTGATCGTCCAGGATCCGAGCGCGATATGATCATCAAGCGTTTCCAGCGCAGTTCAGCTGATCACAAGTTGGATATTCCAGAGGAGATCCGTCCTCCTGGTGTTCTTCGACGCACACAACTGTATATCGAGCAAGCAATCATGGATCTGGACCAATGCGGCTTGGATCCTCGCTTCCAGACGCCACGAGTTCCAGAGCCCATCGAGCTGTACAACTTCTGCTGGGACCGGTTTAGAATGATTCGCAAAGATTTTTTCCTGCAGAATTATCGCGGCGCGGGTGGTCGCGTGCACCCCATTGCGCTTGACATTCACGAGCGGATCGCTCGATACCACGTGCTTAGTGAACATGAACTCATTGAAACTCCGAGCTTCGTGGCTCAACAAAATATGGAGCAGCTGGGACAAACGCTCAAGTCGCTGAACGAGCTGTACGACGAGAGCCAAAAGGTTGGGGATCCTGCGTACTTGAGTCCTTTTGAGGCTGAGTGTCGCGCATATTTCATCTTGTGTACACTGGACAATGGTCGTGGCATGGATGTATTGAAATATGTCAAGAATATCCCACGTCACATCCTGGAAAGCCCGCACATGAAGTTCGCGATGCGCGTGTTTGTTGCGCGTCATACAGGTGACTACTTCCAGTTTTTCTCCTTGCTTCGACAAGCGACGTATCTGCAGTCGTGTTTGCTCTTCCGGTATATCCCGAACGTTCGGTCGTCGGCGTTGCTTCGTATGAATCGGGCTTACCGCAGCCAAACGTATCCTCTTGAGGATCTGGTGGAGCTGCTATGCTTTGACGACATTGAACATGCCTACGCAGTGTGCCAAGAACATCAGCTGAGGATATCCGGCAGACCAGGTGCTGGCGAGGACAGCTCAATTATGGTCAAGTTCGGTGGTGACTTTGAAACAGGTACGGGTATATCTACTGGTTGGCTGTGGTGGTGTGTACTGACTCTTATGTGTTGTTTATTGTGCAGATGTCCAGCTACGACGGAATAATACGCCGCTGAAGATTCGCAGCTCCAAGATTTATGTCGGGATGAAGCAAGGGTATGCATACTTCATTGTTACAGTAAGCAAACCGGTTCTTACTTTATTTTTTTTGACATGAGCAGCAACTATCTACGCCGAGATATCTGCCGCGGCGTGACCGAATATGCTCGAGACGAATATCCAGCCCTCAGCAAATTGATCCAAGATCTTGAACGCGAGGAGCAGACGAGACTGTACCCCGATAGACCAGCGTATGAAGACGACTACTCTTACTTCGTTGACTACAACGAAGGAGCTGCGATGGCTCCGTCAGTGAATGCTCATGCTCACAAGCAGCCGGTAGTTGATGACCAGAAAAGACACGAGCTTGATGCGATTACACAGCGAAAAATGGAGCTGGAGCAGAAGAAACAAGCGATGCTAGAACGAATGCGCGAGCTGGAGAAGGCGAAGGAGGAGAAGACTCGACGTGAGCAAGCGGATAAGGAGGCTGCTCAACAGGCTGCTCACCTTGAAAAGCAGAAGAAGCAGGAAGCGGTTGCCCGAGCTCAAGCCGAAAAGGAAGCGGCCGAGGCAAAGCGACAGCAAGAAGCGCTCGAAGCCCAGCTACGCGAACAAAAGAAGCAGGGGGAGTTGGAAGAGCAGCGTCGAAAGGCTGAAGAAGCCGCTCGTGAAGCAGAGCGACAGCGACTTGAAGCTCTGCAACGAGCGGAGGCTGCGAGGATAAAGGCTGCGGAGGAAGAGCGACGTCGACAGGAAGAGAAACGACAGGAAGAACTTCGGCGGAAAGCAGCAGAAGAACGCGAACGCCGTCGCCAACAAGAGTTGGCAGAGGAGCGAGCACGTCAAGCTCGTGAAGCTGCACTGGAAGCGCAACGACAAGCTCAATTGGCCAAGGAGCGAGATGAAAGGAAGAGGGTGCGTCGTATTGAGAAGCAGCGACTTGCTGTGTTGAAGCTGAGACTGCATCTGTGGAAGAAATATGTACGAGTCTCACGCCACGGTCCTGGGCCAGTTTCAATTGCGTCGAAGCTTCGACTTGATCAGCCTCATCAAAAGGCAAGAGACAGCATGCAGTGGTTATTCACAGGAGCCAACGGATCGTCAATTGGTACGAAGCGATTGAAGCAATTACCGAGAGCTAAAGAGAAGGCATCACCGTCAACTGAAGAGCTGTTGTTGCTGTGGAAGTCGGAAGATATTCTAGTACTGGTTGGTCCTCCACTTCGTCTACAAAACCCTGGAGTTCCGTCTATCGCGTGGAAGTTGGTGATCGCAGATCTGCTGGACGGAGCGTCTTCGTCGTTCGGTTTATGGTGCGCAGTCAAAGCTGGAGCACAAGATGTCTCTACACCCGAGCACGATTGTCAACGCAGTTATCACTCAAGCAATGGTGTTGCTGTGTGCAGTCGGTATCTTGATTCGACGTTCGCTCAGCGAAACACGCGCGAGATGCAGCAAAACAAGCTCGCTGCAACGTCGGCTATCTTACTCCCGGTTGATCTGAGTACACTGCAGCAAGCTGGTAATAGCAATGCCTTGGAACAGCAAGTTGGTCAGCTACTGTCGTTACTGAGCAACGGGTGCCGCGTGACTGTAATTGCTGTGGGGTTCGCTTCAGTAGATATCCAGTCCTCGCGAGGGTTACTCCTGAGTACACTTAGAAGTTGCATGGAACGAGTGCAAAAGCGATTCTCTACACAACTGGCTCACGTCAGTACTGAGCTGGTCGATGCTGGTGCTCTTCTCCCTCACAAGTTCAGTCTAGTGCTGACGAAGATTGCAGACATGTCTCCTCCTGTACGGCACCTCAAGAGTGTGGGTTTGAAGGAACTTCTAGAGGGAAGTGTCAGGGCCATGTTGAACCACTTTGAGTCGTCTATTGGTATCCAGAGTAGCATCTGCGCTGTCTTCCCAGGTGTACGTCAAGATATTTTATCATCCGGCGTTATGGATGTCGTCTACCCACCACCGGAGCTGCAGTTTGCTGTCGTTGATCCCCCGCGTGGTTGGAACTCCCAAGAGCGCAAGCACGAGATCCGAACTGTATTGACGGCGCTTGAAGATACGCGCATTGCTGTTGAGACATCCTCGGTGACTCGTGATCAAACGTGCGACGTGTACTTTAAAAAAGTGGAGAGCTTTATCGACAGACTGTTCCTGTCGTATCCAGCGGCCACTGCGGTGTCGACGTACGAGCTCAAGAAGCGGATTTACTGTTCTCTTCTCCCAATCCATGAAGGACTGACTCAAGATAACAAGACGGAACAAGTGACACCACGAGAAGCAGATGTATTGCTGCCCTGGCGGAAGATATTCGAGGAGATCTACGAGACGTTCTTCGAGACGCTGAGTGATATTACTATCTACTATCCAGCGGGCTGGCGTGGCTTCGGATCAAGTCTAATGGACGCTGTGCACACGTCGGCACCGAAGCTGGTGGATTCCAGTGGGAAAACGAAGCGTGACGTTGCTGTTGTGAAGCAGCCAGTGCACGTATCGATGCAGAGTGTACGAAAGAGCTTTGGAGCATTGAGAGCGGTGCACGAGTCAACGCAGAAGTACAAGGCGGTGGGCGAAATGAAGCGACTTCGAGTTGAGATCGAGAAGGAGCGTGCGGCCACCTCACAGTTCCAACGCATGCTCCGCCAGGCGCTCAATCGCTGGGAAGACTAGACATTGCATTGAATAGGTGAAGAGCATGAGTAACTCGACGACAGCATCTGAGACCTTGCTACGTCAGTCAGCGACAATAACTCTCCTCATTTTTATGTAGGGTAGAACAAATTCAATCTAGCAGTTTTCATGAATGCTTAAAGGCTCCAGTAACAGGTTCATTCTTTCCATATTATGTAGTATGGTAGGCTATTGATTTATACGTATTCTAGAAAAGAAGCTACTGTACTTCCATGTGCAGGTTCAACTTTGTTGCTTAGAAGCTACAGACAGACATCCGATTCCGCAGCATGGGGTTGACCGAGTTACCGAGCGATCTACTCGCGGCGACGCTGCAGTTCGCGGACCATACGACTCTGCTGCATCTCGAGACTGTGAGCCGCCACTTGCGAGACACCATCGTCCACTGCTGTGCGTCTCTCTGTCTCTCCAGAATATCCATAAGCACATCTAATTCTTCTTCTGTGTTCAGATTCCTGGAAGGCCCTAGCGCAGCGGGTGGCTCTGTATGCATGTGACTGTAGCACTCGAAGCTCTGTCGACTGGAAGCGCTTGGCGTTACTGACTTATCGCCCCGCGAGCGAGGAACTGTCGATGCTGCGTCGAGTGCGAGGTACGAGACTTTAAAAACTGACGATGTTTTATCGTCTCCTATAACTATTGTTTCTCCTGCAGAGTGTTCGTCAGTGGATCACACGAACGAGTCAGCGGACAATACGTTGACGAGGTCGCACTGTGGCATTGGGGTGGCTCTGCTGTCCAATACGGTAGTGGCAGACGACCCATTGGCTTATGAGGCAATCGCTAAGAGACTCCAGCTGGAGTGTGGTTGTGCTAGAGGACAACCGTGCTATTGGAGCAGGTTAGTGCAGGATGAAGGGAGTACTTTCTGTGAGATGCTGACTGGTGTTTATTGCGTGCAGTGCCTCGACGTGGGGATACAACACGACAGATTATCTGGACTACACGTTATGGGAAAACTGCCTCGTGAACAGTGTGCAGTTGGTACCGTACAGAGTTTTCTGGTATCCTGGCAGCCCCACGTACTCTCCTAAACGGATATCTTTCGCTCTGTATGAGTTGGGCGACGACGGAGAGATCGGCACGCTGGTCTACGAGTCCATGACGTTCAGTGTTGTCAAAGATATGAAGGTACGAATTGCTGGTGGCTACTTGCTAGGGAGTGATATTGATACTGATGTTTTGCTTTGATTAGATGCAAACGTTCGAGCTTCCGCTGCGGGTTTTTCTCTCACGTGGCGTCCTGCGATTGAATTTGTTCGAACGACAGGAAGATATTGGCCTCGATGTGGCCCGGTGGATGCAGGAGAATGACTTGCCTCCGTACTATACGTGCTTGAGTTATGTAGGCGCCACGGGGCTTCTAGAGTCCGGGACACAACTGGGATAGGTTAGTGATCACATTCCAACCACAATGGACCAAGTTGCACCTGGTTTTAGCGCTTCATGTAGTTGGTCCAGACGAGAAAATCTCCACCCTGGATATTACATGTGTCCCACACAAATTGGATAATGTAATACTTTTCTTCGCGTCTTTTTTAAGCAATCGATAGGCCTTCAACACTGGCGATTGCTTCAAAAAGTCGCGCTTGAACCACAGGACAATGCAGTATGACCATGGCAACAGCGCCCGTGGTCACGAAGGTGTTTTTGTCATGAACAGCAAGCCCAATTCAAGAGGCATCGCTGCAACCATAAGTGAGCCGCACCAACTCATCAACAACCAGTCCCACGTTGCCACCGCCATGGAATTAGAGCACACCATCGGCTTCTCAGCGGTACCAAATGCTATCCACTACCATCCGTCAAGTCGAGATTACGTGTATCCTGCCGGTGGATCGGTGTTGTTGACATCCTTTCAAGACGCACATAGCCAACTTTTCCTTCGTGGACATGGCGATAATGTATCGTGCATCGCGATGTCCCCTTCAGGACGAATTCTAGCTTCGGGTGAGCGTGGCAGGCGAGCAGACATCCTCGTTTGGGACTATTCGGCTAGAAGACTCGTCTTCAGACTGTCAGAGCACGACGGAGGTGTCGCTGCTCTTGCATTCTCGCACGATGAGCGACTGCTGTGCTCTGTGGGGATACCAGAAGACGGGCCACGGCTGTACGTTTGGGACGTCCTGACTGGTAACATCTGCGCTACGCACCAAAAGATGTCAAACATCGTCTCTGCTGCGGCATTCGGAGGTATGGCGCGCGACGTAAAGCGCCGTGATACTGCCAACTACCAATTCGCTACGGTGGGACATCGCTTACTGCAGCTCTGGGTCCTCAATCCAGTCACAGGAGAGCTCACGCAGCACAAGATCGAGCAGACACTCGTTCGAGATTACACTTGTGTGCAGTTCTCGCCTGACCGCGAGACTCTGGTGGCTGGAAGCTCTAGCGGCGATTTTTGTGTTGTCGCAGTGAAGACTCGACAGCTAATCAAGGTGATTCCAGCTTGTTCCTGCGGTGTCAATTCCATTGTGTACTTCGACGGTGGAGTGCTCGTGGGCGGTGGAGACGGTAGTGTTCTGCACTATGGCCACGACTTCGTTGATACCTGCCACGTCGCACTTGACAGCGGTGTCGTCGGCTTGTCCCTCAACACAGCTCAGAACGAAGCTGTAGTTGGTACTCAAGCTGGAAGTATCTTTTCGATTCGACTTGCATTTGGCACGTCGCAACGCAGCCTGCAGCCTAAATTACTGTCCGAAAACCACTCGAGCGCAGTCGTGCAGATAGCGTACGCCCCGGACGTGTCCGACCGCTTCGCTACGATCTCTCGAGACTGCACCATTCGCATCTGGGACGCCTCGGACTACACTGTCGCTACGCGCTGCTTCGTCGGTGATGCTGACGCTCCGACATCCCTCCATTATTCGCTGGACGTGCTCATTTCAGGCTGGACTGACGGGTGTATTCGATCCCATAGCAGCGATTCTGGGGAGTTTGCCTGGTCCATCGATAACGCTCACACCGGTGGGGTCACTGCACTTGTGTTAAGCCACAATCAGCGCTTCATAGTGTCTGCTGGAGTAGGAGGTGAAGTGCGTGTGTGGGATATCCGCAGGCGTGACCTGGTTTCACACCTCAAGGAGCACTCCATGGCAGTCACGAGTCTGGCCTTATATCGCGATGACCTGCATGTAATTTCTTGCAGTCGAGATCGCAGTCTGCTCTGCTGGGATCTTCGCAATGAGCGCAGGATTTCAAGTCACATCCAGCGCATGGGCGGCATCAATACAGTAGCGCTGTCTGCAGACCAGCGTCTTGTTCTGAGTGCTGGTCAGGAGAAACGTATATCGTACTGGGACCTGCGCATTGACACACCAGTAACAGTGATCCAGAAGGCCCACGACGAAGAAGCCACCTGTATCGCTGTGGCCCATAACCTGGAGGTCTTCGCTACTGGCGGTAACGATCGACTGGTGAAACTATGGGACTTTAACACCAACCAATTGATCATGGACGGTGTTGGTCACTCTGGAAATGTTCGCGGTCTAGCCTTCAGTCCGGATGACCGGCAACTCGTCTCTGTCGGTGATGACGGCTGCGTGTTCGTCTGGAACCTGTACACAGAGTAGTGTGCAATACTGGATTTCATAGCTTCAACATGCTTCATATTTGCCATTTCTATTGAGTAACAAACACGACGCAGGTGAGTCCTTGGGGTGAGATGCTATGCAATCGACACCCAATTGAAAGGACAGTACCTCTAGTGCTGCTCGTGCTCCTTCAGGTACGTGTAGAGCAGTTGAACGCCGAAACCCGTGGCACCCTTGGGGAAGTAAGACTTGGGAGAGCTGTAGTTCGATGGCCCAGCAATGTCGAGGTGTGCCCAGTCGACGCCTTCGTACACGAACTGCTGTAGGAACGCTGCAGCAGTGGAGGCGCCACCATAGCGACCGCGACCAGTGCTACGAGAGTCCGACTGCGAACCCTTGAGGGCGGCAACGTGCTCGGGTAGAATCGGCAAGCGCCAGCAGCGTTCGTGACACTCCGTACTAGTCTCCTGCAGCTTCTTGGCCAGATCGTCTGAGTTGGAGAACAACCCAGCGCAGTGCTCACCCAGCGCAACCATGCACGCACCAGTGAGCGTTGCTACGTCGATGATTTTCTTGGGTTTGTACTCCTTCTGGACGTATGACATTGCGTCACCAAGCACCAGACGCCCTTCAGCATCCGTGTTGTTGTTCTCGACCGTGATACCCTTGTGGGACTTGACAATCGTTAGCGGCTTCACTGCCTTGGATCCGATCGCATTCTCCGCCAGAGCAAGGGCACAGACGATGTTGACCTTGAGACCCTGACGTGATGCAGCGCGGACGGCTCCAAGAACAGCAGCAGAACCGCACATGTCCGTGTGCATGTCTTCAATAGCACCTGTCGGTTTGAGGTTCAAGCCACCAGTGTCGAACGTGATGCCCTTGCCAACCAGAGCGACCTTCTCGTCCGAGTCCGGATTGCCGGTGTACTCCAATATAACTAGACGAGGAGGACACACACCTGCCTGACCAACACTCAGGAACATGTTCATGCCTTCCTTCTCTAGATCTTCCCGCTGCAGCACGCGGACCATCATGTTGGGAAGTTCAGTCGACGCACGCGCCACCTCCTCCATGAACGCCGGGTTCACAATGTGCGAGCGCCCATTGCCTACGCAACAATGCATACAATAGTCAGCATCCAATAGCAATTCACACTCCATCATCTTATGACCCTACCAAGGTTGCGTGCAAAGATCGTTTCTTCGCCCACAGTCGCTTGCTCAGACACATTCTACAGCATAATACTGTCAGTCTGTATAAGTACAGCCCACAAACCATCACTCTCACCTTCTGGAATTCGGCCGACGCGTCCAGGTAGATCTGTTCCAGAGGCAGACGCAGCTTGCTCTCTCCGTAGGCGTCCTTGGAGTCCGTCAGGTACTGGTCGAACTGGTAGTTGGACAGCATCGATGCTTGGGAAAGAAGTTCCACGATGCGTGTAGTGTCCATTGTACAGCCTTCGAGCTTGGGTACTTGAACCACAACATCCTTGGCACGCTTCGCCTTGAGAGCGTTCAACGCACCGTGTGTAGCGTCACGCAGGACGTTAGGCGTCACCTTGTCAGCGTCTCCAAGCCCGACGAGCAGCACACGCTGGTCTTTGAAAGCGTCACTGTCCTCGCTCGGGTATAGATACAATTTCTCTTGCGGCTTGGCCTTGAAGTCCCGTAGAGCGGCGGCGGACACGGGGAATGGCAGTGAGCTCTGCAGGTCAGCGGTGGCCGAGCGAGACACGAACACCACGCGCGTGGACGGAGGTGAAGAATCCTTGGCTAGCAGAGATAGTTGACCCTGTACGCGCTGCTGCACCATGCGGTGAGCGGCCGAGGAAGAGAAGAAGCGACGGAGCATCTTGATGCGCACTTGGAATGTGGGGCAGTCGTGATTGCACCTCTTCAAAGTGATCATCAAAGGAGGAGTGATGGTCAAGTGTATTGCCATTCACATGAAGTGCCAACAAGAAAGAATGAAGTCGACGAACGAATAACTGAACGAATGCGCTCACCTTACTCCATTAATTATGGTAACCGCTGAGTGCAGAGGGTCGCGACGTAAAATCTTTTGAAGGGCTCCAATGATCATAACAGAACAAGTGAGCTCCTGCGCATACGACAAACCGAGAGGCAGCTAGAAGAAACAAACCAACCCGCGTGCACAGAGAGAAGACAATACTCGCTGCCATCCCCTCTGCGATGAGTGATCAACGCTGCATCAAGGAGGGATGGCTTCAGAAGCGCAGTCGACCAGGAAAACTCGTGGGTAACTGGCGTAGGCGCTACTTCCGCTTGACTAGCACCGAGTTGGCCTACTACAAGTCGCCACAAGACGTCGCACCACGCCGCCGATACGAACTAACACTAGACTCTAGTGTACTCCGCACGAATGACCAAGGTTATAGTAATTGCATCGCGTTCCAAGCCGCACCTGGACAGCCGAGTTTCTATATGCTGGCAGATAACGAAGACGAGAAGGAAGAGTGGACCACAGCCATCTACAACGCCTACCGTCGCACTCCGGACGTGGCTCAACAGCCTCCCGCCCCGGAGATACCAAAAGCCACTCCAGAGTCAACACCTCCTCAACCGCCTCCACCACCTGCTCCTCCTTCCCGGATTTTACTTAAACTAGTTGTTGAGGAGGCTCGGAAGCTCAAAGCTGCAGACATGAACGGGAAGAGTGATCCGTATTGTATTGTTAAGCTCATTGGCAAAGATGGAAAGACCATCGAAGTCGAGGAGAAACGCACAGACGTGATCTCAGCAACGCTCGAGCCTGTGTGGAAGGCGTCATTTGAGATTGGTAGAGTTGTCGACTTGAACTCGGTTAAAGCCGTTCGATTCGACTTGATGGACCACGATACCTTACAGCGGCACGACAGCTTGGGGACAGTGGAGGTGCCTTTCTCGAGATTCCGCATGTCATCGGCTAGTACAGTCCAGTCAGAGCCTATTGATGAATGGTTTCGAGTAAATCCACCGAAAAAAACTGGGTTGTCGTCTTCTTTCCGAGAGAAAGAGCACGTAGTTAAAGACTGGGGTGAGCTGCATGTCAAGATGAGCATTACAGGACCAAATCTTGTGGATTTCTTTCACAATTCGGAGCTCGAGTTCGTGCCAACGAGTCCTGTCGCTACGGCGACCAAAGAACACACGGACAACCGCCTGGAGGTGACGGTTCTCGCAGCCAGAAATCTCATTAGTGTGGATGCCAATGACTCGTCCGATCCGTACTGTGAACTCACGCTACTGGATGACAATGGGAGACCCATTTCAAGTGAATATGCTACTACTGCCACTATGCATCGTACGCGGAATCCTACGTGGGCAAACGAACACCACGTGTTCGGCTTGATCTGTCCTATTGAGACGGCAGCTAGTCTCAAAGTGAGGGTTGTTGATTATGACAAAACGAACCGGAATGATCCTCTTGGGTTTGTTATTATCCATCTAGAACAGTTATCTGCTCATAAATGGACGGAGTGGCACGCACTGCAACCCGAAGAGGGCATGTCAAACCGCGCAAATCTCGGCGAAATCCAGCTCAAAATCTGGCTTATTGGTGAGAGGCGTGGAGAACATGCTCGTCGACTGAAGATCGACAAGGAACTCCATTTGAAAGCGCACAGCCAATCCGTCGAGCAGCTTGAGTATGAGAACGCCCAGATTGAGATGTACGATGCGGCTTGCAAGCTGGATGGAGCTCGCATTCCATGTGCTGTGACCGACTACCAGGCGCGTGATCCACGCTTTTATGGTATCAATGGGTGCATTCATTACCTGAACAGCCAAATTCCGCGAGCCCATCAAGAGAAAACATCGACGGATGAAAGCTTTCAAGCCCGTACGGGACTAGAAGGACAGGCATTGCTTGAGGTGACGGTGATTCAAGCGTCTGATCTGAAGCAGAATCAAAAAGCAGGTGATAAGCCAAGTACGGCTACTCCGTATGCGGTGATTGAGCTCGATCCATCCGTGTGTGTTGAGGAATGCAAGCGTACAAGTGCACCGTTATCTCCCAAGAAAAGTAAACGAGTTGCTGCAGGTGAGGCACGAAACACGATGTTCTCAAAGCGTGCACAAGGAGAAGTATCGATGCATCGAACGAAGCTGGCGAAAAACGAAATGCGATCGGAAAGTCCACTGGAAATTAACCCCGACATACTAGTTCTGAAGGTGGAAATTCGTACTGGACACGCTCTTAGTCCGGCCGATATGAACGGCTATAGTGATCCATACTGCACACTTTCTCTCACTGATCGCACCACTGGAAAGGCTATCGAAGCTGAGAAGAAACGCACCGCGGTGATGTCAAAGACACTAAATCCTGTTTGGACCAACGAGATCTTCGTATTTGGCAACGTAAGTCTTAGAGTAACCTTGCCTTCCTTGTGTGAAAATAGCTATACTTACCGACTGTGCATAATTTTTTTTGATGTGTGCGCAGAATGTCCCCCTTTTAGACGCTAAATCGCTTCTGGTTCATGTGAAGGACCACAATAACATTGGGAGGAGTACTCCTCTTGGTCGGGTGGAGATCCCGCTGTCCGATTTGTGTCGAGAATCAGTGGATTCTACGTCGATTTCTTCGACGGAAGTGGTCAAGAGATACGAACTGAAGCCCGAACCTTGGATGAAGAAGTCTGCCAAAGAGCTGGGAGAGTTGTGCATCAAAACGGAATTCGTCGGAAACACAACAGCATTGGCTGAGCTGGTGCAGCGTATGTCTAGTGCCCCGATAGAGAACTCGTCCAGCTCGTCAGAGGCCAAAATCCAAAGCGAAGCTTCGATTGATACGAATATGTCGATGCTGGACTTGGATGAATCTGAGTTTGAAGACGAGAAGACTGAGATCCTTCAACTTGGAGCCCCGATAAAGACATCCACATCGAAAATACTTGGCACGAACAGCACAGCAACATGGGACAAGGAGAAGTTTTCACTTTCGTTGTCATATCCTGGATTATTCAGTGATGCAAAGTATCCAAATATGGATACCCAGCTCCTTCAGTTGCGTGTTCATGAAGCTCGGAACCTGTTAATCTCTGCTGCAGCTGGTGATCGTAGCAATACTGGGCCCTCGGCAACTGAACGTGATGCTGTTGAAGGCCCAACAAACAGCAAGGCTCAAAATCCCACCCAGCGGCAACGGAACGCAACAAATGTTTACTTCACGGTCGTTCCTGTTCGTCGAGACGGGACACTGGAAGATGCCGAGCGTATTCAAAGTCTGACCGTCTACAATGCACGCGATCCATCGTGGCCGGTCCAGGAGTTTGTCTTTGGGAAAGTCAAAGATATTGCCAACGTCTCGTATCTTTCTCTTCACATGTACGAGCGAGACGTGGAAAGTGACCAAGAGAGCGTTCTGTCAAACTTGCTTACCGATAAGGAGAAGAAACTGGACGTGTGTCTGAAGCGGTTCCAACTGCACAAACTATCGTCATCTGGAGAAGTGGAGGACGACGACTTCGAGCTGTTACAATTCGGCCAACGGGTACTAGCGTTTCGTGGTGGAGAAGATGGCGGTCGCTTTTATCCGGCGTGTATACAGAGATACATTCCGTTCCCAGACGACGAATACGAAGTTCGCTTCGATGATGAAATTAACACGATCGATGAGCTTCGAAACCTCATCTCTCTTGATGTGAAGGGGGTTGTTCAAGCGGAGCGAAGTGACGGAAGGCTGGACGTGGCTGTCGACAATGAGAGCACGAACTCAGTGAAGCGAAGCTCTCGGTATGTCGTGAAGCCTAGTCAACTCGTACCAGTGAACAGTTTGACAGGGAGTGTGGAGAGACTAATGGCTAGACGCTTGGATGTGGCGAAAGAAGAAAACGAGAGGTGGGCAAGGATGCAGCACATGGTTTCTGGTATTGTCGTCGATGTTTTGTCTGCGTCAGATTTGGTCGTACCTGTAATTAAAGATGGGAAACTACAGAAGATGAAACACCTCGACAAGAACGACAACCTTGAGTGCCGTGTGACTTTGCTTGGAAAACCAAGGCAGAAGGAGCCAAATCTCTGCTATTTCAACGATCGCGGGGAGTTGTTTACAAGTGAAACCATGTCACAGTCAACGTGGAAATGGGAGAAAGATAAACAATTGGAGGCTACTATCGGAGCCCAAAACGAGACAAACGACAATGAATCTGGAGCTTCCGAAAAAGATAATAGTGTGCTTTTGTTCCAGAATCAACCCCTTGTAATTGGTAGAGTGGAAAAGATTTCACCTACTGACGCGAAGGAAACTAAAGTGGAATACAGATACCAGCCTGTTGACCCAAACGAAGCCAAGGTCGGATGCCAAATCCTAGAACAGACTTCAAGTATCTTGATCCAAATAAACGCACAAGTCAAGGTGGAAAATCAAGATGAAACTGGAAGCAAAAAGAATTTAAAGAAGGAGATTCACGTTAAGGAATCTCGATTGCTGAATATAACCCTTGGATATGCGAAGATCGACCTCGCCATGCTGCGGAGTAAACAACAAACCTTACGTCTGCAGATCGTCCCTCTCAAGTCCGCAAACGTTCCGTATTTCAAGTCTGTGGGCTCCCTATTCGTCCGCATCTCAACATCGTCCGACGACTGTAAGATGAAGACCGTTAGAGCCCTTGTCAAAGCAGAAGACCCCGAACACCCTCGCTTGTTCGAGTTAAGCTCGTGGTACGAAAAACAACTTCAGCTTGAAGCGGTGTCGTCTTCATTGTTTACTCGCGGAGTTACGTGGATTGAACGTCGGCAACTTCTCCGCACTTCGCTGTCTCCGACCGAAAACGCTCAGATCGATGCATTGCACACCGTTCTGGTGATCGTGATGAAGCGGATCGTAAACATCTTACGCGAGATCCAGCAGTTTGAAGCGTTCGAAGCACTATGTGTTGATGAAATGAGGATGTCTCGTCTGGTTCACACTGTGAACGCTGATCCAGGCAGCGAATATCTAGGCCGCACGATGGATAAACTGCCACACGAAGTTCGCAAGGAGATCGTTGTCGGGCTGGAAAATGAACTCCTGGATTTGGCTGGAGTATCCGGGCCACGCATCTACCCTGCTGTAGATACCTCTCGAGAAGAATGGATGCGTCTGCGAACCGAGCGACAAAAGCTACTACAAGAGTACGGGAACTTTTTCATGCGGGATCAAACAAGTGCGTTAGTCGTGTCCGTTCCAAAGAGCTTCACGGGCGAAGGGATAATCGCTTGGTTCCGGCGTCGGCCTTCAGTATTATGGGACGACAAGTGGGAAGTCTATTGTAACGATGCCGCGATTATTTCGTCGTGCAAGTTGGGCTGGCGTAGTCAGAGCTTAGAATATGACCCGGATGCGCTTCAAGCGCCAACAGACGACGTGCATGTTTTGCAATGGATGAGTGCATTGTGTGCTGCTGGGTATGTGGAAAATGTCACTCCAGGAATTGGATTTGGCAAACGACGAGTGCTTCTGGAATGTAGGGATGATTATTTCTATCGTTTACGTGAAGTAGATATGTGGATGGAGAATTTATCACGGGAGAGTAGCTTGTTCCCTCTAGATCTCGTTCAGGAGATCGATTGCTATCAGGAGAAGTCGTTGGAACAAAACAATGCTGGTACTGAGAATGAACAGACACAGACTACGACTAAGGAAACACGAAGCTACGCGAAGAAACTCACTGAGTACTGTGATGGCTTTCTAGGCATGCACACCATGTTGTCCAGTGTGTTATTCGCTGTCAAGGATTTGAAGAACGCTCTCATGCCTCCTGTAGTCGAGAAGCCAAGTGATAATACTGGAAATACGGAGAAGGGTTCTGTGGCAAGCGCAGAAGAACAAGGCACTGTCCAAGTTGTTGAGAGTATTCTATGGGATTGGAAGTATTGTCTCTTCATGCCGAGTCGTAAGCACGTGTACATTTACGAGAACGAGACTTCAACAGCTCCTGTCGCGTTTATCGATATGGCGAGCGCAGTGTGTAAAGTTGCGTATAACTTCTCGAATGATGTGAAAGGCGGGTGGATGGACATTGTAAACCCCACAGTGTACGTCAGGAAACCAAACTCGAGGGAATTCGAATCCGTGACCCCCGAAATCCTCAATAAAATGACGAAACCTCGAGCCAACGGAGACAAAGTCATCGAAGTGAAGACCTCGAGTACGCAGAAGTGGATCCAGGCATTGGCACGCTCAGGTGTCTGCGTCGATATGCGCCCAGGTCAGGAGGTGCTGATGAAACGGTTAAACCCAATTATTCTGCAGCAAAAATGCAACAAACACGCCACAGAGTTCGATCCTAATGATCTCGAGGGAAGCTTCCAAAGGCTGCTCAATCGACTGTTCGGTCATGACAAGGGATTGACATACCAAGATCATGAAACGGAACGCCGAGAACTGCGTGCTCAAGTACGGAGTGAGCTGAAAAAGGCAGGTAATGAAGGTGACACGGTGATGGCGTATTATGGCAAAGGCAAGAACCGAAGGTCCAAGCCTATGAACAGTGGGAATTTCAAGAACGATTCGCTGTATCCGGGACGAATTCTTCGTATTCGTACTCCGTTTACGGACGAAAAATATCCGTTTAAGACGACGTACGATATGACAGACACTAACGAAGTCCCCACAGAACTTGCAAAGCTTTTGGCGAAGTACAAGGTCGTTGATAAGACATCGTGGTTGAGCCTACCGAAGTCCCAACGTGACATGTTCTTGCTCTACGTTGTCGAGTACAGTCACGCCAATGAACGGATTGTCGAGGAGGGATTAATGCGCGAACATATTCGTACGAATGAGGGGGATCTGGATCCTCAAAAAGTGAGTGACAAGTGCGCAGATCTCAACATTCTGTTCAAGGCCACCGATCTCGAGAATTGTGTCTCGCGAATGGTGAAGCACAGATACCGTCACAAGTCTCTTGGCGTTCTCAAGATCCATACGAAGATGATTTCACCTCATCGAACGATTGATGCGTGGTACCCACTTGCACCAGCTAGCGACATGCTTCAGAGGACCAATCTAGGTCAGGTTAGAGTGGAGCTTAAGCTGGTGCAGAAGCGGGAGGTGACACGAAGCGCTAAACTCCCTCCGATCCCTGAAAATGTCAGAACCGATGAGTTAACACCACAAGATCAAGGTAAAAGCACTGTCTCCCAGGCTACAGACAGCAAGGGCAGACTACCGTTCGCCGTAGGGCGAGAACCGTCATTTGTTAAGGTCTCGATCCTGGAAGGACGCAGTTTACCTGTCGCCGACATGTTTACAAGTGATTCGTTTGTGGAAATCATCTTATTGGACGAAAACTCGAAGGAGCGGGATACGAGTCTGAAAACGGACATCAAGATGAAAACACTGAATCCAAAGTGGGAAAACCAAGAGTTCTTGCTAGGAAAGACGGAGAAAACCAAACTTAGTGACAAGAAAGGAATTCTGCTGCGTGTGATGGACTATGATGCTGCGTCGGCGAATGATCCGCTAGGCTGTGTGACGATTGAGTTTCAACGAAGGGAGGGATACATCAGAGGTCTCGTACTGAAGCAGGCTGATGCCTATGGAAATGCTGATACACGAGATCTCAAGCTGGAAGATCACAGCCGCGTTGAAGTAGAGGCGATGCTGCTTCCAATATCTGGCAAGCCGAAGCCGAAGAAAACTCCTGCGCCAGACGGAGTGCTGGGGAAGTTGCGGTTTGTAGTTGAAATAATCCGGAACGATAGTTCTGTGAATGTCATTGAGAAACGCATCGAGAAACGACTCGAAGCAACGACAAGTTATTCGGCGGAGATAGCGATCAAGAAGGCGATCAAGAATACAGGAGCTCAGGAAGACTGGAGCAAGTATTCCTGTTACTTTCAGCCACGTGGTGAAGCGGGTGCGCGAGTTAAGTGCGACTCTGCTTCTGAAGATCTTGGCTTTGGAAATTCATACAAACTCAGCGATCTGCTCAGCTCAACTGCATCACTATCGAGTTCAGGAAAAGCGACACAAGCAAGCTCTTCCATCTATGCAGGAGCATTCAAGATCCTTGGTCGTACGTACGATTTGTCAAAAGTGGACTATTTCGATGTGCGCTTGGCATCCGAGTCGACAGGGAAAACCTTCGAGGGACAGCTTGGCAAGTCGGATCAAACGACTAAAGACTTGGAAGGCAAGCATAAATTCTCGTTAAAAACCCCGAATCAATGCGCAAGCTTCCGAGATGAAACAGTGGTCTTGACTGAGCGTGACTCGAAGGAGACGCTGACGCTAACGTTTGACCTGAATTTGATCGGTATTCTTCGAGCGGACCGTGTCAGAAGACTCTTGGCCGATACCTTCCGTTTGGTCGGACTTGCATTTGATTCCAGAACGTTTAATCATACCGGAGGACGGTACAACTTGGAACAACTCCATAAGGATGTTGAGATGTTCTTATGGGAGAATAGCCAAGCAAACTTGATCCCGGGACGTAACGTTGCTGAGGAGCTGCTGACACAACTGCGTATCATGAGTCAAGCTTCTAAACTTCATTGGAAAGCAACACCTCAACTACTGGGTTACGTGTTCGAACTCGTCTTGTTAAGTGGAGATAACGACCGCCTTTCGTACGCGAGTGCCGTAGCTTTGGACGCTGTGCTCAATCGATGGTCTCGCGTATTGGTGCAAGTGACTGAGGCTAGAGAATATTTGACTGGCAATTTCCACGGCAAGAAGACTCCACGTCTAATTGAAGCTCTGTTCACAGAATGCGAATGGACTGGATTTAATGTCATGACATTAAGTGATGGGGATAACGGCACGACAACTAACAAACAAAGGTTAAGTCCTTTCAGCATTGACGACCGGGTTACTGTGAGATTACCCTTCTTAAAACATGCTGGGGTTGTTGTGGATACCCAGTTACACGAAGGACGTTTTGTTGCCGCTCGAATAGTCAAGGAATGCGGTGCAGGTCTATTCAATGTCAAAATTTGTGATGTTCTTGGCAATGAGGTCACTCTAGGTGACGCTCAAGAGCGTGTTGGCAAGCTAAAGGAGTACGATAATGCCAAGCACCCTGAGGCTCCGTACCTGGTTGAATATCTAGACGGCTTAGAGCCACGCGTAGAGTGGAGAACGCATCGGTTGATGAGTGAAATTGTCTTGCAAGTAGAGGGAGAGCTGCTGAAGTCCGAGCTGGAACCTGGCGACTTCGTGCACATCAGTGAAGAACATATTGTACTCTCGGCAGAATTAACTACGGGTGTCTCTCGAGTCGACGACAATACTGACACTTCTTCGACCATTATCACTGGCAAAACGCGTCCTGGAAAGATCACAAACAGACATGGTGGTGCGCGATACGACGTTGTATTTACTGATGGACTAGTGCCTGTTAACGCCAAAGTGGTGAACCGAAGCCGTTTGATTCCGATGTGCAATGAGACCATGTACGACGGAAGAATTACAAGCATTTACGCGCCAGTAGCAGTTCTGGAAGGTCCTCCACCACCAATTAAGTATACTGTCTGTCTCGAGAACAGCGAGGTGGTCCACAACTTTTCTGGAACTCAAATTCGACCGCGCCACGGCGTATTTGCGGCGGATACGGCGTTTCTTGGCGCTGTTTTCAGTTCGAACTTACCGACGTTGGATAAAAACCGTCATGTACCCGATTCCACACTGAATATGGCAAAATCACTGGAAAAACTGTGGTGGGGCAGTGACAAAATCCTGAAAGTGTACGCGATGCTTCCTGCTGCTGTTAAGTCGATTCAAGTACGCAATGCAACGACCAATAAACTGTTACAAACAGCACTTCTGGAGCGAAACGAAAACGAACCACGTTTTATCGGTCAATATCATGGATTTGTCAAAGGAGAAACGTTGGACGAGAAAGAAGCACACCAGCTCGAATTGGTGCACAACGCTGTATGCAAACGTCGCCAGCACAACGGATCTTTGAAGATGGCACCTCAATTCAGCAAGGAAAAGTGTTTCTACTTGATAGTCGCGTCACCTCCGCTCGTGCAAATTCGCGGACAAGTTCGTGTGTGTTCATCTCCTTATTCGGAGGCGCTTTTCAAAGGATTGGTTATGGCTACACTGGGAAGTACACCGGACTTAGCCGTGACTGTCGTTCAGAGACTGCTGCGTGCGGAATGCAGTAAGATACCGCGAGCCGGCTCGAAAGAGTGTCGTGTAGCTATTAAATGTGCCAAAGTGGAGTTTGCTAAGAACCCTACGCGAGATGTGGTGCTCAATTTGATGCATCCAAGCTCAAAGAAAGCAGCCATTGATGCAGATTTGGCTGGCGTATCGTGGTTGGATGCATGCATTGACATCAAGTTTCAACTGTCCGTACCGTATAATGACCAAGGTAACATCAGTGAAGCTGTGGCTACTGCTTACGAGAATGCATCGACAATTTCGAAGCGACTTCAAACGTTCAACACTCTAGCTGTGGAAGTCAATATGTTGGCGCCAGATACTGTCGATATGGAAAAATTGTCGTGGCTCTTGACGACTTCGGACATCAACCTCAAGTCCAGCATGGCTCTCTCGATTGACTTTTCTAGTCAAACCGGAAGATCTGACTTGAAACCTGAAGTTTCACTTGAACCTCTCGATGATATCCGTGTTAGTGTTCGTGATTCCCACGACAAAACACACGATCTGCACTTCAGGATTGACGATATCTTGGCGGAAGCTGCAGTTCGAAGGAATCTTACTCCGTTCCACAAAGCCATAGTCGTGGCACCGCCTTCTGAAAACGAGTCAATGCGCTGCCGTGTGAGATTTTTGCCAACATCGTCTAATAAATCTAACGCTGGTGCTGATGTAGAAAATAAGAGAACAGGTGAAGTGGACGTACCCACTGGAAGTATTCGGTTTGACACACTCCGCGTGAAGGTGGTCGAAGCGAGTAACATGAAATTCAAAGAGAAAATGGGAAATGAAGGGCTCCAAGTGGAAGTGATGCTCGTTTCTAGCGACTTTGATAAGCACATGACTGTCAGTAGTGGCAAGAAAACTACCACTCCATTCGGTTTGGAAGTCTCTTCAACAGGCGAGCTCTTGCCAGATATCTATCCGAAAAACTCGAGCTTTACACTGATGTATGATACTACCCAGGTGGTGAAGCAGACCTCAGATGCGTCGGTGACTTGGAGAGTTAAGAATGGCCCCCCGTACGTCGAATTTAAGTACCCGGTGATTGATATGGATCGTGTGTCGGAAGTGAGACTGGTTATTCGAGACAAGAAAACACAGGCAAAAATGGGTATTGTCACGATTCCGATGGGATCAATCAGCATTTCTCGATCGGTTGAAGACATTGATAAACCCAAAGACGAGCCGATATATAGTATGCAACGTGACGGGGCTGACGGGAAGCGTGCAGTTGTCGGAACACTTTCTTTAAGTGTTGAGCGCATTCAAAAGTACAGTGCGAACGATGAAGTATATGCTAAACACCTCGAAAAGCCCATGGACTTCTGGACTATCTGTCCGAAAGAACTGCTTAAGTTGACGTTGGAGCAGCACGAAAGCAAGCTTTCTCGTAGCTTTCTCGCTGCGGGGCCACCAGTTTCTGGTGAAGGGAAGATACTACTAAGCACAGCTATTGATATGGAGCTCCAGCTGCAGAAAATTGCAAAGGTCCAGAGGATTGATGCAATCACCAAGTTGCAATCATCTACATCCTCTCGCTCCGTGGCACTGCTATCGTCCTCAAATGAGTTCCAAAACTTTGAAAATCTGAAGTCTCGTGCGATGGACACACTGCAACAAACTTTACAACAGACAAAGTCCTTTATGAAGGACACTGCTCATGAACTGGGTCTTGGTCACTACATGACTGAACACAGACTCCCGTGGTCATCTGACACTCAAGTGGACAAACATGAGAGTCAATTGCGTGATGATGTTGTGGTAGTGGAAGCAAATGTGGCAACATGCACGAATCGAGTACAGCTGAGTGTTTTAAAGCTGCATGAAGTACTCACCAAGCACTTCATTCCAAAACTGGACGAGTTGTATACGCTAGACGCCGATGATGATCGTGTTGACATCACGAAAGGCGAGAGTTTACTGTCGTTTTTTGATACTGAGGTAGAAGAGCTGGAACCCGAAGACGAAAAAGTCCGTCTGAAACTGTACCAGCGGCTTCGACTCACTAAGTTGATTCAAGTTCTAGATTTGATCATGAAGGCTTCAGTGCGTGTGAAAGTGATGAACGAAGATCGCAATAACGTGGACGGCTATATAGGCACAGCGTGCATCCCGTTGATGGATCTTCTGGACCAGCAACCACATGACGATGTCTATGAGCTTCTGTACCTACCCACAACTAACTTACGCGGGTCAAGAATTGCTGTAGAAGCGCGTGGAGCGAACGACAGAGGTAAATTACGCTTGCGTCTCCATTTGAAGATTTCGGAGAGCTCTTTCTTTGAGCAAGCGATCGAGGTGTATAAAGTCTGGAAAGCCAAGTATATCGCGCAGCACGAAGCGGCTCGCAGACGTATACACGACGCAGTCGTGCCAGCTCAACGTCGACGCTGGACGACCGTCAAAGGATATTTGGATGAGCTAACGGCGCAGACTAGTGGCAAGCTACACTGGGAACGTACCCCAGTACTACTCAGTCTCGTGTGGGATATCTTTACCATACAAGAGAGCACTTCAGCTCAAAGCAAGAAGAAATCTGATGCTGACGAAGCGGAACATTCTCATAGCATTGCAAAAATGGCAGACAATTATCGCGGTGCAGTGATGAAAGTTCACCAGCGTTGGGTTAACTTGCAACCGAAACTGGACGAACTGTTAATTATTCAGGCTACCACACAGATCCACGCCCACCGAACACCGGATATTCTTGAGGATATTGAGAAGGAGATTGAAGGGCTGGATGTGGGGCTTAGTACGGCCTGGAAGCAGGTGAAGCAGAAATGGCAGACGTTGTTAGAGGCTTTAGAGGAGCTCGTGAGGATGAACGAGGGCAAGCTGAACTTGGCCCGTGCGCCACAGCTGTTGAGTACTGTGGAGCAGCGGTGCAGTAAAGGACTTAACACTCGCCACTCGGACGCAGTCTCGCAGATTCAGTCTCGTTGGATGGCGATCACGCAGCCGAATGGCCCACTAAGCGAGCTTCGGTTAATGGAGAAGAAGGGCTTACACTGGCGACGCACACACGAGTTGCTGTTGCTGCTAGATGAACAGTGCGAGGGTTTCGCAGACGTCGACGCCAGAGCTCTGAACACTGTGCAAACCCGATGGGAACAAGTTCAAGAATGGCTCCATGAGGTTGTGCAAATGCAGCTACAGCACTCGATTGATAGTGAGCACACGCCATTTATCCTGGAAAAAATGCAGTTGTGGAAGCCTACCCGTGGCAAAAAACAAGAAGAAAACAAGTTAGAGAGATCACGTAGCGCTAGCGGAGTAGCGCCATCTTCCCCGTCTGCTAAAGACAATACTGCCAGTAGACAACCTGGGCTATCTCGACAGTATTCTGTGTCGTCGGATGGGGGTTTTACGTCTGGAAGCGGCATCGAAGACAACGGACAGTTGGAAGGTATGGCAGAATGGTATGCCATTGAAGAAGCCAAGTACGAATTGGAACGGATTCCTTATCACCGTATCACGATGGATTCAGACAAGAAGAACTGGTTACCATTTTCACGTGATGGCAAAGACTCACGTCTGTTGATAACCCAAGAAGAAATGTTCTTTACGCCTGCAAATGTGCGTCTTGCACTGGAAGATCGTGGCGTCATCCCAAAAACTTCAACATTTGATCTCACAGCGGACTCGACGTCTAATGCCAGTGCAAAAGAGGATGTGTGGGTTAAACCATCGCTGCTTGACTCCAAGTCTGGTTCTCAGACGGTTGTTTTACCTAAACACGTCGACGAAGAAATCAAAAGATTGGAAAAAGTTCTCGAAAGTCAGCGTGAAAACAGCCAGCAGTTTACTTTGCCGAATCCTGAACGTGTAGCCGAGCTCTACCAAGCCATGGAGAGTCTTGGAAAGACCGAATTGCTACGCAACGTCAGCCATGCTGTGAGCAGAAACCTCGAGCTGGCTGCACCGGAAAACTATCAATTACTACTGCGAGAGATGACAAGTCGACAAATATCAACTACTGAAGTTGAGAATTTGGTGGAATCACTAGCAATCACGTTGCGAAAGGAGACACTAGTAGCGAAGGGTATCACGGTACCGGACACTGTAGACCCCACGACGTTGCGTCAGCTAATGGAGGAACATGAAATCAGAGAGGTCGCTTTACCGCAGGATACCAGTTCTATCCAGACGCTACTCGATGAACGAAGAATGGACCATAAGGGCGAGCCCGTGATGCTTCGAGGAGTTCGCATTGGCACTCAGTCCACTCAGACTGGCAATACAAAGGCTATCAACACTGGATTAGGCATTATTGATACGCAGGTTGAGACTCTGCGTAGGACGTTATTGTTTGAAGCGCTCCGAAAGAGAAACTCACTGGTGCGTTCGTTTGCCGGTGAATCACACGTGCTTGATGAAGAAACCGAGAGAACTGAAGCCGATATGTTCGCTGCTGCAATTGAGAATGCTGAAGTCGACGTAAGTGGAGACTACCTTACACTCGTTGAACGTTTCCAGCGACTACTAGTGCATGAATCATACACCAAACGACTAGCAGAGTACGCAGCATTGGACCGCTGCATGCGAGCTCTGTTGGGTAAATCTCGAGACGAAGTTGTGACGAAAGAAGAAATTGCAATGGAACTACACAACGTCAACAAGCGAGTTATTGGAGCTAACTATCGCCTCCCTCCCGAGGCTTTTACGAGAGAAGAACTTTTCCAAGCAGTTGCTGCAGGACGAATCCGTACTCCTAGCGATGAAATGTTATCTCACTGTCCTGAGGGTGAAAATGCTAGTGCTATGGCCCACTACGCGGCCATCAGTTACGCTGCCAACGTGTTCCAAGAGGTGACGAGTTTTCGATCACGAGTGGATGTGGTCAAGAACCGACTGCAGGATACTTTCCCATACGATGAGTGCAGTAGTCTGGATGGTGTTTTTCTTCAGAAGCAGCGAACTCGACAGACCTTAAGCCAGTCAATCGCTGACTGGTTGCTTGGCTTTGACGCGTCAGCATTGAGTATTAAACGGAAACTTAGTGCCGCGCATCGCCAACGACTGGAGTGGGCGTCAGCAGCGTTTACGTTGCGTAATCGATGGCAACAACGTGGACTTGGGTGGTGTGACCACGAATTTGAAGGTGTCGGCGTCAAATATCTACTTGATCGTCTTCTTCTCTTTGAAGCAGCGAACAAAATGGACATGGTCAAAACGGAAAAACTACTAAGAGAAGTTCGTGACAAGTGCTCGAGACTGAGAGACCGTGAGCAAGAGGCGCAGACAAAACTTGAAGAACGTTACCAGGCCAACCTTGCGTTGCTCGAAAAGCTCGTGACTCATGCCGAGCGCTGCATGAACAACCGTAAGCTGCACTCAGAAGAGACGCCAGTATTGCTACATAAGCTGGAGCAGGTGTGTGTGGTGCCAAAGGGACTAAACGACCGTCATCGCGAAGCATATCACACGGTTGCAACGCACTGGCTGCCACATCAACAACACCTCGCAGAGCTTGTCAAGATGCACAGGGAAGGCACGTTCAGCATCACCCGCACCCCAGAATTGCTTGGAAAAATGCAGTACCACACGGAAGGCAAGGCCGGATCGGAAGAATTGAGTGAAGACAAGGTAGCAGCTTCTGCTCAACGGGTTGCTCCCGAGTTACAGGCAACGTTTGTGGACCGCAAGTTGGATGAAGTGCGACTTGGACAGCGCAAAGAACCGTCCAGTCTGCACTTGAATCTGAACACTGAAGAAAATGTTGATCAATCAGCGGACGATACAGAGTGGAAGGAGTTGTCTCCTTCGAAGCGAGTGGTGCAGCCTTTATCGCCACATGAGAAGCAAACGAGCTGGAAGGTTGTGAGGAACGCAGTTGCAGCGAACGCGGCATTTTCAGCAGCATCACCAAGCAAAACCAAGCCGGAAAAAGCCAAGGTGGAGATAGCACCCAAGGTTGCGCCGCCGCCTTCGCCACGTCGGAGACTATCGCTAAGTGACGAGCTCAAAGAGCTCTTACGATCACCAACACAATGGTTCACTGGCACAGGACAGCAAGAAGAATATATCCGAGCCGAACTCTATTTCCCGGAACAACTTGTCCTGGATACAGCCAGTGACTTGCTCAGCGACCCGACGAAGTAAGAGGACACTGCACATTTATGATTGAATACTAACTACATATTTTCGCTGGTATTTGTTTTCTTTTATGATATATTTTTTTGATAAATGTTGTGATTGTTTGTTCACGCTTTCACTGCTCTTTCTGAACACGCAGCTCGCGGTTAAGATAGAAGCCTGACTTGTGTAGATATGTCGGTGGCAGTTCAATAGCGTGATTTTGCTCCAACACCTGCAAGAGGATCTGTGAGTAAGAATTGGTGATAAATTTACAAGAATGGCGTACCCGGTTGGAAAAGACTTCGAATTCGTCCTCAGTCATAGGTCCGTACAGAAGACTCCATTTACCATCTACAAGCACGAAATAGTAGCGTTCATTCTCTCCGTGCTCGTACCAGCCTTCCTCTCCTTGCACGGTGCCTGGGCATGCGTTCAAAATGCCGCTCGAACTCTTGCTACTATGCTGCTTCTTGCTGCCTCCACCTAAGAATGATCGCATCTTTTCTCCAATTTGTCTGCCAATTCCTGACTTGCTACTGTTCTTGGAAGTGCCGGAACTAGTACGACCTTCGTCATCCTTCCGGGTGGACGATACGGTCGTTGTCCGTCCTTCTGACGAACCTTCACTACGCTCAGTCTCCTCTTTCTTCCCTCTATCAGGCTCCTCGGTCTTGCTTGATAAGGGAATAATTTTCGCTTCGGATGGTTTTTCCTCGGACTTCACATCCAGTTGAGCCACTCCTTTCTCTACTTCTTGTAACGTTGCTGTGGACTTCTTCTTCTCAGCTTTGCGAGCTGAGCGAGAGCCTTCTTCGGGGTCAGAGTCACCGCCACCTTTATCGCGTCGTTTCTTACTACGTCTGGAACGCCGTTTGTGGTCACTGTCGTCTTCGTCGTCGTCATCACTAGAGCTTCTTCGATGTCTGTGACGACGTCGACGACGTCTCCGTCGGTAGCTGCCATCTGAATCGCCCGACGATGTTGAATCGGACTCACTATCACTTGACCCACGTCGATGACGGCGACGGCGGCTGTGTCGAGCACTACGTTTTCCTTTTTCAGTTTCACTAGAGTCACTACTTTCTACGTCGCGATGACGTTTCTTCTTGGTATGTTTGCTTTTACGAGGTCGATCCGTGTCTTCAGCGGTTCGAGATCTGGCGCTTGCAGGCTCCTCAGTAGCTCCACTTCTGTGCGTGTCATCACCAGTTTCGCGATCGCGATGCTTTCGCTCTTTCTTCTTGCGCTTGCGTGGTGACTCGTTGCCTTCATTGTCAGTACTCGCAGCTTCTTTACGAGGTGAGCGTACAGTAACAGGAGCTGCTTCGTCCGGTTCAATTCCGTCATTGGCCTCACGTTTCTCCTTTCTACGCTTCTCCTTCTTCTGCTTCTTACGTTGTTTCTCGGCTGCTCGCTGCGCTTCTTCACTCACTCCATTACTAGCCCCATTACCTACCTCATTGACAGCGTCCAAGAATTCTAAGTAGGACGATGGTACATAACCCACCTCGTCTCCTGCTTCGCATTTGAGGTATCCTGTACGTTTGGTGGAAAGCACCTTGACGATATCTCCCGTACGTAGTGATAACTCCTCCTCCCCTGAAGCCTTTCGGTCTCGCACTACACGAGCCATCGCGCCATCCTCACCACTCGTAGGCTTAGCAACGGTTGCACGCCCCGTGTTAATAGTCGCTCGACTTGTTGTCGGTGGTGACGCGCGCGGTGTTCCGCTGTCTGACTCGGTGTTGTCGACGTATGTCGCCGTCATCCCCCCGCCAATACTCGAGCTGCCGCCAAGTGGCATATTTGAGTACGAGTCGATCGAGTCATTTGTCAAGCCTTTGACCTGGCGCACTGCCTGCTTCGGCTTGGTGGTGAGCGCCGGTAACATGCTCTGTGCACGTTGTTGTTCGGCACTTCTGAGCTGTTCTCGATGGCGTTTTTAGAGAAAGCGAGATCAGCAACGTAGACACTACCTCTTCACAGACTCAAACTGGAAGCTGCGGGCAGTTATCAGCAGCCGTCCTTCATGAAAATAACCCCTCGACCTGCCGACTGAATTTGTCGCCTTGAAGGATAGCCGAGAATAGGCGGGATATTCTCATCCAAACCTCAGCACTGCAGCTTCAGTGAATGAACACAGGCTCCTTGTCTTAGCTCCAGCTCCTCGATCTTTCTCCATTAGTTGGGAATGAATCCGCGCGATCATGGCAGCATCGTTTGTCTTTGGTTGAGAGCGCTCATGTGCATGTTGACAATAACGTCATTACTGTTAGTTGAAGCAAATTGCCAATATGTGACGTGCGAGAAAATACCTCAAATCCCTCATTTTACGAACATGTGACGTGTGAAAAAAACTCAAATTACAAGTGGCCACTGCGTCACAAGGAATGGCAGACATCTCGCACTATGGTCCCGCCGCTGGTGATGCCGCGTCTTCGCCGTTATACCGGGCGTTATGTGTGCGTTCTGGCAATGTAATTGCACTGGGGATGCAGAAGAGCGCGTCCGTGAATTGCGCCGGTATGGCGCTTTTCCGGGTTTTCCAGGGCAACGTGGAGGTGTTGGGCTTTTGTCCTCCTCTAGGCGTGTATTTCTCGCTGCATTCGCCCAAGTGGAACAATCTACTGGTGATCGAGGGTCGACCTGGCAATGAAGAGACTCAAGCGCCTTTCGGACCTACAAATGCTAGTTTGTTGCAAATTATGGAGCCAAATCTCCCGGCGGAAGCTGTGAACGAGGACGAAGAGATTGCGGTGGACAAACTGGCCATGCAACTGGTGGACGACTTCCCCATCGTGTTGGTGCTGCGAGCCATCCCTGTCACGTATGGGAATGTTACAAGTTTCTATGAAAATACAAGACCAGAGAGGCCGTCGGCTGTGCTACCTGGTTTCAAGATGATCATCTCAAAACACAACCAGAACATGCTAAGCGAGCTAACTGCAGGCTTCGACTACACAAGCGCTGCACCTCCGAACGCAGACCCGTCGCATCATGATTGGAAGTCACCGGAGCGAGTACTAGCAGAGCTTGTGGTCGTGGATTCTGTCAAAACGCTGAATTTCACGGAGCCCTGGCAAGCAACAGTGGACAGACTGGAAAAGAGTCTAGTGGACGAGAACCCACAGAAGATTGTCGTGTGTGGCGGCAAGGGCGTGGGGAAGTCAACGTTTTGTAGATATCTGGTGAACAGGTTACTCTCGAAGTTCGGCACTGTGGCGTTCCTGGACACAGACTTGGGACAGAGTGAGCTTACTCCGTCGGGTCTTGTGGCACTTCATGCCCTGAGCACCCCACTACTTGGACCGGGATTCGCGCACATGAAACACCCGGTCCGGTCATTCTTCTGCGGCAACACAAACCCAGGCAATGATCCGTTGTACTACATGAAGGCAGTCAAGAGTTTGCTGCGTCTGTACGAAGTCAAATGGGGAAGACAAGACCAGGATAACTCTAACTCCAGCGAAAGACCAAGAGCATGTGTACCGCTGGTGATCAACACAGACGGGTGGATCAAGAGCATGGGCCACGACTTGCTGTGCAACGTCATCCAGGAAACGAACCCGGACCACGTCGTGCAGCTTCTAGCCGCGACGAAGAACAAACAGTTCGTTGTTCCCACAGAAGGCAGATGGCGTATCCACGCTGTCCCGCCTTGGGACCCCGTGGGTGTGACACAACCTCCGAGAAGCTCCAAGGAGCTGCGAGTCTATCGTTTCCACTCGTATTTCCTGTCTCGCGCGCGCTGTGATCTCCCGCGGTCACAGCTACAAAATCTCCAAGTCTTGTCCGAGAAGAACCGCGTAGACAGCGATATCTACCGCGCGTATGCTCGACTCACGCCCTTCGCCGCGTCATTCGACCACGTGGATGTCGCTTTCGCTGGCTCCTCTGTGGCTCCGAGTCAACTCCTTTTCTCCCTCAACGCCAGCGTCGTTGGGCTCTGTATCAACCCCGACTACAAGGCAATTGAATCCGAGCCGCGTGAGGGACCGCCTCGTATCGTACTGCAACCTGTTCACGCTCCGTGTCTTGGCGTTGGGATCATTCGTGCGGTGGATGCGGCCAAACGTCAACTGTTCGTCGTGAGTCCACTACCCCTGTCCATATTGAAGCGAATCAACCTTTTGGTACGCAGCAGCATGCCGCTTGACAGCATCTTATTATCGGCTCAAGAACCTGCCCAAGCCCCATACGTTGTCACCGACGTCGTCGCATCCGACGGCACCGGATCTGCTGTCATGCAGAGCCGCAACAACCTCAAACGTAAGCGTGACGGCAAGTAATAGCCTCGGAAAGAACGATAGATTATCGCCATTTCAAGTAGTTAGTCCTCGTTTCTAGCTGCTGATGACGCAGATCTCGTTGTGTTTGGCGTCTTGATAGCGTGTTAGACATTCGTCCACGTCTCCCTCTGGTTCAGGCCACGTCTCTAGCGACAGTGCGAGCTCTCGCCTTCCTTCGCACCACCGCAGTACGTCACGCAGCTGTCGCCACTCGAATGCACTTGACGCACTGAGCTTCGATGCTCCCAGCGAGACGTCTCCACCGAGCAACGACCACACTGAAGACCCAGAGATCAGCAGCAGCCACGGCAGAATTGCCACGCACAGCAACACGATGCGCATTATTGACAAGAAGATCGCGGCGACGGTTCAATATTGGAGCTAATTCTACACAATTTGAAGCATTTGTGAAGGCGAGCACTCCATTGTTTCTTTACGTGCGAGCTATTGCCTCCTACTCCCGGAAGGAAAAGTCTTTGTCGGCTGCCTCGGCGTGGGGTGTCGCGATGGCGCCCATGTGGTAGTCGCCGCACGAGACCGACGTGATGTTAACGCCGGCCAGAGCTTGAATCTGCAGCGGTTGCAGTTGGTTCTTGCGGTCGCCATGGCCCAGACAGTTGGAGCTACCCTTGCCGAACGTGAACACCTTGCCGTCGTCGGTCAAGGCCACTGTGTATTGCCGTCCACAAGCCACCTGCGTCATCTTGTGCTCGTTCACGGCCGTCATCTCGTGCGGTTCGATCCAGATCTTAGCTCCCCACATGTACAGACGTCCGTCCTCCGTCACAGCCGCAGCGTGGTCGTAACCAGCTGCAATCTGCTTCACTTGCAGGCCGTTGAACGCCTCGACCAGCACCGGAATCGACTCGATGTTGTACACGTCCATCGCCAGACCACCGCCAATACCCAGTTGATTCTCTATAGCACCATAACAACCAAGTCAGTATCAACCACACCACTAGAACCTAATAACGCCACGTACGGCTGTTGCCTCCCCAACTGTACAGCTCGCCCTTGTCCGTCAGGGCGAAGGAAAAGTCCCGTCCTGCAGCGATCGACACGACGTTGTCCTTGGAAAAGAACTCAATGGGCTCTGGCACCTCGCACGTGTCGGACTCGCCATTGCCCAGACGTCCGTACTCGCCATTACCCCAGGCCCAAATCTCTCCGTCCTTAGTAAGTGCGACCGTGTGGAATTCACCGCACTCGACTGTAGCCATGGGTGCACCCTGATCCACCAATGTTGTCAACAGTCGTGGAGTGGGTTCGTCCTTGCCACCAGCGTGGCCAAGACCTCCAGCGCCCTTCATAGTGGAGCCTCCCCAGCCCCACGAATACATCTTGCCGTCCTCATCCACAGCAGCTGTGAAGTAATCACCACAAGAGACATCTACGATTTTAATGCCCTTAAGAGCCTCCACCTCGCACGGGAGCTCCTCCATCTCGCTGCTCTCTCCGAGGCCCAACTTGCTGTACTCGTTGCTACCCCATACGTATAGTCTGCCGTCCTCATCGACTACACATAGCCATGTCGTAAGTTAGCATTATGCTGCAATAATGATTGTGTTATACCCACTGGCTGCACTGTGGCTGGCACCGAACTCGACTTGCGCGATGGCCTTGCCTTCTAAAGCCTCCACAAGCTTGGGCGTCAGCTCCTCATACGCGTTGCGGATACCCGACTTGACCACGGGTCCGTGTCCCAGCTGGCCCAGCGTGCCGTTACCCCATGTGTACACTGCGTTATACAAGAATTCGTAGCGTGTTAGAAGAAGTTGCACATGCAGTATCTAAAAACTGGTGTTGAAACAGTCTACAGCTGACGCACCACTAGATTGCGTGGCGAACGAAGCGGTTCTTAGTACGCTACGAGTGGCAAGGAATCTGGCAGCGGTGGCATGTCGTCCGGCCGCGCGTAGAGCGCCCAGCAAGACCTGCACCATGACAATCGCTATCTATGCGGCGGATATGTGTGGCGACGACGCTAATCCACATCACATCTACATAATACGATGTTCACCACACTAAATTAGTCAATGATGTAATCCACATCACTGTTTTAGTGTAGCCATTTTTTTTCGGCGGTACAACAATGTCAACAGAGCAGCAGCAATATATATTAATACATGTAGTTGCTTTGGACTGCGTCGTTGGTACTTCCATTGTACAGGTATCTCCGTGGAAGACGTCACGGACATCACGCTTGTGGCGTGAAGTACGGACTTGTTCTCAGCCTAATCTGATGTCCGGATGACTGGAGGTCGCGTTCCAAATCGGCGTGTTTATTCATTTGAGCAACAACAAACGTCCAATCTCTGTTCGGCATCCTGATTGCCAGTATGTCAACTTGACGGTCAAGTGAGCCAACTGGGTGGCGCACGAAGCTTGCACCCTTCAACGCAGCGCCGCGCGACAGTCGAAAATAATACTGGTGATTGGAAGCAGTAGCTCTGCGTGAAGACGTTGCTCGTTTAGCAGGAACGAATCGCAGGAATCAAGGTACCACCTAGTGAATGTCTCGGAGACGGTTGATCAAGTCTAGACTTGCACACTCATTTTCCATTTTGCCACGTTTCGGTCAGCACATTTCCTGGCTCAAGCGATGATTTCGATGAAAATGGTGAAGGTGGTGATGATATTCGCAGCCTTTGGCGCAATACTCTTTGATACCCCGCGTGCGACGATCTACACAATTGGCAACAGATCAATGTCAATACCACTCGCTACGGTGGCTCCTGCTGACCATTTGACCAGTGCATCGGGTAATTTGAAGCCGCTGCTTAACTCGTCAAGCGATGACAGTACCAATACTAACGGAAGCTTAACCGCTGGAAATCGCTCATCTACTACCGACGGCGACGCATCTGATCGAGACTCTGACGACTCTGAAGACAGCAGCGATGATGAATCTATGGACAGTGAAGAGATTCCACATGCATCAGGAACTGCAGGGCCACTAGCAGTCGTGAACGCCGCGTTTAAACTCGGCAGCGTGCTCAACGCAACCAGCACTATCGAGCAGACGTATGTCAACTGGGTTGGCAATAGCAAGTATTACTATTCTTCTCGCGCATGCTGGCGGAAGGCTCACATCGCCAAGACGTGTCCTCTGGGATTCGACAGCAAACTTGGGATGTGCTGGACGCAGTGTCCATATGCGTATCCGGTCGAGTGTGGACTCGAGTGCATCCGGCAGAATGATGGCTGTGGTATGGAAGTGTTTTACAAGGTTGCGGTCGTGGTCCAGAACGCGATCTCGCTTTCCGCTTGGAGTATTTACGGTGACATGACAAAGTGGGCAAAAAGTACTCAAGTCGCTGTGAAGTGCATCAAGTATATGATCAGTCTCACCAAGTCTCTGGTCCGATATATTCGCTACATCAAAATTCACGACCCTCAGACCTCGCAAGACCAACTTCTTGCTATCTTGTACCAGATTGACAATGTCATAATCGATATCCCCGTGACGATTTCTTATTGCGTCGGTAGCAAAGTGTCCGACGATGTCAAGTTCGCGGACATGGTAATTACGACTGCAGAGTACGCATTGAAAGAAATTATTTACAGCGGGGACTACATCCTCTCAAGTTGGAGCTCGTTTACAAATTTTATGAAGAAAATCGCGTTAGGTGAGTCCATCTCATCGTTGAAAAGCACCGAAATTACGTCTCTGAAGTCTGCGCTGAAGTCTAACACAACGTGTGGCTACGACTTGAAACGTCTACTTGATCGTACGTGGATGACTGTGGCAGAACTGCGTTCTCTAAATCCTGACATCTCTGAGGACGACATTCGAGTTATCATGAGTCAGTCGAACCTTATGCTGAACGACATCCCTATAGCAACGAACAACTGCATGGACGAACTTCTGGCACAGTCGGACGAAAACACCGCATATGCCACGCGTGAAACTCTTCGAAAAACATTCGTTACCATCGTGGACGACTTGATTAGTGCAGGAACGAGCGACAATGGCACGTTTCTGAATTTTGGAGAATATGCTTTCAAGATAGCAGACAGAGCGATTGCTTTCTGGTCCATTTGGGATCCGTTTTACATTTCGTCCGTGATTTCCGAGTTTGTTCAACCCATTTGCGGCCCCACACAACTCATTGGAGAGATTGACGACGGAAATGTGAAGAAAGCGCTAGGAATGTCGATTGTTCAGGGAGCTTTTAACAACAGCGACGGTATGTGGAGGAAACTTGGTGACGGAACGGTCACTATAACGTTTAAAAGCGTTGATACGGAAGACGTGCGTGTCAATATCAAGTCTGGCGGTGATAAAATTGCCGAAGTGCCTGTTCCAGCGGGTAAAACTGTGACTTGGAAGTCGAATGTGACGACGCTGGGAGGGAAAACTTTGTACTTAGATCGGTGGCGTCCAGGTTTTCTGGGTCTCCCGGGTACTGGAGGTGGTTCGCTACTTCTGTGGATCCCTCGGTCGACTCATGGAGGCAGTCTGGAACTTAACGCGATGTTAAATGTTAGTTGAACTGTGATCTTAGTACTGCTGCAACATATTTAAAAATGTAAAATTATTGATTCGAAGGAAGTGTTATGCGATTACTTCTTAAGTGTGGACTTCATCCAACATGTAGTCCTGGTATTTACCAGAGTGTGGTAGACTAGCACTTGCCTTGAAATGTGTCCGAACGCAATTGAATGGGGAATCGAATGGAATCTAATCCAATGAACGAAGCACAAGTTACCAAAGGGAGTGTAGATGTACCATTCTGCCAATTGCTCCTTCCAGTATAACTCATTTTACTGCAGTGCTGGCACGTGAAGCATCGGTACTGCCATTTTATACCTTGTGCAATGGCCCACATAGCGTTCGTTCAAATAACTCGTAATGCGCAAGCATCAAACAGCTTCTAACTGCTGGCAGCAGACCCGTAACAGGGAGACCCAGAAAACTTTAGGACATCACCGATCCAGATAGTAGGTCGTGTTTCCTTTCCAATTAACGATCCCCCTTACCGACGCCCGATGTTCACTGTCACGTCTTCAGTGTCAATTATCTCAAAACCAAATGCACGTTAACCCTTTAATGCAGCGATCTTCTGAAAATTAATGTGCGGAATGAAGCCGCGCAGCGAATTGTGAATTGCTGCACCGTACGGCGTAGCTTTCACCTGCTTTGTATTTGCAGGGTCCGAGACTGAAAGTTTTTGTGAATCTGGGGTTCCTCAAATCATAGGCCCCGACAACGTTCAATCATTTGCGACATCTATAAACCCCGTCATCTTCGTCCTTGTCCTCCATGTGAACAAAGCACCACATTTGCTGACTCAGACAATGCAGTTTTCTTGCTTCCTGAAGCTGTGCTGAACGAAAACTGAAGAAAAGCGTACTGGAACAGCGATTGCGTCCTGGAACAGCGATTGCGTCCTGGTTCGACTCAGGTACTTGATACTACCGGCAGCATAGCACTCGTGGTCAACTCAGATTCGGTGACACCTGTAAGCTGGTCGATTCTCGAAATCCCTACTGCCTATCCTCGTTCGAATCTCGACACTGCCGAGTCGATAGGACAACGCCACAGAATGTGGTGTCTCTCGCAGGCAGGAGATTCTCTCCAGAAAGCTTCTAGCCAAACGAATGGCGGACGTCTCGCACATGATATTTTGAGCGGGCCAGATGGCTAAAAACACGGGAAAGTCTTGAGCCGTGTTCAACAATGAACAGCGAAAACGACCCGTCCACGCTCCATTCCGATGATCAGTCTGCGCGACTGAAGATTTGAGTCAAAGCTAGGGTTTTTCTATCGTCGCAGCAGGCCGATGAATACGTTGCGGGTGCTGTTCGTAAAGAAAGACGGTCTGTACGCGCGTTAATCGACTACTTCACTTTTCGTTTTGCCGTTACCGCAGGAAGCCTAACATGATACTCAGGTTACTTGCCATCTTTGCAGTTTATACCTCGACACGTGGAAATATCGTCTCAGCTTCGTCGAGGACACGCGCACTCAGCAGGATAACAACACCGCCATCAACACTACACGCATCAGCACTCAGTAGTGCCCCAGCTTCGGATAATTTGACAACGATTGGCTCGCCAGAAGCGACAGCACCTGCATCTTCCTACAGGTCATCGAGCGATAGCGATGATGATTCTCTGGATTCATTGGACAGCGGCTCGACAGATAGTGATGATTCTTCGGACAGCGATAAAGACTCATGGGATAGCGATGATGACAGTTCAGAGAGCGGCGATGCGTCTTCGGAGCAGGATGACGAGTCAGCAATGTCGGACACGCTTTCTAAGGCTATGAGTGCGGCTCTAAAGTTTGGAGGGGCTCTAAATGCTACTAGCACGATAGAGTCCACGTACGTCAACTGGGTTGGCACTGCGCTCGACACGTCGAAAACCACCGCGTGCTATCGAGAAGCTCACATCGCAAAGACGTGCCCAGTGGGGTTTAACGCCAAGCTTGGGACATGCTGGGCGCAGTGTCCGTATTCGTTTCCCGTACAATGTGGAATGGAGTGCATCCGGCAGAATGACGACTGTGCGCTCGAAGTCGTCACCAAGGTTTCAGCTTTGGCTCAAACGGTCCTATCTCTCATCACGTATGACGTCTTCGGCAAGCTTTCGAAGTTGGCGCGAGCTGTGCAAGTGGTTATCAAATGTGCCAAATACACGATGGGACTGATCAAGGCGTTGGCGAAATATGTTCGAAACATCATGGTAACCGATCCACAGACTCCTCAAGACAAGCTACTTGCCATGCTCTACCAGACAGACAATGTCGTTGTCGATATTCCCATCGCAGTGTCGTATTGTGTCGGTCGATCAGCGTCAGATGAGATCAAATTCGTCGATAGTGTACTGATGACAGCAGAGTACGTTTTGAAGGAAGTCGTGGCCAATGGAGCAGCTATCCTTTCCAGTTGGGAGAAATTCACAGGTTTTATGAAGAATATCACGCTGGGGGACTCGTTCGATTCTCTGAGTTCGAAGGACATTAAATCGTTAAAATCCGCATTGAAGTCCAATTCTACCTGCGGTTATGACATGAAGCGTGTGCTGGATCGTACGTGGATGACGGTGGTGGAATTTCGTAAGCGGAACCCAGACATATCAGAGGATGACATTCGTGTAGCCATCAGCAAGTCAAATCTTGTACTAAACGATATACCGACGGCTACAAACAATTGTATGGGCGACTTGATCGCGGAATCGGACGAGGCGACAGCATTCGCCACACGTGACACGCTTCGCAAGACGTTTGGAGGGATCGTGGACGATCTGATTAAATCGGGAACGAGTAATAATGGGTCATATCTCAAAGCTGAGGAGTACGCGTTCAACATAGCGGACAAGGCGTTCAGCTTTTGGGCGATTTGGGACCCCTGGTCTGCCACTGGAGCAATTTCTGAGTACTTTCAGCCGATTTGTGGACCAACAGAGTACATCGGTGAAATTGACGACGGTGATGCGGCGAAAGCATTGGGCTTGTCAATTGTTCAACGCGCTTTCAATAATTCCGAAGGGATGTGGAAAAAAAGCGGCGACGGTAGTGTCACCATTAAGTTTGAAAGCGTTGATACGGAGGACGTGACAGTGAATATCAATTCTGGCGGCCGCAAGATCGACGAAGTTGACGTCCCAGCGGGGAAGACTGTGACGTGGAGATCGAATGTGACGATGTTGGGAGGGAAGACGCTGTACCTGGATCGATGGCGACCGGGATTTTTGGGTCTCCCTGGTACTGGTGGTGGATCATTGTTGTTGTGGATTCCTCGATCCAGTCAGGGTGGAAATTTGCAGCTCACTGCAATGTTGAATGTCAGTTAAGTTAGTTGTTAGAGAAGTTTATTAAAGTTCGTGTGTCTTAAGGGTATTATTCTAAAGTAGTTAAGCGTATTTTGATGACGTTGCGCTGCACGACATTGTTTGTGTTTCGAAAGAATGACGGCCTGCCTGAGATTAATCTCTGTGGAGAAAAAAGAAGAACAAAAAAAAAACGAATGTAATAGTTCAAATTTTGTTGTCGCTACACGCAGCACCATAGCGTCATTGTTTTAGCTCAAGTCGCATTGAGTACCGCAGTTAGATCCAGACTACCTATTGTGGACCGAGGAACCCACAACAACAAGGAGCCGCCGCCCCGTTCCACGGAGTCCCAGAAAACCCGGACGCCATCGATCCAGATACAGTGTTTCCCCTCCCAACGTCGTCACATTCGACTTCCACGTCACAGTCTTCCCTGCCAGGACTGGCACTTCAGCAACCTTGTCACCACTTAATTTGATGTTTACAGTCACATCTTTGGTGTCGACGCTCTTGAACGTGATACTGACCGTACCATCGCTATCCTTGACCCACATACCTGTGCTGCCATTAAAAGCACCCTGCACGATCGACATACCTAGTGATTTATCCACTGACCCGTCATCAATCTCTCCAATGAGCTCGGTGGGACCACAAATGGGCTGAAAGTACTCGGAAACAACACCACCGACTCCCCAGACATCCCAAATTGCATACAATGCCAGGGCTTTGTCGGCTACAATGAACGTGTACTCCTCAGCACTGAGATAAGTGCCGTTGCTGCTGGTTCCTGAACTGATCAAGTCGTCCACAATACCACCAAAGGTTTTGCGTAGAGTATCTCGTCTTTCGTAAGCTGTCTTCTCATCTGTTTGAGCGAGTAATTCATTCATGCAGTTTTTCGTTGCAATAGGAATGTCGTTCAACATGAGATTTGATCTGCTGATGGCCACTCGAATGTCGTCTTCGGAAATTCCCGGATTGTGCTTACGATACTCCGCCACTGTCATCCACGTACGATCCAACAAACGCTTCATATCATACCCGCACATGGAGTTCGACTCCTTCGCGGATTTCAGCGATGTGATTATCACATTGTGATATCGTCCTCGCTCAGCGAGTTTACTGTATCGTCCAAGGTGATATTCTTCATAAAACTCGTAAATTCTCCCTAACTGGATACGATACCGTCAGGATTTCTCATGATCTCCCTCAAAATGAGCTCTGCCGTGGTGAGAACTCTATCGGCGAGCTTCACATCTTCGGTTACTTTCTTGCCAAGACAGTAAGCAACTGCTACTGGGATGTCGATAACAACATTGTCGGTTTGATACAGAATCGCAAGTATCTGTACTTGCGGTGTGTCAGGGTCTTTCACCTTAAGGAAGCGAATGTACTTGATTAGTGATTTCGTCAAACCTAGTATGCTCTTGAAACACTTGGTGGCTCTCACCATTGGCCAGCTTTTGGAAGTTGCCAAACACATTCAACGTGGCCAAGGAGAGAGCCGTCTGGGCCACTGTGATCACCTTATAGACGACTTCCATCGCGCAATCATCGTTTTGCCGAATGCACTCAAGCCCGCACTCGATAGGATACGAGTATGGACACTGAGCCCAACACGTATTGGTTTTGGACTCACTATTGAATTCGACAGGACATGTCTTGGCAATGTGAGCTTCTTGGTAGCAACGAGTACCGTTCCAACCCAATTGACGTAGGTACGTTCGATCGTACTGGTGGCATTGATAACACTGCTAAGCTTGAATGCCATGTTCACCGAGCCCGACGTTGCCAATGAACCGCTCGATGGAGAACTTCGTAAGTCTGAAGACGCGTCCTCGGGGAGAAACGCTGTCGATTGAGTCATTGTCTTCACTATCCGTAGAATCGTCTGCTTCACTTGATGTCTTGGTCGAGGAATTAGTAGTCGTCACTTCAGAGAGAGCGAGTGCAACGGTAGCAAGTGGGTTTGAAGTTTTAGGCCAAGTGCTGATTGTCAGGATCTTAGCCGAGGCATTCCCAGCAACGATAGAGACAATTACAACAAGTAGCAGCACTGGTACTTTTTGCATGTTGATGAAGCTGAGCCCACCTCAATGAGGAAGCTTGTCAAACCTCGAGCGTGGTAAAGTGAGGAATGAGGTCGTAGGCAACAGCGATTTGTTGGATCCCTGTAACCTGCAACCGAAACTGAATTCTTTGTCGCGAGGATTGTTTTGGTTGGATAGGCTGGTCTCGCAACGCGAATCTTGTGTTTGTCTGTTGATAACAACGGGGTGGCGATGGTCGCTATTCACCTGATGAGCGTTCCAAATCGATTCCGGTGGCCAAGTAATGAGTTGCTACTAGCGATACTGTACCATTTACATGTTTTCAACTCATTTGAGAAGATTCCGTTTTTTCATTGATTCGACTAGCACAGTCTTCACGTAAGCTTCCGCATGGCCATCTGGACCTCGACAAACATGACCACGCCCTTAGCGTCACTTTGGTTCAATGGCTCTTTCCTCCAGCCACCAGGTGCCGCTTTTTGCCGCAATATCTTCCAATAAAGCCCAGCTAGAAATGACACATCTTGTGGCGTGAGCGTATCGGGACCCAAAGGACGATCGGTGGTGGTCGCTGTCAGTGAGAGCCTCCCACAGAACGATGAGACTCGAAGCATGTACCATGAGAGCGAATATACATTGCATACTGGACACAGGAACGCCATGCGCACGCAGTACATCTGATGCACAAGACGATGTAGTTAGTATTATTGGAATATTCATTCTAAATCCGTTCTGGGCCATCCAAGTTGTATTTCAACGCGCGGACTGCGGACTACGAGTGGTAGTGTGATGCCAAAGATATGTGGTGCAGTTGTAAGAGGTTTGATGTGAACTTTCGGCTGTTCGATGTCCAGCTCGAACCGATTAACGAGCAATTGATGACATGGTTTTGATATAGTACACATTGTCGACATCGCTTGACAGTAGTCGAGTAAATGTATTCGAAGATTGATATTTTCGAGCTTGTGTCCAATCAATTCTTGTTCCATTATAATATAAACAACACTTCGTGAGATCACTTAAAAGTCGGTCTGTGCTTTCGACGGTGTTTTCTTTACCCAGCACGATGCGTGATCTGCACTGGCAAAAAGGTCCCCATTCTGGATCTACACGGTCTAGTCTAGACTCTGCGGCGTAGATTCTCGTGGAGATTCGGAAAGTGGAGCGATTCCCGCAGCCATTTGAGGCTAGAATCGTAGACTGGTGGCCTTTTTCTATGATTCCATACTCTATGATATGACTTGGAGTTTGGGAGGGGGGGGGGGGGGGGCATTTTCAGATTTATTCTTTGAACTTGAGAAGGACAAATTTAGGATCCTAAACGTGCTGCGGGAATCGCTCCAGTACTCGACGGATAACACATTTGTTTCCAGAAGGTATTATCTATAGTCTTTTTGCATTTTTATTTATTTTTACGAAAGTCGTGCTTCGCCTGAAGAAGCTCTGATAAGTGCTAAATCTTAAATTGCCAATGTCAACGCATTTCCTGTCGCTGCTTCGCAGCCGAAGTATCTGCTGTGTGTACACGGTTGATGATACTGAATCAGGGTGCTCGCTTTCGGCTAGGAAGACAAGATCACGAGTGCATACTGGATAGTGGTATTGGACCACGCGTCTTTTAATTAAGACTGACCCATTCTAATTTTTTGTTAAGTATTTGGTATCATTACAGTATTATTCATTAAGAAGGAAAACTTAATATTAACTCAACTATAATTTCTTAGTTCTCCATTTACTATTATATTTAATTTTTAAAAAGTATTAAAAACTTCTAAAAATAGTATTAGAAACATTAAAAAGAAAAAGGAAATAAAGCAGTAAAAAGTATCGTTTATCACGTACTTAAGTAATACTAAAGGCCAAAGTGACGCAAACAAAGCCCATCATGAAATATTGACACTAGTATTGTCTCAACGCTTTAAAGACGAGTCGCACTGAGTAACAATTTCATGAAATTTTGAAGCTATTTTGTGTAGAGAGGAAAAATGACAATAACTTAAATAATAATTCAGAATTATCGCTGGACTTTGTTACCACTGAGCTTATTAATACTTCCTCCCCAATGAAATAATTGAAAGATTCAAAATCAAATGTGCCTCTATTGGTCAAAACTCGGTAAAATTCAATGCTGATTGGATCAAAATAAAGTGCTGCGTCTCAGCTATCGATCACATGTGTCAGCAGCTCAATCCGACGTTTGTGACCTGCACGACGGCTGAACAAATACATGAGTCCAATTACCATTTTCGTTTTTTATCCGCTGCATCTGAAGGACAACTTCAAGCGCCATGAAAATTTACTAAGTCCAAACTAACTGACGTTTAACGCCATTAATCTGCCAAGAGCGTCTATAGTGAAGCGGGGGGGGGGGGGGGGGGGAATGACTCGTGGTGTCCCAGCAAATATCACGGCACAATTCACCAGTTCTTCCGCCGCTGTTTGAAGTCTGCGATAGAATTTTCGCGAGTCGAGAGGACTTGATGGGTGGAGCTAACGCACCAAGCAAAATATGCGAAGGGAACTGGTCACGGGTTTGAGCCCCATTGTAAGTAAACGGCAGCGTCTGTGATACTAAGTATGAAACCTATACACTGTCATACAGCATTCTTTCAATCATTTTATGTATTACCTGTACAGCGAAACGATGTTCACATGAATATGATTCGAGAAAGTTGGGTCGGACCATTTACAAGTTGGTAAATTTTGCGGTTTTACTAAGTACACGAAATATTAACAGAGGACTCGTTCTTTTGACAATGTAGCATCATTACACTTACTGTAAACATTTCACAATTGGCTAAACAGTTAAGAATTCAAGTAAAAAAATATCAATGCTGAGACTAAGCGCCTGCTTTCATATTCACAAATTTGATATTTTTTGCTCACTCTCTCTGGCTAATGGTCGGCAGCAAAGTCTTGGCATGGTAGGTGGTTCGGCCATTAGTTAGGCTATTCTTAGCGAACTTCAATTGAAGCGAATCGTTTTGCAGTTTTTGAATCGTAGGCAACTGCAAACGACAGGCGAACACTGTTATTATATACGGTGCCTACTGCATGTACAGCACTCCTTCACTTTCTCCGAGAGACCACCACGTCGCTTGATGTAGTGACGGAGATTCTAGGTATGCTTGAAAGAATCTTACCAAACAAAAATAATCTGAGCAAGCAAGTATCGCCAAGTGGGTGTTCCTTATGGTCCTTTCGAGATGGACCTTAAGAGCCCGGTGTAGTGTTTGAAATCAATCGTAACGAGATCGGCCCGGACCTTGATACAATGACCATTTTTTGTAATTGTATTATTTATTAATATCACAAAATTCGTTTCGGACCAAAATATCAGAGCAAATGTGATTTGTAGCATTCATTGCAAAGATGACTACGCAAGGCAACAGCAAGGGGCTCGACGAGTTCGGCCATGAGGTGCTCTGGAGCTCTCGCGGACAGCAGGTCATGATGCAGTGGGAGAAGCAGTACATGGAGAGATGCGTGGATGCCCTCGCCATTCAACCGACGGATCGTGTACTGGAAATCGGCTTCGGGTTGGCCTATTCGGCGACGCACATCCAAAGGTTCCGCCCCAGGAGCCACACCATCATCGAATGCGATCAGGAGACGCTGCAACGTGCTCGCCGTTTTGCAACAAGTCACAGTGGAGTTAAGATCGCGGCCGGAACGTGGCAGCAGGTGCTGCCGACACTGAATCAGTTCGACTGCGTCTTCTTCGATGACTACCCGCTTCCAGAGCTGGAAGTAGGGGGCGCTGATGGAGCAGCCAGTCGACAGCGGTGAGTTGACAAACTAAAATATTATGATAAATGGATGGTATGTGGCACTGAGGGGTTTGCTACAATGTTGTTGGTAGTTCGCGGTGGCACGATTTCTTGGATGTTGCTCTGAAGCATTGTACGACTGGAGCCAGGATCTCAGGGTATCTAGCACGAAAGCTGGATTTGCAACGCCCCGGGTGTCAAGTTACAATATCAATAGTGCAAGTTGATGTCCCAGAACATTGCAACTACTTTCCACACAAAACTGCGTTGGTGCCGGTGATCACTGTTGTGGATCCGATTGCTGCTGCGAGTTTGACCAGTACTGGAATAGATACGGTGTTGCCATTGCCGCACTCGTCTAAGAAGTTCCAGCATGCATTTGAGTGTGCCAGTAGCTTCGAGCGAGGACTGCACACAGCAGCATTTAAACGAGAGCGAAAACAGATGACTGAGATTCGGAATTTCTTGCTGGCTCATGAACTAGACGCGCTTCCGCACGGGCAGCTAGAACATATTGATGACAGCGGTGATGGCATGGAAGACGACCACCCTTCAGACGAAAATATTCTATCTGGAGAACACCGAGAAGAAGAAGAAAGATCAATTCACTACAGTGACGAGAAGTCACGACAGAAATTTTTGCGCTCTCTGAGGAGCAAGGCTGCCGCGTCAAAATTAACATAACGATCTACCGGAGGCAGGTTCAACAATATGCTCAACTTGATACTGACGCACAAATGTGGTGCAGTGCTTAGCAAGCACAAACTTCTTCTCGTTCGAACAAAGGCTATAAATCTCTGGCTACCAAGTTAACCTCATTTTTTGCCCAATCTCCTGAAATTCCTACGGGCATATACATATATATTATAATAATTTAGTGCGTTGGGTAGAGAGAAAGACAAGTATGGGATCACATCATGCAGTGGTAACTTAAGACGAGAAGATGACCTATTTTATTAGTTACCTATAGTGTGCTTGGCTATTCGGTGGTCCAGAAATTGCCAGCAGTTCAGGATTTCGACCGCTAACAAAATGGTACTTCAGGTAGATGACCGCTTAGATTCGTTGTGTGCCCATCTTACCGCAGGCGCGATTGATGAGACCGTCTCAGGCGGCCAACTTGCACAAACAGCAAGCAGCTCCAACGGTACTTCGACGGTCGATTTCGACCTCGAATCTGTTGTAGTTTTGCAAATCGCTCGGATATCACGCTACACACGTTACACTTGTACGCCCCGACTGAGTCTCCGACTCCAGGCTGAGCCTGAGGCTCATCTATGGTCTATAAAACCAATCCTGTTGGTATCCCACGTCATGGGATTTGGTGGCCACAGATTCTCTACAAGCATTAGCGCTAGCCAACTGAATCACGAGGACAGCCCAACGCACCTCGTCCTGAGTCTTGCTACAAATTGTAGAGGCCATCTGGTCATGTAAATGTTCACCGAATATGTTAGTTAATGTGGGTTCTTGTTTTTCGGCCCAATAACGACTGGTAGAGCGCCCGTCACCGTCCACCACGCTGTGTTGCTGATCTGTCTGCTTTACAAGATTCGTCGTCGCGCCGGAACGGTAAGATTCGAATCTCATGTCGATACAAGTGCAGTATAAGGCTTTCGTTTATGTCTGGGCGGAGACGTTCACAACCGACACGAATCTGTCCGACAGATTCCGTCAGTATTGAGACGGTCACCACATGCCTGGCACAACAACAAAGCCTCGTAAAACGACACTCCTAGAAGAGGCGAAGTTTCGGCAGTTCGGTTAATCCCGTAAACGGCAAGTCATTCTTCATTTTGCGGAGCTACCCTCGCCTCCAGGAGAATGACCAGGATACTGCTGGTACTGACCATCCTATTTGTTGTGGTCTTCTGTGCACCTACTTGTGCGCAGTCCTACACATTCAACAGAAATGTATCATCAGTACCTACTGCAACGGTAGCTGCTGCTAACTTCACGGCTAATGAAACCGCGACGGTCTCCAACACAGAAGTATCCTTCAGGTCGACGGTCGATGACGACAGCGACGATGAGTCCGAGGACAGCCAAGATAACAATTCCACCGACAGCGATTCTTCAGACAGCTACGACGACAGTGATTCCTCTCTAGCCGGGTTTACATTTGGCAACGCACTCAATGCCACCAGCACCATCAAGTCCACCTACAAGAACTGGGTAGGCTCCGCCCTTGGCACGGCAAAAGACACAGCGTGCTATCGTGAGTCTCACATTGCCAAGACGTGTCCACTGGGATTCGACGCCAAGCTTGGAACGTGCTGGGCTCAATGCCCATTTGCATACCCGGTAGAGTGTGGAATGGAGTGCATCCGGCAAAACGACGACTGCGCGCTTGAAATTATCAGCAAGGTATCATCCGTGGGCCAGGCGGCGTTTTCCCTAGCTTCGTATAATTTGTACGGACAGTTCAAGTTGATGGCAAAGGGTATGCAGATTGCGTTCAAGTGTGCCAAAGAGATGATGGGATTGGTGAAAGCGATGTCCAAGTACACTCGAACTGTCGAAGTGTCGGACCCCCAGACCGCTCAAGACAAGCTGCTGACAATACTGTACCAAACGGACAACGTTGTGTTCGATATCCCGATCACTATTATGTCGTGCCTCGGAATCAAAGTAGAGGATGCATTCAAGTTCTCAGATCGTCTTGTGAACACCATCGAGCTAGTTGTGAAAGATGTTATTGCCAACGGAGCGACGATTGTTTCCAGTTGGAGCGCATTCACGAGCTTCATGAGAAACATCTCGTTGGGTGAGACGATCGATTCGTTGCAAAAATCGGAAATTACGTCTTTGGAATCAGCATTACAATCCAATTCAACGTGCGGGTACGACATGAAGAGATTGTTAGATCGAACATGGATGACCGTGGCAGAACTGCGTCGACAGAACCCGAGGATCTCGGAGGACGACATCCGTGTTGCTATGAGCAAAACGAACCTCGTGCTGTACGAAATTCCTACTGTGACAAACAACTGTATGCAAGAGCTGATTGATGAGTCCAACGAGGCAACAGCTTACACTACGCGGGACACTCTGCGCAAAGGCATTGGTGGTATCGTGGACGACTTGATCAGTTCGGGAACAAGCAGCAACGGTACACTTCTAACGGCCGGGCAGTACGCGTACAAGATCGCTGACAAGGCAGCAACGTTCTATGCTGTTTGGGACAGAACGAATATCGGTGGTGCGATCTCCGAGTTTTTCCAGACCATTTGTGGTCCGACAGAGTACGTCGGTGAAATTGATGATGGTAGTGCTAAAGATGCTCTGGGCCTGAAGACTGTCAAGGCGGCGTTTAACAACAGCGCTGGTAACTGGACCAAAAAAGGCGATGGTTCTGTTGTTGTTACGTTCAAGAGTGTCGATACAAAGGATGTGACCGTGAATATCAAGTCTGGCGGTAACAAAATCGATGAAGTGTCCGTCGCGGCGGGGCAAACTGTGACGTGGAGATCAAACGTGACGGTTCTGGGTGGCAAGACGCTGTATCTGGATCGCTGGCGTCCTGGTTTCCTGGGTCTTCCTGGTACCGGTGGTGGCTCACTGCTACTGTGGGTACCTCGATCAAGACAAGGCGGCAGTTTGCGCCTCACCGCGATGCTCAATGTGAGCTGAGTTTTGGTATAGTTTATAGAGTTCAGAGGAGAGAGATCTCCGTTACTGTTTGGTGTAGTGAGTGAGAGTAAGTATTAATAATTATGCTAGAAATGAATTAATAGATAGTCCGATTATTCAAGTATCACCGCTACAAAATGCAGGCTGGTGAGTCACGTATGTACTTGAGTGTTGGTCATGAATACCTGAAGGTTTTGATCGGAGCATTTTTTTTCCTGCAGAAGTCATTTATACACACACTAGATCTCTATAAAAAACATACTTCGAAGTAATGCGGTACGCATTAAAGACTATATATTACATGTAGTAGTAAAGTGAAAAAAATCTAAAGCACTTGACGTCTCCGAGAATATCTAGATTGCACTTCCTGGTACAGGCGGCGCCCCCTCTTGCTGTGATTTCTCCATCCACACAAGGCGGTAGTTTGCAGCAGACTGTAGCGATCAGCCTCTGTTGGTTGGTCAAGCTCGGCGAAATACCACGTAAATAAAATAAAAATACCGATGCCTGTGCTCGGCGATACAAGTTGCCGTTTTTATATTTTTACTGTTGCCGTTTTTATATTTTTACTGGTTATACGGTGTCTGATTGGCCAGGCACTTCAACGTGCTTGTTACCAGCATTCTTCCACGACAAGCTACATAAAGGTGTCACCCCCCTCCTATTCCTGATTCCGAGTCCATCTCGGCTTAAACACCGGTATCAGAAAGGTACAATCTGCGTGCAACGAGCCTCCTTTATCTTATATTAACTATTTCTGTGAGACATGGTGGGGTGCTTACAATCACTCCTCATGCCATCCGTCCTTTTACTGCAAGTCACACGGTTCTTCCCTTCAAACAGGATTCGCTCGTGCTTGAAGAAGGAGGAGATCGAACGAAACCATGCGGCCCCTGTACGCGCTGCTGCTGAGCCTGGCGGCTGCGTCGGCCGCCACGAGCGCCGAGCGTAGTATGCGCGACCCAGAGGCGGCCGAGATGCCTTGCCACCACGAACAGGAGGACGAGGGTGAAGACTTCACCTTGGGCCTTATGGCAGTACTGAACGAGCAATTCCAGCGCTCGAGTGAGCTACTACAGAGTTTCTTCAACATCGAAGAACCTCAAGACGACGTCGTGCGCGTCATCGTGATCGAGGAGGAAGATCCCGCGCAGGAACGCAAGCGTGCGTGTCTAAAGGCGCTCGAGAGGATTCACGAGCAGGACGAGCTGCTGGCTGAGACTGAGACGCTGTTGAAGCTCTTCCGCTCGGCCGTTGACATGGTCTCGCTGCAGGTGTGGGGCGAGGCGTCGTGCGACGATCTCGAGCGTGCGGACTTGGTGGAGCAGGTGCGGAATAAACAATTATTGTCTGCTCTGATTCCAATTATTGTTGAATTGAGGAATGTACTGATTCATTGAAATTTGGATTGCAGTGCAACGTCGTGTTGAAGTCGGAAGATGTGGCGAGGAAGTTCCTACTAGAGGGCAAGGCGGACGATGAAGTGTGCGACATCATGTCGGTCGTCTTGGACTTGGAGGGAACCGACGACTTGTCCTGCAAGTTGTGCCAGAGGTTCGTGCTTATGATCGACCAGGCTCTGGCCCAGGAAGTGCAGCAGGTGCAGCAAGTCCGAGCCATTATCGGAGACTTGTGCGACGCCATGTCGCCCGACTCCATGTGCCACACGTTCCTTAAGAACTACGACGCCATTGTGGACTGGCTCAAGCACGGCACTGACCCTCTAGTGGTGTGCGCTCGGATCGCCATGTGCTCATCAGACAGCGACAGTGACAGCCAGATCTCGGATCTACCGTGGACTCCTGAAGAGCCTCAGACGGTGAAGGATGGAGCTCTGGTTACGGAAGACTTCGTTGAGAACGACCAGTCGTGTTTCTTCTGTAGCCACGTGGCTGGAGTCATCTACCAAGTGAACGAGCTATTCCCTGAACAGCTTCCGATGCTTAAGTCGGTGCTAGGAACGGTATGCGAGATGGCTTCACCGGAATCCAAGTGCAAGGAGGTGGAGGCCAACTTTGACCGCATTGTGGAGTTGGTACAGCAGGGACAACACCCTCATGAGGTCTGTGCGAACGCTGACTTCTGTCCTAAGAAGCTTATGCGTGATATTGCACCATGGGATGGCGACAAGACGTGTGTGTACTGCGACGTAGCCACTACTGTTGTGGAAGTCATCCTGCAAGAGGCTCCCGAGCAGATTGACCAGATTCGGGACTACGCTGACATGATTTGCGGTATGCTAGGAGACGATAGTCCGTGCCACCTATACGTGGACCAATTGGACACTGTGGTTGATTCTCTGAAGAAGGGTGTGCACCCTCGTGCCATCTGTAAGGCGCTGAAGTACTGCACGGCGGAACTTGGGGACGGTCGTCCTGAACTTGATGAGAATCCTCGTGTTGGCATGATGCGAAATGGTCCTCGTGGAATACACCACCACGTTGGAATGGTGGGGCCTGGAGGTCGCCACGGATACCGCCATGGACACGGCCCGCATTCCGAGTTGGCGATGGTTAAGGATGACGAACACCCACCGCACCCGCTGCACCCTCCTCACCCGCGTCCTCATGGCAGTTGCTTCTTCTGTACGCGTGTGGCTATGGTGATCCATCACGTGAACCACACGTCACCAGACAAGCTGCCGATTGTGAAGAATATTTTATCGAACGTATGCCAGTTGGTGCCTGCAAAATGCAAATGCGACGTTGTCGACAAGAATTTCGACAAAATCGTCGAAATGGAGAAGGAAGGCAAGCGTCCTCATGAGATCTGCAAGTCCCTCGATGTTTGCAAGAAGAGCCAAGGCTTGGAAGACGACGTGCCTTCCATTGCTGATGAGATGAAGGGCGTCGTTGTGGCATCTCAGTGGCCTCCTGGAAATGCGACTCAGTGCACGTATTGCCAATTCGCTACTACTGTTGCCAAGATTGCGCTTCAGCAGTACGGCACAGACATCCGTCAAATCCGAGCGTACGCCGATATGATCTGTGATATGCTGGGCGCAGAGAACCCGTGCCATGTGTACGTGAAGCAGTTTGACTTTGTTATCGATGGTATCACCAAGGGCATGAGCGCGAAGGCGATTTGTCTGGAGCTGAAGTTCTGCACTGCACCCGCACTACCGTCCCCTAGCAGCGATTTATCGTCTTTCGACCCGGTGTTGGTGACGATGGTGAAGGATTCAATGGAGCTATCAGTCGATGGATGTTTCTTCTGCACGCAAGTGGCATCCGTCATCGAGGTGGCCGTGGCTCAAGACCCAAGTAAGATCGAGGAGATTCGACAGATTGCCGACGTCGTTTGCGGAATGCTTCCTAGCGATAACCAGGTATGGCGATCCCCTGAACGCGAGCTCCACGCATATTTGCTAATATTTCTGTTGTTTTGTAGTGCCACTCGTTCGTGAAGGAATTCGACACGGTGGTTGACTCTCTCCAGAAGGGCGAACAGCCGAAGGCTATCTGCCATGATCTGAAGTACTGCAAGGTGGACACCAATCCTGCGATGGCCAAGCTTTCCGTGCCCGACGTGATCGCCGTTCAGAATAACGACAAGGGGAGCAATACGTGCGCGTACTGCAGCGGCGTGGTCACTGTGCTTAAGTTTGCGCTCGCCCAGAAGCCAGAACAAGTTAAGGAAATGCGTGAAGCAGCAGGCATCGTGTGCCAGCTGCTTCCTGCTGACGATACGGTACGTAGTGATACGACGTTTCACTCGCTCTGTTGGTTTAAACTTAACATGTTTGCGTGCGTGATAGTGCCACGAAGATCTCAAGATGTTTGATGAAGCAGTGACCGATCTGCAAGCTGGAAAGGAGCCTCACGATATTTGCCAGGCGCTGAAGTTCTGCTCCGCCATGGAGAATCCCAGCGAGTTGGTGTCAGGCCTGCTTGACTTCACTGGCTCGGACTTCTTGCCTTCGAGATGCTTGACATGCCAACAGAACACGCTGCTGCTCGCATCTTTGATCACGCGTCCGGACAGTTTGGCCACGTTCGAGCGCGAGATCAACTCGATTTGCCGATTGATCCCTGAATCCAGCGAGGTAAGAATGAATCGGCTATGTATCTCTAGGTAACGCAATGTGCCTAACGACTTTTATTTCTTGGATGACACAGTGTGAGTTGCTCATGAAGCACCAAGACGCGATCATTGATTCGCTGAAGAAGAACGAATATGTGGATACGATTTGCACGCGTATTGCAGAGTGTGGCCCTGCACCTGTGGCGGAAGTGCCTGAGCAGAAGTCGATGTCTGTGGGCTGCTTGTTCTGTGAGTACACTGCTGACCTCTTGGAGTACGCCAAGAATAACGAGAAGGCCTTGCGCGAAGCCAAGATGACACTGGAAACCATGTGCACTGTGCTGCCTCCGCGTGCTCGCTGCGATGCGCTAACTTCCAAGTTCGATGAGCTGGTGTCGCTCATGCGCGAGGGAAAAAGTCCCAGCGAAGCTTGCCACGCCCTCGCCCTGTGCGACGCGGACTTCGTCTACTCGGGCAGCCGTGAGCAAGACCCTATCGTTCAAGCTTTTGAAAAAGGCCGCCAGAGCATGGGCAACTTGATGGAGATCCAGTAACTGGAGAGGTGTCTTCATCAGCGCGAATGGGGCGCGCTTTTGTTGTGTAAGTTGACGACCATCGTTCTGCTCATTCGTTTCTATCCCCACGCTAACAAATGCACAGGAATAATGCCTGAATGAATAACATTTTCAAGCAAGAAAACTGCGACTGATCTCGTCTAGGAATTTATCTGTCGGTGTCCACATAAAGTTAGGTAGCAGGTTTGCGAGACGCGAAGTATTGAGCTTCGTGTTGAGCGGTGAGGGGTATCCCAAGTCGACTTGAGCTCGCGATGTTGGCGCAATGTGTCTCGATATCGCAGCACTTGCTTTCGGGTTGTGCTTTGCAGTGGCAGCAAGATACTTGTGACCAAGTTTTACGCGCGAGAGTGACTCCACACCACCTGCATGAGCATTGACCGTTTAGTATAGATAATTAAGATCCTTATTATGTTTTGTGGACGTACCGACGTTGACTAGAGTAGTGTGTTCGTTGGGGTCGATCGCCAAAAGTTTGAACATGATCTCAATCAGGTCGAAAACGTAGAGGTACGAACGGAACTCGTCACTCCACAGGTTCAAAGGTGCAGCGTTCTCGAGTTGGAATAATTGATGATGAAGCCACTCCATGAATTTTGGAGCACTTTTGTCTGGGAATAATGGAGCTCCTGGTCCAACGACGTTCGCAATGCGAAGAATCCACACTTGCAAGTGTGTTGAGCTGTCGCGCTTTAACAGGAAATGGTCAAAGCGTAGCTTGCCCGAACCATACGCCGACAAGTCTGGCGATAAGATGGCATCATCCTCGTGATAACTCGCACCGTTTGGTTGAGTTCCTTCGTAGACAAAATCCGTCGACAAATGCACAAATCGGACTGGCCAGGTCAGAGCGCCCAACAAAGCCACCAAACCTCGAGGCTATCAGATAATGTGCACAGAAAGAAATTTGAGTCCAAAAACCACTTCATATAACCACATCTAATGGCTTTACCTCGTTGATGGCGGATGCTTTCTCCGGTTCCTGCTGACAAACTGCAGGAGACGAAATCGCTTCACAACGCCAAAAACCCAAAGTTCAGTTTTCTGCTGTAGGGCGTACTGCAACACGGATACAGTATCTACCTGCGCAATTGATAACCACAGTAGGACGGAAGTCCTCGATGCAGTTATCGAGAGTTCTTAAATCCTGCACGTTCACTTGCCAGTAAGCGCGCACAACTCGCTTCGACATTGGGGCGGAATCAGCTTTAACCGTCACGAATCCCGGAGGAAGAGGTGCAAAAGGCTGACTGCGAATAGTGCACGCCACAGCCTCAATCTCCTCCACGGCATCTCCACTCACCACCCGAAGCGTACCGTCCTGCTGCAGGCGCTGCAGAACGAACTGCGCCACGTAGCTCGTTCCGCCAAGCACCAGGACTCGGGCCATGCTTGTCAGATGCAATTCTGAGTTTGGGCTGTTACAAAAAAAAATCTGATCAGGACCAATTGCTGGACCAATCAACATAAATTGCCACAAAACGCTAGAAGATGGCGGCTGTGCAGGGTTTCACGGAGATGGCGCACCAAGTGGGCGGCCACGCCACATCCAAGACGAGTAATGACATCTGCATTATTTTTCTTTAGTTACTACTGGATGCTGGTCTTAGACGTGCAACTATCGCCGTGTTTGGCAGGTCTGAAGGCCCACAACGGACGTATCTTAAAGCCTTTCCAGAGCAAACAGAGGGGAGAGCGAGAGTGCGAATTCTACGAGCGCGTGTTCGCGACTGAGAAGGATTTGCTCGAGTTCGCAGCGCTGAGGAAGTTTCTGCCAATGTATCACGGCACAGTTATAGTCCCAGAAGTGGAGGACGGCCAGGAGGTCAATGGTGTGCACCCAGGACGTAAGAAGAACTATTATAGTTGTTGCGTGTTGAGAAGGACAACAAATGACTCTGAATCGTTGCTATATGCAGAGTACTTGGTACTGGAGGACCTGACGTGGGGGAGGAAATGGCCCTGCATCATGGATGTCAAGATGGGAACCAGATCTTATGAAGACAATGCGACGGCTGAAAAGATCGCGTACGAGAAGTCCAAGTTCCCATTGCAAGAGACTCTGGGGTTCCGTATCCAGGGTACAAAAGTGTACAACCCCAAGAAACAGGATTACGATGAGTTCGACAAGTACTTTGGTCGTGGTATCACCTCCGTGGATCAGCTGGCTCCAGCATTCCGTAGCTATTTTCCAGAGGATACATCCAAGACCATAAAGTTGTTGGAGACGGTGGGTTTAGTGAATAGTCAGCTTCCTGAAATTCTGACGCTCTTTTTTTTTTTTATTATTTGTTACTCTCTATTCAGTTCTTGCGTCGCCTAGGCCAACTGAAAGCGTGGTTTGACGAGCAGCGAGGGACGGAGTTTATCGCCAGCTCTTTCCTCTTCCTGTACGACGGCGAAGATTCACCCAACGACGACAAAACCGTGGCAGAGGACTTTGGAGCTGACATCCGCCTCATTGACTTCGCCCACGTCACTAAACCAACTTCCCCTAAGCGGGATGAAGGGCTGCGAACCGGCATTGCCACTTTGATCAATTGTTTCCAAACACTTCTCCGAGAAGCCCAAACCCAGCAAGATCGCTAAACAAATCGCGTGGATACAGCCGACCAAGTCTCGTGAGTCATAGAAAAGTGCTCTCGGGTCTTCGATCTTCGACGTCTTCTAACAGCACGAATATCTTTGTCTAAACCCCACCATGTGCTTCTTGTATCCGATGGTTTCACTTCAGCCTGAGCCTTGCGGCATGGTCTAGTTGAAGCTGTAAAGTCGATGGAAAAAAACCGTTTCGGAAAAAAAAAGTATAATATAGAATTGTGCACCAAGCTGTCCTATAACGGCGTCCATTTAGGCTTCTTCGAGATCCGCAGTAGCTTCATCTAATGCGTCCGCAGAGCAGCAACCAGGCAGAGAACCAGCGGGACGCGGCTAACTACAGGGCAGAGTTGGAGCGTCTACTTCACGTCTACGAGCCAGGCAACGAGGCGTCGGCGGCGCAACTCCTGGAGACGTACGCGGGCATGGAACATGAGCTGATCGAGTGCTATCGACACTATTACGCAGGCAAAGACAGCTTCCGTGTGGCCCTGGACGATAACCAGGACGTCACCGGCTCGCCGCGCGTCTCGTCGCCCGGGCCGTTGCATCTGCCCACGTCGGCTATCGGTACCTATCTGCAGGCCAAGCTGCAGTCGAGACGGGGCGGCGCGGCCCGCAACGCCAAGCTTGAAGATGTGCGTGGCCCCACAGCAGCCGAAAGCCCCAATAGGAGACGCCCCGCTGCCGTCGTACCGCGACGACGAGCCACCAGCGAGGCCGGCGCGCTCAGCAGCTACGAAGACCAAGACGAGCTGCTTCCACGCCGACAAACTTCAGCTCCAAGGATATGACCATTATTATAGCAAATGTACGTAGTTTAGCCGTGAGGGCTCGATGAACTGTAACACGTGATCCTTGAAATGGTCGTGTATGGACTGCGGCCTTTGACGCTGCCCCGTCGAGGCGCTTGACTCTCACCGAAAGTGTCTGAGCTTGTACAAGCAAGAGAAGGGGGAGGTGATGCTGGTTGCAGGCTTTTGCACAACGGAGGCGACCAAGATGTCGGTGGTGCCGCTGTACAAGGGCTGAGGCGGCAATCAACTCATAGACAACAAAACTTAACTTCAAGGTTTCAAACAAACATGTTCATGCGGATAGTGCTTTTGCGCCAATCCTTCCTTTTGTGGCTCGATCAAAACTGGTTGGGAGGAAGGTTACGTTCCCAAGCCGACGGCAATAAAAAAAAAAAAACGCTTTGCTGCCGCTTCCTCGAGGGCGAGGAGCTCCGATCCATAGTGGGTTGTTTCTATCTCTATTACAGCAGTGTGGTCGGCTCACAACGTCGCTCGCTTGCACTCGGTTTCCGTCAGCTTCATCTCCTAATGCGACATGCAAGAAAAGCAGACTCGTTCGGCGACCGCACTTGGGCATTGCTGGGCTTATAACATCTGCATCTGCTGTTGTTGCTGCTGTTGCTGTTGCATACTGTGCATCTGGTGCGGCTGGTATCCATTCGCCGAGTAATACATCATATTCTGCTGCTGGGACGGCGGCTGGTCACTGGATGCAGAAGCTTGCGACGGCTGCTGGTTGTAGTATCCACGGGCTGGTTGCTGGCCGTAGGCCGCAGCGGCGGCAGCCGAATCTGCTGCACTGAGGTGGTGGTGATACTGTGACGACTGGGTAGGGTACGGATGATGGTGGCCAGGCTGCTGCTGCTGCTCCTTGTTCACTTCGAAGTAGTCAACCCTTCCATCCGGGTGGTGCTGGGGCATTTCCGGCTTGGCCGCCCAGTGCTGCGAGTACGGGTTCTTCATCTGCTCGGGGGCGGCACGTGACGCGTAAGCTTGACGATCCACGGCGGCACCAGGTTTGTACATGCCGCCAGACACGGGAGGCAGAGAGCTGTTGTCCACAGGCATGTGGTAACGAGCAGCGGCACCAGCCTGCAGACTGATGGGCTCGTATGAACGCTGGTCGGCGTGAATCTGCAGGTATTGGCCGGCGTTGGTGGGAGCCTCGTAGCCCTTGTAGCGCATTTCCATCTCCACACGCTGCTGCACGTACGCAGCGCGCTGAGGGTCGAGGTGCGCGTCACGCAAATCCTTGACACCCATCGCGAACGTCGGCGTTGTAATCTGTCGCATATCCATCATGTGCTGTGGAATAGAAGCAGCCGTAGCAAGCTGGTCCTTGGGGAGCTTGCCCTTGGCGGCGTTGGCGTGATACGAGCACTTGCCTTTTTTGCGCGCTGGCTTGTTGCATGCTGGGTGGTCACAACGCTTGCCGCCGCCGTGCTCGGCGCAGAAACCTCCGCCACGGTCGTTCTTGGTGCAGTCTGGGTGCTGGCAGAAGCGACTACCGCCATGGCCGGCACAGAAGCCACCACGCTGGGCGCCCTTGTTGCATCCTTCCTTCTCGCAACGCTGGCCGCCACCGTGAGCACGACAGAAGCCGCCACCCTGGCTACTTTTAGTGCATCCGGGGCTCTGGCAACGCAGACCACCGCCGTGGGCCTTGCAGAGACCGTTAGACTGGGAGGCCTTGGTACAGCCTGGCTGCGTGCAACGCTTGCCACCGCCGTGGCGGATGCAGAGTCCCTGGCCCTGACTACTGCGCTCACAGCCGTCGACCATGCAACGACGGCCACCGCCATGGGCCTTGCAGAGACCCTTAGAGCGCACACGCTTGGTACAGCCGGGCATGGTGCAGAGGCGGTTGGACTTGAGAGTCTCGTTGCGGGCCGGAGCGGCCGTAGTCTTGGAGTTTGTCGTAGAGGTCGACGTAGCAGGCGTGGAAGAGGATGAAGCTTGGGTCTGCTGGATCTTGGAGACGCTTGTGGGGGACGTACTGGCCGATGTGTTCTCCGTCTTGAGGCGCGGGTTCGTGCTGTCCTTGGTCGTGGTGGAGGCCGAGCTGGTCACGGGCTTGCCCGCACCGGTCGAGCCACTGACGGCGGCCATGGAGTTGTGCACTGCCTGGTCGTGCAACGCGCGCTCCTGCGCGTACTGCTGATAGGAGGCCGGGTCGTAGTTGAAGGCTTGCGAGGCGTCAAGCGCAGCGGCGCTGGGATCTTGCGGCTGCATGGCGGATGAGGACTGGGACGCCGAGGACGAGGACGTGGGGGCCATAAAACTAACTGCCCCTGCTCCAGCAGAAAAAATACTTGCAGTCTCTCGGAGACGGGCACCGCAGAGACGAAGACGAGCGAGGCGAGTGGAGTACCAACGGCCTGGTAGGAATGGTAATAAGCGCAGGACGACCACTCACTTCGGACTGAGGGCGGGTCTCCCCTCGCGTTCTTGCTATGCAGAGACGGGAAAGAAGGGGCAGCCGGAGGTTAGGGTGCAATAGCGACTTCAATTTTGTCCAATTGTGTGCCCATACTCCAAAAAAAAGCTGGCTTTTCTCGTGAGACACGTGTCAAACTGATATGGCAGTTAGCTTGACCGAAGGGCAAAACCACCTCTGCATTGCAGAGTCTGCAATACGACTGCTCCAAAGATAGCTTCGCCCAACTTGTTCGCTGCCTGCTTTGAATCAACCGAAACAAGCGACTCCGTCCATCTGGCCGGGAGGTGGCTGTCCAATCGACGCAAAGGTACGACATCTCCAGTCCAGATCCCTTCGCGTGTCCCAGCCCATCCCCCGAACGTTTTCTGGCACGTGACAAGAGAGCAGCGAAAACAACCAATCGGAGCGTTTCGCGCGCGAGTCAAGCAGTTCATCCCCCGCGCTGATTGGCCAGATTCAAAAAAGGAGATCAGGGAGCCTGGTCGCCAAAATGCAACAAACTGTATGTGCTTGAGCAGCACACCCGCGATGTGAACTCCGCAAGAACAGCAGCGAGCTCCTTCGCGATGTGCAGCCGTCTTTCAACCGCGTTTGGACGTCCTGCAACTTGCAGCCTGCACGTTGTTGTGTTTGCAGTTTGCCCCACTGCAATTTGCCTAATGCAAGGCGCTGTGGACAGCATTTACATGTATTACGATCTTTTTTTTGCTTTACATTCTCCATGACTGCGTGGCCCTTCTCGCCACCGAGCGCTAACGGCCATGTCAATTCGACAATGGCGAACAGACTCTGTTACAAAGGGCCATGGCCAGTCCTTTTCGTCGAGCGCCGTGACTGCTTTGAAGCGGGTCCCGTTGCAGCTTTTGAATGCTTGAAATTTGATCGAAAGCGCACATACACTCGAGTCTCCAAGTGAGACGCCACGCCGGTCGCGCGTGGCGCGGCCAAGCCTCGGCCTTACACTTCAGAAGTGCATGTTCGCCGACCTAGAGAAGAGCCAAAAGGTAAAATGGCTTTACGAAACCGCGGGATTAACGTGCAGGGGCGGGCCGCGTTTCATTAGTGCGGGGTGCCTGGAGGTGGCGAAAATGAGACCTAAAACTTACAGGGAGTGTTGCTTCCCCCGTTGCATCCGCCTGGTGCCCGTGAGCTTCGCGATGAGGATGTGGATGTACATGCGCTACAGCTCTTCGTGTCATCACCGCTTGGTGGCCCAGCACTTTGAAGTAACGGGGCAACAACTGCACAGGCCGGCAGTTCGCCCCCTTGATCCTGCTCGAGATGAGGTGACTACGTAATGGAGCCCGGCTCTGGCGTATCGCAGAGCGCCTGGCCTATGCCATTGGCAACTGGTTTTTAGGACGATTGCAAAGCAGGATCGATGCCATCAGCTCGACGACGCTGCGGTGGGTGGAGCGCGGTGACGCCGCTAGCTCGTAGGATTCCTGTACAGGATCCGCTGATCCGTACGTGCATTGCCGATGGCGGCGGGCATGCAAGCATAGAGTTCATAGAGACTTCAGCCTTGGTGGTGGTGCTGGTCAAGCTGTTGATACGCTGGACAAGTTGCCGTTTTGGTGCTTGGACCTTGCGGTCTCTTTACGTGTATCGCCGCGCGATCTTAGTGACGAGCTCCGAAATGCAAGAGAAGGGCTTGGCGTGCAGAAAGCACCGGTGGGGCGGACCGAGCCGTACCGTAACTACATGTACGGTACATCGTCGACTCAGCCTAGAAGCTTTTAGTGAAGGTGTCCGCGTTTGTGCACGGGGCATCGTCAATGCCTACTCGCTGTGGACACCTTGCAGAGGTTTCGCGTCTCCTATCTGCTCAACCAATGCAGAGCCTTCATCTCCGTGGCGGCTGCATCTCCGTGGCGGCTGCATCTCCGTGGCGGCGTGTTCTTCTCGAGTTCATTTCGGGCCCGTGCACGTGCTTGTCTTGCCATTTAGGTGGTCGAGCACATAGGAACTCGAGGAAGAGGCTCAGGCCCGCCTTATGTGCCGTATCATTGCAGGCGGGCATGGCGTGCCGCACCCTGCGTGAGTGAGCGAGTGAGCAGCATTGCCTCATTTCGTGTGCATGTACTCATTTCGGTACTCGTGGTAGTGGGCGCTCCCCCATGCTTTCCATTATTGTTTTCTGCTGGCAGCTCCGACACTGTGATGACGCTAGGAAACGATCAAAGATAGAGGCACTTCTCCGAAATCAACACCAGTGGTGTCACCACCTACGACAGCGAGCAGGTTGAAGTGCCGACCACGAACAGCCGAGAGGCAAGAACTGTGAAGACATCGCGCCAAGTCGTCGCGGCCTCATCTGCGGATAGGATGGATGATCAAAGCGCTTCCTGCAATCCTGACGTGTGCAGTGCCAGCTTCGACTCGAACTGTGGAAGACTTTCCGCAGGCTTGGCGCTTGAATTCTAGCAAGATTACCTGGCATTCAATCGACCTTGGTCGGCTTCGCTGAAGTTTTCAGTATCATAATAGCACAAATTTTGAAATCAAAATGCTTAATGGTATTGCATCGACATCCAGCACTTGCCTACGTGTGACGAAGGCCCAAGATAGCATGTGGGCAAATATGGAGAAACCAAGGAAGTTACCCAAGCAACTTCGATGCACTCGACCATGTACTCTTAATAACGGGTAATATAGGCTTTATAAGGCCTTGTCACAAAAATTGGTCCGTTGACATAATCGACTTTAATTGGTATTGTGTCTTACCCAATCTGACCCATTTTCAAGTTGAAAGTTTCAACGTAGCCACCACCAATCCGCATCCATGCTATCGCGGCTCACGATGCTGCGGACGCTCAGCGCTCGCCTCGCGCCAGCCACCGCTGCTCCAGTGCTCTCGGCTGGTTACTCTTCGCCAGCCGCCAGCCGCCGCGCTCGACGTCTGCGCAGGTCAAAAACTAGCGCCAAAGCGGTCAAGAGTTCGGCCCCGGACCCACGCACACCTTCCATTTTGGCAGACATCGACCAGCTCTCGCGCAACGGCCTGGCGCAGCGCGTGGAAATGCCGACAGATCTGCTGGAGCGAATCACGTCCATTGTCCGTAGCCGCACGCACTCGCAGCTCGAGATGCTGCGCCAGAAGCACGTGGGCGACCGCCGGAATACGCGCCAGTTGCCGCTGGACATGAGCAAGACACCGCTGGGCTGGACCATGGACCGCAGCCAGCAGATTCCGCCCTTTGCTTATGGACCGGCCGAAACGCTGGCCTTCCTGGCATTCGAAATGGAGGCCACCTACGCCTGCACTCACGCCGTATTCACGGAGCTGCAGAAGCGACTACCCGACTTCAATCCCAAGTCCGTATTGGACTTCGGTGCTGGACCCGGCACGGCGTCCTGGGTGGCCAAGGACTTCTACGACCAGTCGCTGGACAAATATCGCGTGGTGGAGCCCAGTCAATCTATGGTAGACGCTGCTGAAGTGCTGCTCGAGGGCTTCCCGGGCCTCAGTATGCGCCGCAGCATCGCCGACTTGTCCAGAGACATTGATGCGGGCAACAAATACGACCTCATTGTGGTGAGCTACGTGTTCTCGGACATCATCAACGACTTCGAGCGTGTTGCGACTACTTCGGCGCTGTGGGAGCTACTGAGCGAGAACGGATGTCTCGTAATTGTAGACCGCGGCAGTCCATGGGGATCGCACCACGTACGATCGGCCCGTCAATTTGTGTTGGATTCAGTTGCAGAGGATGAGGATAGCAAGGAAGGCGTACGTATTCTGGCGCCGTGCCCGCATCATGATGAGGTCAGTACTTGGGTCAGCTGGATTTGTGTTGATGTGGTGACTAAAACTAGTTTTTGTGTGGTGTTTTCCAGTGTCCCGTAGGTGGGAGTACGTGGTGTCACTTTGTGCAGCGCTCACCTGTAGTGAATCGTCCTCGTGAGGCGACTACTAAGCGTTGGCATGGTCAGAAGGGCTCCAAGTTCTCGTATATGATTATGCAGAAGACTCGCAAGGGAAGCGAGGAAGATGAAGCTGCAAAGAAGAAGAAACCGATTGCACGCATGCTCAGAGGACCTCTTCTTGCTACTCGCCATGTGCATCTCGACCTGTGCACTCCGGAGGTAAGAAAGATTCCCAGGTGATCAATTTGTGAGTTTCTGACGTTTTTTTCTTTCGAATATGTAGGGAAAGTTTGAGCGTCGTAGTGTTACCAGAGGTAAGGCGGTTCGCGAGGTGTATCGTGCATCGCGTAAGGCACATTGGGGAGCGCTATGGCCAGCTGATGAGTCCAGTTACCTGAAGGACAAGTAGAATCAGAGGTGCCATATCGTTTGGCTAATAGACGCAGATGACAATAACGGGGTTCCTCTACAGCAAGGATGTTTCTTCAAGGCAAATGTCTTAGTCTTATTGGACACTACGACTACAGCGGGTGGATGATACTGCGATTATCAGTCGTTCTGCTTAATCCTGTTCCGATTCAAACAAATTGGTTGATGCTGATAACGCCAGGAATAAGACGATGATGAAGAAGGGAGCAGTACATGTACATTGACGGTGGTACATACTCGCGAACAGCAGACCGCCAAATTTTGGCGGTTAGCGCAGTTCTGGTTGTGCGAATGATGTGTGATGCTGCCTACACCCAACAGTTGGAGCGGTGTACGGCTCCAACATCAAGTGAAATTTGAATTAGGACACGATCTTGAATATTCGGCGGTTGGGCAACCTTTTGATGCTAGACTCGATTGAAGAATGACAGGAGTTTTATTGCTAATTTAAGTCTTACTTTTCTTAATCGGTTTCAGCTTGTGGAGATGTCTGCACCATAACATTCAATTCTAGCACCGGACAGATTGGATGCGAGTTTTTGTGTACGCCGGCACCAACGCCTACAGCAACTGGTCAGCAATGGTGTTCAACATCACTCCATGATTGCTATCAATGATACCAACACGACATTAGCATAATGAATATAGCGTAGCCTAAGCACGTTTCTCCTTCTCCAGAGAAGACCAAGGCAAGAACCAATTCTCCACGAGCGAGCCAACAAATCCGTACATGGTCAAGGAGAGCTGCATCAAAATCATAACGGTTGAAGGGACAGAATAACGCACGTACGACTTGATCCGACTCATCCGGGCATTCTACGAGCACATGAATGTCTCGATCGCCTGGTTGGAAATTCATACGGAGGTAGTTGTCGTCGTCCAGCCTCGCGGTTTCATCCAGTAGCAGTTCCTCTTGCATGAGGCTCTTGATTCGATCCGGAGTCTCCCCCTTCTTAAGAGTCTTGAACTCAGCGTCGCGCGAGTTCAGCCACCTCTCGCCATCCCCCGCGACATACAGCTTCAGCAGATCTGCATCAAAAACCGCGCTTCCTTTCCTTGATCTTGTACTTCAGATCATCGACCGTTTGGCTGAGATCAACGTCCATGGAGAAGGCGTTCCCGATTTTAACCACCACGCAGAACAGCTTGACAGTCATGTTTCTTTTTGGAGGGTAATGGAGTCCAGGGTTATTACTCGCGCTTAAACACCGTGCAGAACAACTTCGTCAGCTTTAGGAGCGCATTGAGCCTTTTAGAATGAAGCTAAATCACCTAGAAGTTTCACTTTATGCGCGGTGATGTGCGCGTTAAATATAGTCGAAGGCTTTCAGTTTTGCGGATGTCGTCTCAAAATCTGGTCGGCTCTAAAACTCCAGTCTATCCGTGTTGCTCACACTCACACACTTCTTCCTGTTGCGCAGGAGTTTGCTGCTGAGCGGTCGATTACAGGTACAACTGCAACACAGCATTGACGTTAAAAAGTTGGTTCTTTTTCTTGTATTTTAGCGCGATCTTCGCCTGCTTCATCACCTTGGCGCCAGGCTAGCTGCGTGTGTGTCTGCGCAGTCCTCTCTCCACCTTATTTTCTAACCTGAGGTTTACCGCGTCACTGCGCTGCATCCACACTCGACGCTTCCTGTCCTGTCCAGTCACAGCTCAAGGTCACTTCAACATGCTTCACCAAAAGCTCGGGTTGCTAAACTGATGTATGTACCTCACTCTTGATCGATCATCGTGATCCTTTTTACTGCAGCTTGCTGGCAACCGCGTCCACGTGCGGAACAGTCGACAGCTTACCGATGGCAGCCACCGAAGGAGTAGCCTTCAGTGCCTTCAGAGCCAACTCCTGCAGCTTCTCAGCGGTCACACCCTCAACAAGCTCCGACGGCGACTTGGACACGAAGCCCGTAGTGGCGATGAGACCCACGCGGCCCAGAGTACCCGCCAGGGTGCTGTACTGCTCCAGAGCCTCAAAAGCAGCCGTCGTCTTGGCGGCAGCCAGCTCCTCCTTCGTAGCCGGAGCCGAGGCGGCCTTCTTGAGCTCAGCAGCGAACGAGTCGACGAGAGCGCCGGCCTCCGAAGGAGCGGCATAACCGGACAGACCCAAGACAGCGGCGTCGCTGTAGCTCGACAGGAAGGCCGAGGCCTTCTTGTTGTTCAGTCGCACGCTCAGCAGAGCGCGCAGCACCTGCGAGGCGCCAAAGTCGGCGGAGTTACGGCCCACAGTAGGCAGGGCAAGAGCGACGTGCGTAAACTTGCCGGCCTTCTTGACGCGAGTCTCACCACCCACGTACTTAGCCGTGGCGCTGGTGGCCTTGGAGCCCTTAGCGAACGATCCGAAGTACTCGTTGGCCAGGTCAGTCAGCGTGTTGTGGGCCACACCAGCACCGACAAGAGCGGCGTTGGACGAGTTGACGTACTTGTTGTAGAAGGCCCACAGATCTTCGGGGCTGAGTGCGCCGAGGTTCTCGGCAGCGACCAGCGAACGGCCCAGCGTCATGTCATCGTAGAAAGCAGCAGCGTGCACACCCTCAAGCAGAGATGCCGACGCATTCTCGGTGATCTTCTCGAACTCGGCCTGCACCACCTTCTTCTGCTCCTCCACGTCGTAGAGCGCGAACTTGGGGGCCAGCGTAGTCTCGGCCAGGATCTCGGCGGCCGCCTCCAGCTGGTCAGGCAGCACGCTGACGCTGTAGCGCACAAAGTCGCGGCCGGCCTGAGCGTTCACCACGCCGCCAATGGCCTCAATGTCACGGTACAGACGCAGGTCCGAACGGTTCTCGGTGGCGCGGAAGGCCATCTTGGCGAACAGCTGCGAAACACCCGCAGTCTCCTCGCTCTCGTCACGCGCGCCAGTGTTAAGCTGCACACCGATGGTGGCCACAGAGGCGGCACGGTCGTCCGAGCCAAGCTGGAGACCAGACGAGGCCGTCGAAGTGGTGAGCTTGGCAGCGGGAGCGGCCTTGGGCTGCGTCTTAGGCACCGACGGGAACTCCTCGCTCAGAGCCACGCTGGGCATGGCGCTGGCCTTGGTGAACAGCGAGCGCGACGCGCGGGCCGCGAGCTTGGAGGACGACGACGCGAGCATCTCGGCGATCTAGATAGCAATTAGAGAGGGCGTTTCTGTGCTTCTGGTGGTGAGGGCGGGGCGTGTGCGGCTCTGAAGGCCTCTCCGTAGGTTGCATAGGATTGGTGGAAATCGTGGACAATTTTGGCGAATCCTCGGTCCTCAATAGAGTTGTGTAATAATTCATTTTTAAACACTTTTTTTTTTTTTTTTAGCTATTTCTAAACTATCGCTGTTTCTTAAAGGATTAGCATAATTTCTAACTCTCAGCTGCGCTCAACATTTCACCAAGATGAGAAACAGTTGGCTACACTGCAATCCATGTCTGCATTTTCCGCCGCGAACGAGCACTGAGCGAGCAGAGGTGGCATCAACTTGTCAGCCTCGTATGGAACAGGGAGGGCATGTCGCGGTTGAATAAACTCGTAATCCGTCGAGGTTGCTTTGGTGGTCGCACTGAGTTGAACTGAAAAAAAAACAATAAAAAAAACGGTAGCTCGCGACTTTTCGCACTCTCTGCCGCTCATCCGACCCGAATAAGCTGCAAGATCATCCGCGTCGGCCCTGGAGACCGAGAGAAATCCAGCAGCGCAAGGCTATCCGGGCAGGTTGCAGCGTCAGTAAGAGAAAAGAGAAACAAGCCGCAAGTCCAACGCCGAGTCGTCCACGCTACCATGGAGATGAAGCGCGTGGTGGCGCGCTTCATGGTGCACAAGGTGGGGAGCTTCGTGGTCAAGGAGCGTGTGTTGTGCTTTGGCGAGTATTCCTTCTCCACTGTGGATCGCGAGAATCAACAGGTGACCAACACTTGGCCCTATGAGGACGTGGACAGCGCCAACGTGCTGGAAGGAGAGACAGACTTTGTCATCCACACGCCACGCCACCGTATCAAGAAGACCGTGTACCGCTGCCACTTCCGCATGGAGGTGCTCGTGTGTCTGATGCGGCTACGTAGTCAGCACTACGCCAAGATGCCAGACGCGCCTCAGCCTCCTCCTGCTGAGCTACAGACGCTGACGTTTCAGAGTCTCAAGTACCACAAGAGCGGCATACACTCCGCGTGTGTCGTAGAGATCCGTCCGGACGGTATTTACCAGCGAGATACAGAGGGCGATGTCATGAGCCACATCCCGTACACGAGTCTCGTGTCCATTGACCTCATTTGCGACGATCATGAGGCTATTGGCTTAAATCACTCGGACAATTCCAGTTTATTCATTGTTCCAAAGCGGACTGAGCTCGCTCAAGCTATCAACAGAGTCATGAAGGCGTACGGAATGCAGATCAATGAATACCGTAAGAAAACAATGGAAGCGGCGCTGAAAGATGACGGGAAGGCATCATTGACCACTAGTGTGTCGTTTGAGTATCAAGTTTTAAAGGTATCGCAGTCGAACGAGTCCTCTGCAGCCCCACGGACTCTGTCTGTATCGGAGAAGTTCATTACGGAGTATGCAGACGCCAAGACGGTGATTTCCAGCCGTCCTTTGGCCAGAATTTACACGTTGATCATGTATCAAGACACGTTACAAGCCTTTGAAGTCGTGTATGTGGACGGCGTCAAGCGCAAGTATTATTCCGCTCAACGTGAAAAGATTGTATGCGAGTTATTGGCTTCTTGTCACGCGCTGGGGAACTTTCAGGTGGGAGTGGAGATGATGGAGATTGCGGACTCAGTGCGCATGATACCGCGCAAGATCATCCTGCAAGAAGGCAACAAGATTGCGAATACTGTGCCCAATGTGAACGTGATGGATCGTGAGCTCCGAGTCGCACAGGCGAATGTCTTGCAGTTACTTGCAGTGCATGGCTATCGCAAGACGGCGCGTACTCAGCGTCAACTGCCTCGTGGTCTCGACGAAGAAATGCATTCGTTGGCTTTGGAGCTTAATGCCAATACACCGACGTCCGGTGTGATTGCTCAGCCGAATAAGCCGTTCGATAAGGTGGTTTATGTCCTGGCACGAGAGCTACATGACATTGTTGGTCGGCACGGCGCGACGCACGACTTTGTGAGCACGTATCTTCAGTCGCTGTATCGCTTGACACTTGCACCGCCTGCTATTAACGAGTTCATGAAGATTCTGACAGAGGTACAGTGTTCTCTGTCTCGATAGCTTGCTGGGATGATAGACTTTAACTTCCTTGGTTTTTTTTTTGCTGTTATTAAAGCGTGGGGAAGAATACATTGGCACAATCTCGAAGGTTTTGATGAGCAAGAACTCGGTTGCTATCTACTGGATGTTCATGGTTCTGAGCCGGCTGATGGAGTCAAAAGCGCACAAGCTTCAATGTCGGCAACTGTTGTTGTCTAGCAGTGTCTTCATGATGACGCTTCTTTCATTGCTGGACGAAGATACCCTCGTAGGTTCACGAATTGATCACTGCTCCTGTTATTAAACTAACGTGCGCATTATGTGTTTTGTGTAGACGGGTGCGTTCTTGTCTGACCTACCGACGATGAAACTGTGTCAGTTTATTCTGCTCCTGGTGAAGGCGAACGTCGAGAAGCAGCGGAAACTCTCGGAAACTTTGTATCAACACCTGGCGACGAAGTATCGCATGATGCTACGGATTCTCTTCAGCTTTCCCGACTTAGCTACAGTGGAGGCCTGCGTGGGTATTCTCAGCAGAATGACGAAAAACCCAGCATTCCTGCACTTTGGCAACATGGGATCCCCATTACGGTCCAACGATGGGAAAATTCCAAGACAATCTCTCAGTTTTGGAGAGACACTGAACTTTGGTCCAGGCAGTCAGCGTGGAGCGCTATTGGATATACGATCTCGACCGCCCCTGTACTCTTCCAGAAGAAACAACTACGCATCAAGCCGAAACAACACGTTATCGTCATCGGAGTCAAATTCTAGTGGTGCATCTGGTCTCCCAGCGAACGTGGTGGTCGTTCAGAACCCGGAAGTGCTACTGAGGCAGTATCGTCAGTTCCTCGAAGCAGCTTGTGGATCCTTGAAGATGGGAATCGATCAGTACGACGACCCAGTTTTCTTGCGGCTCCGGTACCGATGCCGCAATGTTTTCTTGCAGGAACTTATGAGCCATTTGGTGGGTAATTTTGAGGAGTTCAAGCGCGTGTACAGTGTGGATTGCTGCCAGTTTAGCGGTTTCATCGGCACGGATGATGGGCAACGCGAAAAGACCAAATTTTACCTGACCCCGCGAGCGCTGATTGCTGTTCGAATCCTGACCAAGCATACGCATGAGTTCGAGTTCCGCACAATCGACGAGATCACTCAAGCAACGGCGATTCCAGATGCGTTCATACTCACGTTAAAGAGCAAACTCAAGTTCATTTACTCGGATCAAAGCAGCGAAATCGTGGAGAAAATGAAAGCTTTGGCTGGAGTTATTGGAATCCATCTTCGCTTCAAGACACGGGATAAACTTCCAAAGCAGCAAGTGGAAAAGCCACTGGATCAATCCGCTTTCCAGTCAAACGACTTATTTGATGTCCAGAGACGAACTGGCCGGCATGGATCTACTCATTTACGAAAGAAGAAGCTCTGTTTCGTTGACGGAACGATTGAAGAGTTCACTAACTGTTCGAAGAAGATATATGAGCTGAAGAATCTGCGTCGAGTCGTGGTTCCTGGGCTAGAAAGCGATGAAACACAGGCCGTGGTGGCGTTGGAATTCGCCGACAGCAGTCGCGTGGCGTATGTGCCGTATGACATGGAAAAGTTCCTGGCGGCGCTGTATGATGGCTATCGATATGTCGAAAATTATAATGTTTCGCTAAGCCGAGAGTTCCCCAACTTGAATCCGAGAATGTCTCCTAGAGCACTGTTGAAGGACGAGCACGAGCGCTTTCTCTATCTTAACCATGATGGACTCTATATTCCAGCTCATGCAGTTCTGGAGAAGGAGATTGAAATGATGAGTGTGGAAGGAGCGAGTATCACGTCTGCGACGAACAAGGTCGCATTTGCTCTCGACAGCTTGAATATGAATGTGGAGATTGAAGATTTTTCGGGGAAGTCCATGCGTGGTCGCTTGGAGAAGTTGTCTTTCAGTTCTTTGATTCGAGGGATACACAACTTGGTAAGAGTTGCTTATATAGTAATCACTGTTGGCTACGTATGACTAATACCCTTTCTTCTGGAACTGTTTGGACAGCTTGAGCATTCGTGCAAACCACCAATCCGTGCGAACGAAATTTGTGTGATTCTGGAAACGTTTTGCCGAATCAATGATGGTTGTTATCGAATATCGATGGAACAGTCTAACGGCGGGGCAATGGTAATGGTTCCAATTCTGGCTCAGATATTGGTCTCTGGCGATCCGATTGCAACCGTGTGGGCTGTAAATGGTCTCCACTCACTGATCGCTGACAAGTCGCGGTCAAATTCGCATCGAGCAGCTGAAAAGGCGATTCGCTTTCAAGTGTTTGAGCATACAAAGCTCATTTCTCTTTTGACTGGCCTTCTGGAGCAACGCAATCCGATCTCCACGCTGGTTATGCTGCAGCTGGTTCTGGATGTTCTGGTTGTTTCTCGTCATAGCACCGATAACAACCACTTTGATGCTATCGTGAAAGATCTTGGAGGAAAGTATACATTGTTGCTGGAGCTGGCGGCTCAAAACGTGAACGCAGGCTTGGCTGCTGCTATTATTTGCTTGTTGAAAGTGATTGTTGACCATGGAGATCATAAAATACGACGGCGAATCTGCGACTATGCGTTAGATTCAGGGCTTACTCTTAGGCATCTGCACAAGGCGTTCTTCCACCCGTCCGACAACGCGAAGGAGACGTATCAATATATTGCCAGCATCTGGGTGACTCATCACAAGGCATCTCATGAAATGCTGGTGAGGATTCTTCCTCATGGGTTTATTCGGATGATTTCCAGCCCGATGGTGCGCAAACTGTTAAAGAAACAGCGAGCGCGACAGACCGAGTCTGTGCGACGGAAGACCAAGCATCAATTGCAGAGCCAAGTTGACGGATCCGAGTGGTTTATTCGCCGCATGCAGCTCCAGATCGGAACTCTATTTGCTAGTGGTTCAGTCAAAGAAGCTCGAGTCAAGGAGGACTCGTCGCGCATGAATTATCCCGGAGAATCATCGACGGACATGGCGTTACTGTCGAGCATGGTGACCAAGGATTTCATGCTTCCCGACTTGCTTTGGAACGAAGCAACTCGAAACGAACTGAAAGCAGCTCTCACGTCTGCGATCGAAGACTTTGATCAGTTCAAAGCTAACCAAGCAGCTGCGTTGTCGTTGCTTGTTTCTAGAAAAGAAAACGTGGTACCTAAGTGGAACCACGCGCAGTTCTCGATGCGGTACGAAAGTATCGCTCAAGAGCTACAAGTTGACCGGTTTTACCTACGTGTGATTACGGAGAGGATAAACGATGGATCATTGCAACTGGCTGAAGTTGCCAAAATTGTTCGTGCGATGGAAGCTGGAACACATCGAGGTAAACTGAAGAACTCGAGCAGCCTCTTCTTTGCCAGTATGGATATCGCCAAAGATCCTGCCAAGTTCTTCAGTGAAGTGTATCAGTGCTGGTTGGAGCATCTTCATCTGAACAATATTCCGTTATCTGGAACAAACGATTGGTCTGCAAGTGGGAGCAACGGGTTTCCTCAGTTCACTGGCGCTACAGGCAGCGAACAGCACGGTCATTCCATGCTAAAGATCCTGATCGAGCTAGCTAACGTTTTCCCTGAAGCCCGCCCACTTACGAAACATCGGGCTCGATTTCTCACCGAGTTATTGCGAAATTCATATCTGGCGAGCGAGATCCAGGATATCGTGGAGTTAATGTCTGGATTAAGTTTGTCTGGAGACGCCTGCGCCGAGTTGTGTACGAAGAACCACATCCAAGTGTTGTTGTACATGTCGTTGCTGTCGCACAGGTGCCAGACTGCACCAATTGGAAGCGACATGACCAATGACAACGGCGAAATACCAATGATGGAATCATTTATAATGTCGGAGGGCAACGACACGTCCTCCGTTCCGATAGCAGAGCTTTCTTTGTACGAGGAATCACGGTATGCGCTTAGATGGACCATTAAACTCAAGACGGTGGGGAACGCTGACGAAGGCAGCGTGATTAAAGGCCCCATATCAGCGAACGAACTAAAGGAATATCTGGACGCTGACCCTTTCATCCGACATCGCCAGATCGACGCGCTGTATGTTTGCTGCTGCTCTACGCATGACAGCGACGAACATGTATGGAAATCGATGTTTGAGTATCCCGAATTGCGATGGATGGAGCTAACTGACGAGCCAATTGACACAAGCTGTGCGACGTTCGCCTTGAAGTCCCTGAGGAACTTTATGGTGAAAGACCAGCGCAAAGCATCTGTGATCAACAAACAATTGTGGCCTCCCCCTTTGGTGAATACTGTTGTCGCTAACACGTCCTCAATAGCCTTATTAGTTCAGCTGCTTCTCGTGAATGTCTCGAGCGTGCGGAGATACGTCTGTGAGATGCTGATGTCTCTGGGCGACGAGGAGCTGCAAGAAGTGTACAAATATGGCGCGTTTTACTTCATTCTGTCTTCAGTGGCGAATCCTAGAGGAGATAATAACGTACCGGCCTTCGTTCCGGAGGCGGCGCTACTAAAACGGATCCATCGAATCCAGCGATCATCGGAGCGATATGTGGGGCAGAGTTACTTGACGGACATGCTGCCTGAATCGCTCATTGGGGTATTGGACTCGGAGAGTCCTGAGAATTTCGCCGACGTATATACCGGTCGTAAGCGTGACAAGCGTGTTCTATGGTCATCAGCGATGAGGTTACATTTACAAGAGATGCTGGATGAGCACCTGCATGAGTTCAAGGAAAACTTGAAGATGAGCGTCACTACCAAATACGACTACACTCCGATACCTCCAATCTCTTACCTGGAGTTGTCTGGCGATGTCTACTGCAGTGGCTTCTACCTGTCGACGTTTAACCAGTCGAATTCGGATGCCGAAGAAGTGGATGATCCTGTGTTTATGATGAAGAGTATTGAAGAGAAGTGGCGATACTTGGCACGACGTCAAGCGGATGGTGTGGTGGACGATATGGATCATTCAAACGCATACAAACTCTTTGGCTGGAGCGAGGATATTACGTTTTCATCGTCAGATTTGCGTTCGCGTTATCGGGAATTGTGCAGACAGGAACTCGAAGTTACTGCAGTTCGCCAAGCGTTTGATTCATTATGTGCTGCTCTCGAACGCAAGAATGAGGCTGTTGGTGGGAAGACATCAGATGTTATCGAGCGTATCTTGAAGTCGCAACTGCAGTTGCTGGATAAGTACGGCTTCCAGTTTTTCTCCTACGAGTCGTCGACACTTGATCTTCTCATCCGCGTGCTGTCGTCTCGATCGGCGAAAGAGTCGAAATTCCGGACCCTTGCGATGGAAGTTTTGCAGCGTTTGCTCTCCGTTGCACCCCAGAATGGTCCACTTCTGGTTAAGATCGATGACAGTTGGGACGTCATTCTTGACTTGGTGGAAAGTTGTGCATACGGACACGACGTGGCAGCGAAGGAGAGCATGTTTTCCATTCTTAAATTGCTCTTAACTTCCGAAGAAGGGGTGCAGTCGCTACTAGAGGGAAGTAAATTCACGTCCTCCAACGATGTACGAGTGTCGAAGTTCGATTTCAGCACCTTTGGGGACGATGACAACACGTCGTTCTTTACTGCGACGGAGTACACATCTCAAAACGGAGCGGGTAGATCCAGACACGCCCAGCGCGTGTATTCGCTGCTAGATGATGTCATTCTTTCGTTCGAGAACATCCAACCGTGGCATATCCAAAAAATGTCGTTTGAAATCGCGTCTTCACTTTGTCGAAGTCACGAGCTGCAAGAACACATCATGGCTTCCACGCGGGTGTTTTGGAAAGGTCTCTATTTGATCCTGGCATCCGCTGAGAGTTTTGATACAGACCAGGAGAGTACGACTGCGTTGGCGAAACAGGAGCGTGATATGTTGGAGAGCGCATTCGGAGCTCTTCGATCGCTCGCTTTGGGACCGGATGGCAATAGTCGATCAGCTGGACTCGAAGCTTTAGCTAATCTCCTACCGATGGATTTTTTGGACCGCCTTGAGAAGCCAAATGGACATGACTTCTGTACTATTTTGCTGTCGGATATTCGTGAGCCGACCTGCATTTGGAACGAAACCACGCGAGCGGAACTCTCTCAACTTACGGAAGAATTTTGCACGGATCCTAATGGTGACGGGGTGTCGTTTTTGGAGAGTGCTACTCACTACATGTACGATTGCCTCAGCTCCGAGCCGTATGTTGGCGGCATCTATCTGCTGATATTGTTGGAGAAGTCAGAGGAAGGTCTACAAACCATCACAGAGGATACGTTGTACCCCACGACGGCGGTTGATTTCGTGGAGTCTCTCTTTTGTTTCCTGAATGAAAACAGAGACCCCAAGCTCGGCATTTACTCAGATACAATGCCAGCTTTGGATTGCTTGAGTCTTCTTTGCGACTTGCCTGCCTTCCGACCGGCTATTGTAGAGTGTCTGGAGCAACATGTTGATGACGAGGATGCAGTGAACGCTTCGATTTCGGTGGCAACGCTCGGTAGATATCTACTGCCATTTGATGGCGATGGTAAAGCCAAAGCCGCAGTATCAATATCGTCACGTCGGTCGCTGTCTACATATGGGTTTAAAGCCAAGACTGAGTCCGACGACGGCCCTACTGCGATGGAGACGGAGTTTGGAAATGTGGATTACTTGGCTCGACAAGAAATGGCGCTGCTGATCCTGAACAAAATCTGCGGGTTTGAGTGCAATTTGGAGCGGATGCTGGCTCCTTTCTGCCAGTTCACTTGGTGTCTTCAGGTTATTACGGATCATCTCGGATATGAGCAAGCATATTACGCGCTATCCTGCTTGGCTGAGCTGTGTGACACCTGTCTAGTAGTCGCCCAGTACGTGCAAGACAGTGGACTGTGGGTTGAGATCTTGGGCATCGCGCTTCAATCGAGACAGCACGTTCTGCATGAACATTTTCTCCGTGCTGAAGCACTACGAGAGCCTGCGTTTGAAGTGCTGTACGCGTTGCTGATGAAAGACTTGGAACTGCGTGAAAAGATGTACAGCGGACTATGTCGATTCCTTCCGTACCCGATCGTGTACCAGATTCATTTGGATCCAAACAAAGCCACCCGATTCTTTGATGACAACCACGACAAGAACGATTTGATCTGGAATTCTCACCGACGAACGGAAGTGCGTAAGAAACTCGATGAGGTGATTGTTCGGAATCGAATGGAGCGTTCAGTTGCCAAGCGAGATTCTGTTTTACTTGACGACGAGACGGATTATATTCCACTCCCGCACAACTTCGTGGCAGGTCTATACATTGATCGGTTCTTGTCTCGTCCAGACCCGGAGAAGCTGACAAACCCAGCGTACAATTTGGAGTTGCTGTTTCAGTTGTGGAGAACTCAACTGGATCAACTGTTGAGTTATAATCTGCAAAATCCACCTGACAACCTCAAGTCAGTGGCCGATGAAATCGACAAATACACTATGGCAATGACCCATATCTTGAGAGCGTCGCTGGATATAGACGAAAGCATCGCTAACAACCGCATTCCGGAGCAGATTGTCAAGCTGGTACGTCACTGTAATCAGCACTTGATCACGAGCTTCCCGTACCGTTGCGTGTTGCGAATCGCTCGACGGTTAGTGCAGTTCCCCGAGATCACCTCGAAAGAATTCGTGGAGATGCTTACTTGTCGTATCACCATGCAACACCCGGATATTCCATCTTTAATGAAGGTGCTTCGTCGAGTTTTAGAGGCGCGCAATGCTGCTTTGACAGAGAACGAGACGAAAGATGATCCCGAGTACTGGTTGAAAGACCTCAAGTATTATCCGCAGATGTTGGCGTTCTTGGAAGGGCTGGTCGAGAACAAGGAGCAGATCGATACTTCTCTTCTTTCCAACGTGAACCGCGTACTACGTATCATCCACGCGGAAGAACCCAAGGAAACACACTTGAAACAGATCTCTCGCAGCTTTATGGGACGCTGGCACAACTTCACACTGGAAAGCAGACCATCCATGCTACGTAACTCGATCAAGACGGGGTCAAAACCGCCAGTGACGGCGAGTACAAATATCAAGTCTACGAATCCCAACATGAGTACGCGAAGTTTCGATGTGGACGGAGCAAGAGCAGACATTGAAACTAATCGAAGCTTCAACGTGGATGTCGAGAGAGAGCCGTCCATCCGAGTCGATATCAAGGGGGTACCTGACGACCGTGAGATTGACATCGACGCCACTTTCATCCAAGCACCACCGAAGAGTATCAACTTCACTGGCGGCGCTGTCGAGTTGACAGAAGCCGTAGCTCCTCGCAGTTTCCGATACAAGGGCGAAGTCGCGCGTGATTCTCCGTTGCCATCGCCCACGTCGGTCCGCTACTCGACGCTAGGAGCTCGATACGAGCCGATCGACTCGCAGTATCACTCCAAGAAGGCAGCCGAGTATGACGAACATGAAGATGATGAGGATATCTTCGCTACTCGACCACGTCGTGGAAGTTTACCACTAAAACCGGACGATGTGGACGTGAAGAAGATTAAAGGTAATGGCATCGCTCCCACTGCTGTAGGCGACATCCCTATGAGCAACATCAACGTCAGCAACTTCATCTCTCAAGCGCCAACCACTCGAAGACGCGACCAATCGGAGATTCCGTCAGATGCCACGTCGTATTTGAGTCGACAGAGTGGAATGAGTGGTATCAACTCGGAGCGACGCTATTCTTTGCTGGATTCCTGGAAGGCTCCGTCATCTGCAGCGCCAAATTCATCACTGACGTCGCTCACCATCTCTCGTCGAGGCCGTCGCGCTGCGGCGGTGTATAGTCGTCATAAGTCCAAGAAGAAGAGATGGTTCAACAGATAGTTGAAGTGCATAGATTTAATTTTTACATTTTTCTCTAAATTTCAAAATTATTTGTTGAAGTTGACAATCACTCTGCCGTGTCCGGAAGGTAAGACGCGTTGATGCCGCTCCTGGCGCTCTCACTGTGCGTGTCTAAGTAGATTGTAAGGCTGCGATGAGCTGGCAACAGAATGCGGTAAAGCAGCGCACATTTGGGACCCCAAGATGCCTGGAAGAGAGAGATTCTGGCTCTCCGAGTGGAGACAGCAGGATCCTTCGCTACATCAAGACACTTACAAGTCACCAGACGAATGCCAAGCAACAACGAATGGATCAGTATCTGCAGAAGGTCAAACATACGCACCCGACAGAGGACGTGAAAGGCTTGAAACCTCTTCGGTACTCAACGACGACGAATGAGCGCCAAAATGCATCCGCCCCGACGTTTAGAGCTCCAGCGACGAGTATGTGGAAGGAAGCGATACCAAGAGAGCAACAAAAGCTGTTGGAATCAAATAAATCTAGTTATCGGCGACCGAAGCGTTCGTGTGACGGAGATCAAGGCAACAGACAGATGAAGAAGGCGAAGCGAGCACCTACCAAGCAGCAGGTCGCGGCGGTTGACGCATTGGATCGATTTAGGCTCAAAAGTACCCCGTTGCAGATCAAGTCACAGACAAGGGGAGAGATTTCTGGTAGCAAGATATCCCAGCACACTACACTACCGGCTGATGCTCAACACATTAAACTCCAAGTCGCCGCCACTCAACCACAAATGCCACTAAAGTCTAAGCTTGGCAATGCTAACGTGAATAACCGCGAAGTGACGCGTCCCGTTCAGGTTTGCCCGTACACAGTAGATCTAGAAATATCACCAGGTAATTTAAGCTGACACTAACGTTGTTGGTGAAGCCGTCTCCAGCCAAGGAATCTATAGCTCGTCCAGTTGCACCTCCAGCTCGTGACGAGTGGGCCAACTCAAACCAACACGCCAGTTTCCTGCCAACAGAGACACAAACCCTCGACTCTGAGCAGGAAGACTTCGTTACCACTTTCCACCATCTAAGCGCCATCATGGAGTCGATTTACTTTTGAATTGATAAGCATAACGCCCATCAACCCTTGAGCTAGTCGCTTGCAAAAGGTCGCGACTAGTGACTTCGTCCTGCAGCAAAAACAATTCGTCATCAAGATGCAGCCTCACGCTTGCTTGCTCTTGGTGGTGATGGTAGTGCGATACTGGATGCTGTCAAGTGGCGACCATCTAGTCGCTCGAGCCAGCGATCTCAGTAATGAATATCCATCATCAATGTCACTGTGTGGAGAGAATCTAGCCAAGGAGACCGGCATTCTTAACGATCTCTACTACGTGTACTACCAATCGTCCGCCAAAAGAAATGGTGTTCCTGTGCTTCTGTGGCTCTCTGGCGGTCCTGGTTGCTCTGGGCTTGTCGCGTTGCTATTCGAGAATGGGCCTTGCTCATTTGACGACGAAACCGACACAATCTCCCTCAATCCGTACGCATGGACTGGCCTCGCTCATGTTATCTACCTCGACCAGCCTAAAGGCACAGGATACAGTGATGGAGACCATGGAATTACGCGTCCTTGGTCACTTGACGGTGCAGCTGACGACATGCACGAGTTCCTCCGCCTATTCTACCAGCAACATCCAGAGCTCAAAACGAACGACTTTTACATATTCGGAGAGAGTTATGCTGGTCATTACGTACCAGACCTAGCAGCCAGACTGCTCAAAGACAGCTCAATTCCAGTGCTGAAAGGCATAGCGATCGGGAATGGCGTCGTGTCCACAACTGCCTGGGTCGAGTCAATGATTCCTTTCTTCAAAGCAAACGAATACGGCTACGATTTCCTTGGCTCGAATGAAAAAATATTCCAGATTTTTCGTGATCAGTTCGATTCAGCGCTTGCAAGGTGCAGGAGTGGAAATGCCAGCTCTGACTGCAGTGAGGCTCTGCAGAGCCTCACGGACTTTGAAGGAGCAGTTTCCTCCTCAGTCTGCAACCTTGGCCGGAACGTGTATGATGTGCGACGCGAATGCCATTATGACGATGCCCTCCAATTATGTTATCGTTTTTCTCGTCTCCAGGCATTTGTCAACACCCCGATCACAGCTTCGTACTTTGGTCAAGTCGCTCACGAATGGAGATTGTGTTCTGCCGGAGCACTCCCGGAATTGGCAGAAATGGATCAACTTGAGGAGAGTGAGTCGAATGTCGCTCGAGTTCTTGAATGTGGTGTTAGAGTGCTTGTTTACGGCGGTGACGCAGATACAGTCGTTAATTGGATGTCCCAGGACTCGTGGACACGCGCTCTGTTATGGCAGCATCAAGCGGAATTCAGCTCCGCCACTTTTAGTGAACAAAAGTTCGACGGTCAACCGATCGGCCGTATACGGACGTCACACGGTCTCAGCTTCATGAAAGTCTATAACGCCGGCCACGTACGTAAAGATATCCACACTCCCCTGCATTATTTACTAATATATCTTGTGTATGTAGATGGTTCCTCATGACCAGCCTGCCATGGTGTATGAGATGGTTCGAAGCTTCCTGTACGATGGTCCAAGCGTCGGCATGTTCAGTTAATTAACCCTCAAAGACCTACATTAAAACATGCACTTTAGAATTAAAAACAATTAAAAGCTCTGAAATCGGCAGCCTTCTATCCCCTGCAGTGTTGCTCCTCGTTGCACGACAGACAGAACACGCGGTCGAACTGCTCGTCGCAGTTGAGTGTCGAGCACAGCGAGCAAAAGACGCTGCAGCACGCGTCGCACTCACGACGGCAGCAGTCGCCCATCTGCCGCTCGCAGTGGCTGCAGCGTTGCATCTGGCTGGTACTGAATCGACGTTTGGCGCTCTCACATACGGAGCAACACGCGCGTGGTGCTTCGCTTTTAGTGGCGAACAGGCGACCGATGCTGCTGTGCTTCTTGATACGCGCATTGGTGATGGCGGCCGACATCATGCGGCTCAGCGCGTCTGAGATGTGTGTTTCGACAGTCAGTTTCAGTGTTAAAACAAAGATGTCAGCAGGGTATAAGACACGCACCGACGGGTACAGAGCGGTCTCGGCAGCGCTTGGCGGACGCGTGTGGTGGCTTCCAGGGCGACATGGAGGCCCACAAAGACGACGGGGGCGGCGTCATACCTACAGCATCCATGTCGCAGTCTTCCATCGTGCTCTCATCGCGTGCGCGCTTCATTTCGGAGCTTGTTTTGACAGGTAAACTCAGCGAAACGTGCAGGCCACGCGCTAAAACGGAAGTGAGCATGCTGATGGCGGGAAGCAATTGGCGCCTATTCAATAAAGTACGAAAATCCTCTATCAAAATCAACTCAAATCCTACGTAGTACACAGTATACGACATACAAAAACAAGTGTAAAACAAAGTCTATTGATCAGTGCTTCCAGCTGGACACAGAAACGAGTGGAAATTAGTGACCATACAACTTCAACGGCAACAAGCAACTCCACGTACATCTTAATGGTGCGATCCTTGCTGCCGGAGGCCACCATGTCGCCGTTCGGGCTCCAGTCCAGCGCGTACACCTCGTCAGCATGTCCGGATAGCGTTGTCTTGGCATTCTTAGGCTCGCTGAGCTCCCACACCTTCACCGTCGAGTCTTTGCTAGCCGTCACGATCAAGCGCGAGTCACTGGACCAGCATACCTGGTACACAGCGCCCACGTGGCCCGTGAGGGTAGCCACAAACTTGCCCGTTTGACCATTCCAGATCTTGACTTCCTTGTCGAAGCTGGCGCTGGCGAAATATCGTCCGTCTGGAGAAAAGCTCAGGTGGTTCACTGGCTGCTGGTGGCCCGTGAGACGCGCCAGCGGCTTCTTGCTCTCCGATGGCTCCCAGAAGAACAGCGTGAAGTCATCTGAACCGGAGACCAGACGCTCTGGCTGGCCCTTGCGCACCTCCTGGTATCGCTTCAGTGCTGCCTGCTGCATCTCCTCACGCGACGCGAAGCCTTTGGTGTTGTGACCGAACGGACCCGAACGGCAGACGTAGTCCACATTCAGCGCCAGCGTGTTGATACGGTGACCGTGTCCGATCAGCGTACGCACGAGTTTGCCCACGTGCTCGCCTTCCATTGCCCAGACTTTAATTGTTCGGTCACGGGACGCACTGTATAGCAAACCTTCACCTCCCCATTTGATGCACTCTACTGAGTCCGTGTGGCCGGACAACGAGGCGATGGATCGACCTGTACGAGCGTTCCACACTTTGATCGATCCGTCCTTCGAAGAACTCGCGAAACGCTCGCAAGTGGCGTTGCGGTGCATGGGCTCCCAGGTCAACGAGTTCACCCACTGCTTATGGCCCTTCATGGGCTGGCCGATCTGCTTGCCTGTCAGCGGGTCCCATAGACGAATTTCACCGTTACGGTCAGCCGAAGCAAAGCGCGTTCCGTCGGGCGACCAAGCCGTACACAACACGTGGTTCTTGTGTCCACGACCCGTGTGCTTTGGCATGCACGTGTTGGTGTCCCAGAAGCGCACGGTGGCGTCGCCTCCTCCACTGGCCAATCTCTTGCCATCAGGGCTAAAGCTCACGTGTAGAATAGCTTCCGAGTGTCCCTGTAATGTATCGCTGCAACGGGTGACTGGACGCACACGGAATGCCGCCAAAGGTTGGAACGTGATGGTCAACGCCGTCTCCGTCGACAATTTCTGCATGATAATATCAACACGAGTTAGAATTTCCTCACTGGCTGCAGCAGTACAACACATCAGATTGCTTACGCACCAGTTCCTCGACTGTAGCCTTAAGTGACGTTGTCACCTCCGTCTCACCGATGAAAAGCGAGTACGGCACGCGGTTCTTGCCGTTCTGCAGCAGCTCGTTGACCAATTCTTCCATCTGACGGACATTGGAGCTCATAGGAATCTCCAACTGTGGTCCCACATTTGTACCCTGTCCAAACGTACGAGAAACCCAGCAGAGTTAGCGTTTCTAGTTGCAATTAGTTGAAAAAAGTGCCAACAATCTCACATCTTCGCTCTGGAACTGGGCAATTGCGGACGTCCCAGTCTCGTCATCCGAGTCTTCTTCGTCGTCACTGATGTTCGAGTTCTCCGGCTTCATGGCTGCGTCTCCATCAGCGCTGGAACCGGTGGGCTCGTGCTCCACCTTCATCTTCTTGGCAACGTGCGTGACCATAGCTGCTCAAATAACAAATGTGGCAAAAAACTGTTGGCTATCGCGAAAATTCGAGTTTTGACCAATCAACAGTCATTGAACGAGTTGAAGTGAAAAGCAGCAACTTGCACGACAGGCAAAATGTGTTCGAATGTCTTATGGTGTTTTAACTCGATGTACTGCTATCCTGCTTTGTAGATCATCACGGCCTTCTCGTTGTAGTAGAAGAAGACAAAGTTCCTTGTCACGTGGGTCACGAAAGAGCCGAAGTTGCGTCCGATACACACCACCCAATGGGGATCCCATGCCTCGTCCAAGTGAGCTTTAATCTCCTCACACACCTAATACCAGGCAGCAAGAATGCGTCACTACATTATTGGAATTTAGAGCCATAGACGCAGTAAATAAACTCACCGCCAAGCCATTCTTCTCCCATTCCTCAGTGTCATACTTACCCAGTCGTGACGTGACGTGCTTGATCGCATCTTCCAGTACATCGTCTTCCATATCGCAGGGCATCTTGACCTTGGCGCCCCACATGTGCTGCCAACTCGGAGCCTCGCCCATTTTCGCAAACTGTATCAAAAATCGCTCTTACCAAGGGATCGCGACGTTTCACGTCACTGTTTCTATCATTTAGAAATGGCTACATCTTGAGGTCGTGAAACGACGTAGTGCAATTGACTCCACCATGACGAGGCGGCTAATGAGTCGGCGTGGCAACAGCGCCAACCACTCTCAGGTGACGCCGTACCAGCAAATAGAAGTGAGGAATTATCGGAATATCACCGTGGTAGTGGTTTAAATACTGAATGATGTCTCTGTGCTATGCTGTAGTTGGACGATGGCTGGCGAGAATGGGAAAATACCAAGCAAGAGCTCGTGTTGGTGAAGAGACAACTAGCCGAGAAGGTATGCGTATAAAATATTGCACTGTATTGGATTGCTCAATTAATACGGAATTGTGTTTCGGTAGGATGCACTTATAGTGCAGTTGAAGACTGCATCTCGCAGATTAGAGGAAACGCTGCGCAAGAAAGAAAAAGATGTACGACACGCACTTTGCATCCGTCCACAACAATGATATGTCTTATACCCTTTGGTATGATGTGAAAACTAGTTGCAAGCTGCGTTCGCTATATTACGGTCACCTCAAGATGCTAAGACAACCAAAACCCGCAAGCAGGAGCTGATTGACCGCTTGGTCTCCGAATGTTTACAGAAGGTATGGCAACGCTATAGATTTTAGCTTTAATCAAAGCGTCCTTAGTGATCCATTGTAGTCTGATGCCCTCGGTTTTGGTTAGATAGGCTGCGACTTCTGAAGCGCTGGTAGAGGAACGAAGACGAGAGCTCGACAAACTGAAGTACAGCAGGTAGGCAACTTCATTTCATGCTGTGTAGTTATTCACTGACGCGCAGAATAGTAAATTTCTTCGCTTTCAGGAACTGGAGATTGAGATCGAAGAGTGTCACACAGAGATCGAGCGTCTTCGTGCAAAGTTGGCGTTGACATCTGCATCCTCACCGACAGCAATCGTTGGGAAACTCAAAGTTTCGTCTGTGCCACTGACACCAAAAGATACAGTAGCGATCACTGGTACCTTGTCGAAGAAAGCCAAGCTGGATCCGTTGGGCGTACATGAAGATATTAGCCCAGATAATAGGCAAAATGCGAATGCCTCCACCAATTTGAGCGCGACCAGAATGCCCCCCGTCCAGACTGCTACAGGTCAAGTTCGTGTGGTTCCGCTCGCCAAGTATCACCAACGAGAGGGTTTTGTCTCCAAAACCCGTAGACGAGCACTCGAAGCTGAATATTACAAGCAAGTTCGACTTGCACAGCTGGAAGTTGAGTGTGAATTGGAGGAAAACCTGCATATTCGAGCAGCCCGGGAAGCAAAAAGACTTCACGCCGTCGAGCAGCAAGACTGGCAGAAGGAAACTATTGTCGATAGTGCAAGTTCTCAACACTCGACTACGGAAACTGGGACAAACAGCGATAAACGGACTGATGATCGCGATGATCTACCACAAATTGAAGCTAACTCTGGCAAACCGGATACAGCTTCACAAGAAATAGGCGAAAATGAACATACGAGTGTTGACTCAATCGATAAGGAAGTTGACATAGCCACTAGAGCTCCAGTTGAGCATTCAGCAGGAAACACTGCGCAAGCTGAGTCTGTCGAAACTACTGTGACAGTAGAATCAGCGGAAAACCAAGTGGAGACAACTGAGGAAGGCAATGGAAACGGGGAAGCTAGCGAAGAGTTACAAAATGTGCAGAAGACGTATGAGGACGATGAATTTGATGATAATGATGACAATTCCAAAGAAACGGGCCCTGGAGGTGAATATAATGGTTGGAATGTGGATCCGAACCCGCAGAACGGACACCAGTCCGATAGCATTGAGAAAAAAGATGCCGAACTTAGCCAACAACCCGATGACAGCGACGATGGCAATTCAAAATCTGCGATCTGGAATGCTGATCCCACAGCCTCTCCAGAAGCAGATATACCAAGTGAAGCTGAAGCCGACAGAGTGGTGTGGAACGCAGATCATCATCCTGGAGGCTCAGATGAACCGATGGACGATGTATCCGTTGTCAATAGCGATGACGAAGGTCATGCATATGACGATTCAAAGGAATATGATGGAAAACATGACGAGATCTCCAAAGACACAAGATCTGTAGGCGAATATAATGCTTGGAACGTGGATCCGAATTCACAGAGCGATCGCTTGACCGATAGTAAAAATACCGATCTTAATCAACAAGCCGGGAACAACGAAGCTGATGTCGACAGGGTTGTGTGGAATGCGGATCCACATGTTGACGGCTCAGATGCAGTAAAGACTGATGCATCGGTTGTCAATAGCGATGAGGAAGACCTCGCACAGGATGATTCAGTGGAACACGAAGATCCAATACCGAAGAAGGACAATCCTGCGAGCAATGCCTGGAACTTAGATCCCAGCCCTCCCGTCCCCACTGATGCAAACCTCGCAGACTCAGTGGCTTCATATGAAGCGGAAGAGCAAAGTCCAAACGTTATTGACACCAATACGGATGTAAATGTCTGGAATGTAAACCCGATTCCAGCGTCAGATCCCACTCATACAGCTGAAAACATGACGGAGGCGATCGATGGCGGACGCCCAGCCGTAGCGGATCAGCCTGGTTGGAATATTGACCCTGATCCTGCGGCTGCAGCAGCTTCAAACCCTGAGGTACCTGCACCACATAAAGACACTACTGATGACTACCGAGCAGAACTTGTTGAAAACAACCCCGACGATAGTAACGCTATAGTAGGTTCCAACCCCTCGGACTCTGCGCCCGACGAGGAAAATGACGAAAATCCGTGGAATTTGGACCCCACCTTAGCACCATCAATCACGGAGGATAAGGGCGACAACGAAGACCCGTTGCAAAATGGAGAATTACCCTTATCAGGAGCTGCTGAGCTGTCTTCTAGGGTTGGAAGCGCACAGGGTGATTCAGACCACGGCGCTGTCGATCTTGAAGAAGACACAAATAATGCCTGGAATCTAGATCCAACTGCCCCCACTGCCGTCCTAATGCCTGATGTGGATGGTAGTAACTCTCCTAGTGGTGAAGAGGTAATCGAGAGAAATGTGTGGAACTTAGACCGACACACTGGAGATGCCAGCGAAGCTACGGACACATTCAACGAAGCAACAGGCCTGGAAACTACACAGGAAGATGAGGTTGCACCAATCCCACCAACGGTGGCAGACGCACTCCCAGCGGGTGCCGGTGAAGAAGGCCCCACTCCAATTTATCAAGAAACACCTGACGAGTCTTCAAACGATCCAGATACGCCAGTTATTGACGGTGATGCCGATATGACAGCAGCTTCTGAACCCAATAGCGAGGCTAGTTATCATAGCTCCCCTCGAGAGCTCGAAGACGACGCTACTCCAGAGTACACGCCGCCGTCAACTGAACGCGACTCAGATGCAGACGACGACTAAATTCAATAGACCACGTCAGAATGGTACACTGTACCAAACGACTCTTCACGCAACCTTCCCACAACATTTCTCCGTCATCAGTCGGTACTTTTGCCTCATGATCGCCTGCGTCGCCGTCATCGGTGCGGCCGTAAGTGCGCCTCTGTTTGCCTTGCGGCACCATTCTCCGATGCCTTAAACGTCTCTCATTGTTGTTGCACACAGAATAGCCCCCTTTACATCCGTACATTCGGCGAAGAGGGCGAGGATTTGGGCTTCCACTACATCGCGCATGTGTCGCTGGATGTGATCGAGGAGAAACTGCGGGGCGCGGGTATCACCAGCTCCAAGGACGATATGTACTTGGGCTCTCTGGGCCCGATCGAGGACTACCGAGTGTACGGCTACGTGACCAATACATCCGTCAAGTTCGTCGTGGTACTGCAGGACACACCTGTGCGCGAGTCCGAGCTGAGACCGGTTAGCTTCCAGAATCCTTTGATATGCTTTACCTAGAGGAAATTACTGACTTGTTGCTAATGACTGTAGTTCTTCGCGGAGGTTCATCGTCTTTATGTGAACGCCATGTCGAATCCTTTCGCGCCGCTGGGCGAGCGGCTTACCTCGCAGACTTTCGACAAGCGGGTGTCCAACCTCGTCGTACAGCACAACACAGGCAACTAACCGGTAATGCGTTTATTCCTCTTGGCTCTGTGCACTGTATGCATTTTTATCTTGTCTCTACATACTTAAAGCTTCGACCGACAGATCGCCCACTCCACTATCGTCCTCGTTCTCTTCCTCGGAATCGGACTCCTCGTCTTGATCTTCGTCGTCGATTTCGGGCATAGGGAAACGCAGGATGGCAGCGATGCCACTCACTTGGCCTAGCTTCTCGCCTGACACGTGCAAACTACTGAACAGCCTGACGGTACCGCCGTTATCCCGCACACTTTCGACCAGGTCGACGTATTTACGACGTGTGGCGATATCCTGCGACCGGAACAGAGCGTCCGTGATCATGAGCGTCTCGATGGCCATATTGGCGTTGGCACGCTCTACGTGCTTGTAGCCGTAGTACGCGCGGTCCTGGTCGATATGCAGCATGTTGAAGAAGCGCTCCAGACACTTGACGTCTTCCACGGCCTTGGTATCCGCCACCTGTGACTGAATTGCTGGATCATTGAGCACTTCATCGAGCGCATGCTTGTGCCCAGACGACGAATGACACAGCACGAACTTGGGCTTGTTCTCGAGGATGAGTTTGTCGTCCTGACGCACAGCCTGCTCGATCATAAACTTGAAGAAGTCGTCCTTGACGAAACCCGGACTGGCAAGCAGGACGCACTTGACGAGCTTGAAATCAATGTGCTGTCGAATGGACCGCACGATGTTCTCATAAAATTTCTCCGTGCCCTTGGCGTGGGCAGAACTTCCAGGACGCTTCTTGGGTACACTGGTCTCGATCTTGGCACGGATGACAGTCATGTCACCCTTGATCAAGCACAAGTGCGCCAAGCCAACCTGCATAACCACAGCTGCTAGCTCAGCTTGCTTGGTGATATCGCACGCCATCTCGATACGTTCCAGCGACATGACGTCCCAGCAGTTCTTGGTTAGCGTGAAGTCGCGATTCATCTCGAGATCAAGAGTGTGGTAAGCTCCCAACTGCAAAACACGACGTCGTTAGTGGTTATGTGTATACACAACACAACTGACAGCTACGCACCCGAACGTGTTGACTCTCCATGATGTTCTTGCCCTTGATACGCAGCACACACAGGGCAGGATCGAAATTGACTTGTTCCACCTTCGCGTAAACCAATATTTAGCAAGTAAATTCAGTATTTTCTGCATATCCTGCATCGTACCTCAATTTGCAGTGTCATGCGCACACGTTGACTACTGGTAGAGCCCGTCACGCCCTCCTTCACCACCTAAAGATGCAATATTACGCCATAACTTCAATTAAGTACGAATTTAAATTACTTCTCTGTAGGCAGTCTTCGTGCACCTTCCGGATCGTTGTGGTCTTGACCGAGTCGGATACGTGGATGAGATTGTAGATGTGCCACATATCCTCGGGCTCCTCAGCTCGCAGCACCACCGAGCCGGCGCCATCCTTCTCGCTGATCTGCTTCTTGAGCAGCTTCATCTTGGACCTTGCGATGACAAAATGAAAATAATGTTGTCTGAATGTTGCAATAGCTTTTCTCAAAAGTATGTCAAAACAGGGTTGGAGTGACTTCAAGTTGTTTCAAAACTCGGTGGTAAAGCTACGGTAATTTATGCGGAGGCGGCGCTTGTCCTGCGCGAGAGCGATCAACAGCTTCCGAGACGTCGACGCCGCGTGACTCGCAGACTCCGAGACCAATTGCAGACCAGTCGAGATCGCTGCGGCCCTTTGCGCGCTCACTCAAGAAGCGGTCGATGAGGGTGGACAGGAATGGCATCGGTACTTGTGATTCCATGGCCAATTGGTGAGCCAATCGCTGGTCCTTATAGCCCAACTCCAGTGCAAAACCACCAGGATGGTGGTCACGCTCAGATACACGCTGGCCGTACCCCTTGTGGATGACCGAGTTCATGAACGTGCTGCTGTAGAACTGCATCGCCTGAACGCGGTCCACGCCGTTCGCTTCCAGTAGTGACAAGGCCTCAGCCATAGACTCGATAGCTGAGGCGATAAGGAAGTTCCCGGACAGCTTTACAGCATTCGCTGCGCCAGAATCTTCCGTGCTGAATGATGCCACTCGTCCATTCGTGCACTTGTGCAGCCATTGAGACGCCTGTTCCACGGCAGCGGCATCGGAGCCCGACACGACGAAGTTCGCTTGCATAGCTTCCATCCCGTCGGGACGCGCAAAAATGGGAGCTGCAACATACTTCGTCTTCGCCTCACGATGCTTAACATCAAGTGAGCGTGACGTGTTCGGGTGGATCGTAGAGCAACCGACGTGTAGCGCCCCAGGTGTCATGGTGGCCAGCAGACCCGATCCATGCTTGCCTTTGTCTCCGAGTGCGACGCTCCTGATGATTTCGTCCCTAGGTAGTACGGAGAAGATCGTGTTCGTCTGGGCGGCAACCTCCTCTACAGAAGCAGCAGGTTTCGCACCGAGTACTACGAGCCGATCAATGTTGGCACGGTTGGTATCGAAGCACAGCACGTCCACTCCAGCCTTCAGCAAATTGTGCGCCATCGGGAAGCCCATATTGCCCAGACCGATGAAGCCAACGGCATTACTAGAAGCTGCTGCACCAAAGCACGAGAGGATTAGTAGATACGACCGCAGAACTCGAGGGGTCTGATACTAACCGGAGAAGCATCGGCGTCCGACCGATCCAATATGGCGGTGGTTAATTAGGCGCAGCATATCCGAGTTCTATCGACCTAGCGCAGCAACTGGAGAATGCACAGGTGCATGTAAGCAACGCCCACTTCAAGCTCATCAATTATTTTCCATACATTTCTCCATATCAACTCTCTAAATGATTGCTCCATGTATCTATTGAAAGAGGGGATGACGTGCGATGGGCGACATCTAACTTTGTATGGAAATGCCCGATCATTCCCCAGTTGGCATTTCCACTTTACCGCCCCTGTACCGGTTTATTAAGATGGTCAAGCGTGTGCAGGCTGCCAGTGCGGAATTCCTGCAAGCTTCATCTGCTGCATCGACCACCTCGTCGGCGCCGTCGACGCCTGCTGGCCATGCTCCTCCTTTGGCCAATGGACCAGCCAGCGTCTCAGCCGTGTGGTCGTACTTTGAGAAGGACCAGTCGGGCAACTCCATCTGCAAGTTTTGCCAGCGCGTGATTAAGGGCCACCACTCGTCCAACCTGCTCTCGCATTTACGCACGGCCGGTCGCACGGACTCGGTGCATCAACAGGCCAACAACGTATGCGAGGAGCACCGGGAGACTAAGCGCCATCTCAAGCGCCAGAAGCTCGGGCTACAGACCGTCGCGGGCCAACCGGGCACCGAGTTCGTGGTGTACCCGCCGCCTGCGGCTTCTCAAGCTCTGGCTGCCGCTGTGGCCGCGGCTGGAGGCTCTCCAAGTATCTTCACGGCTGCTCTTAAGAGAGACCCAACGGCCGCCTTCTACACGCCAGCTCTGAACGTCTCAGGGCTGGCGATGACAAAGGAACAGCGCGAAGCTTTGGGCTCCGCTTATGGAGTCCAACCGGCGCAGATCAATGCTGAGCAATTCACACAGGACTTGGCCTTAATGGCATTGATGGATAATCTGCCATTGAACTTTGCTAGCAAGCCAGGAATGCAGTACGTTATGAGCCAGTTGCTCGGGGACAAGAAGCTGCCGTTGCCCAGTGAAGAAGCTGTGGGGAAGAGTATCCTCTTGCTACAGGAAAGTGTATTCCTGACCACCAAGATGGTACTAGCGAGAGCTAAGAGCGTCGCTGTGTCGCTGGAGCTGTGGCAATACCCTTCTCCTACTAGACCGAGGCCGACGCAGTATCTAGCTGTGAAAATTCACTTCAGTGTGAATTTTAAACTCTTCGACATTGCAGTGGGCGTCGCAGCACTGGAAGAATCGCCTGGACTAGACACAGTTAAAGCCATCATCGACTCGTACCTGGAGCGTCTGGGTATCAAGGACAAGATCATCTCCTGTATCAAGGATGAGCTCCCTGCCAAGGCTAACCTCACGGCTTCCGATCTCCCGTCGCTGTTTGTCCCCGTTAACTTCGACGGTCGCATTGCGTCGCCCGATGCAGCGCAGAACACGCTCCTTCTCACGTCTGCAGTGCAACATCTGCGTGTCTGCTTGACGCTCGATATTTTCACCAAGTCGTTCCCGGATGTGGTGAATCAGGTTGAGGATTTCGTGACTAAATTCGCAGATAACGAGGATGCGATGTTTACGCTTAGCCAGAAGTGCCCGCTATTCCATTTGGAGGAATCCCTACACGTATCAGCGTCTTACTATGAGTTCCTACGGGACTTCGTGGACCACCTGCCCATACTAGAGCAGATCGCCAATGCGAATCTGGTGGAGCACTTGCCTGAAACTACTGTGGAGTTCATTGGACTGCTAGTGAAGAAGTTGCGGCCATTTGCCCGATACTCAGAAGCGCTCGAGGGAGAAAAGAACAAGAAAACTGGTAGCGACAGAGAAGTGAACAAGAACGGCATCTCTAGCATTTCAACGATCGCTGCGGCGTTGGTAACGTATGCAGAGAAGCAAGCGCAGTCGGCAGCGGAGACCATACCTGCCCACCTGGAGCCACCCATGTGGAAACGCTTCTTCGAAACGCTGGCGAGGAAACTACGTGATCAGTTCGGAATGCTGCCACCAGTCTGCTACGCTGCGACGCTGTTCGATCCGCGTTACAAGAACAGGGAATACTGTTATCTGTCGTTCAAAACTCAGTGCGACATCGGTAAAGACTTTCTCCGCCGGATGTTCACCGCTGAAGGATCAAGTGCCTCTAGTTCTACAGGACTACCCGTGTCTGGAGCCTCTACGTACGCAGAGCTCGGGAAGGAGCCACCCAGCCCAACAGGCAACGCTGTAGCCCTCGCTGACGACGAAGATGATGACCTGCTTTCTCATCTGCCTTCTGAGTCGTCGAAATCATCTCTACAGGCTGAGAACGAAATGGTCGCGACGTGGGAGAAAGAGCTGAGCGCATTTTTGAGTCTTCCTGTGTCGGAACGCAACGTCGACCCGTTGGCATGGTGGAAAACCAACCAGTTGCGCTTCCCGCTTATTGCGCCGTACGCTGAAATGGTGCTGTCGCTGCCGGCTGCGTCCTCAAGTGGTGAGACTGTCCGACGCAATGTGTATAGTGTGCTGTTGCGTACAGAAGGCCCTGCTCGTGAGGCTGCGCTAGCTGATAATCCAGCCCTGGTGGAGGCATTCCTGTGCTTCCAGAAGAACAAAGAGTACGCCCTAGATTGGTTTCGATCTGGACCCAGCGCCAACGGAATTGCAGAAGCCGCGGGGCTAAACGCAGATCTTGAAAGCAGCGCTGCGAGCTTCAAGCATATCGAGAATGTGTGATGGTTGAGCAGATCCCAGTGAACTTGAGAGATAATTGGCACGCCACGAAAAGCAAGAATACAATTGACTCCCAGTGACGAAACATATTCCTGGCCTTACAGGCAGGAGCGCTTATACTGAAAGAATAGTCTAGGCCGACTGCCGTGATGCTCTTCTTGCCGCCGATATAAACTCTTCGCCGTGAGCTTTGGTTGCCTCAGCGTGGCGCAAGAATGCGCCTAATGCCCCGAAATACCCTTCGTGTTTGCAGAATCGCGCCTCCATGGCCCCATTCGACCAGAAATTAATTGCATACGCCAGCGTCCGAGACGAAATCTTGTTGTGCCGTAGGAAATTGCCGACGAAGAAAATGTTCTTGGTCTTGTACAGTGTCGCGTTCAGAAAGGCAACTTGGCCAATGTTCTGCGTGATCATGACCAGCAGCGATCGAGCTAGATCAGCGTCGCTCACACTTTCTCGCGATACCGAGATCATTTTGCCAAAACTGCTGGCGACAGTCGAGGCGGGCAGTTTGAATTTGTCGTAAGCTCCGCCGTAGATGTCGCCTACACTCATATCCACCGACTTGTTGGAGCCATGGACGCACAAGTCCAAGGCCTCGTCGTATGTGTCGCAGTTGGTCATGAGGCGGCAAAGTCCCCAATAAGTGCCACCTCCAATACTGCTACCACTCACACGTTCATAATCTCCTGGCCCCTTTACATACAGCACACTCACTCCCGAACCAATACTGACAAGCTGTGAGCGACATAAGAATCTGGTTAGTTTTTGATTGCACTACATGTGATACTGTCAAAATAATATTTCGAACGCACCAGATATGGGTAGACGTTTTCCTCTGTATCAGCACGGATGGTTTTCACCCGCGACGCCGCCAGTGAGTTGAAATCCACAACCTGCATTGTAACAGACTCATCCACTCAGTACACATCCATGAATCAGCGCAGAACACTCAAATGGGTACCTCAAAAGTGTACACTTCGTCAGGTAGTGTCGTGAGCAGCAGATGCAGTCCCAGAATGGTACAGTCAATCTCGTCGTACTTCTCCAACTCAATCCCAGCGATCTCGTTGAACGCAGGACCATACTGCGAGGCGCATCCACAATAGAATACAACGGTGAGCCAATCATACCCACAAACTCTCCGCCATCACACTTTCAAACCTTGTGAGCTCCTCCACCTGTACAGGGCAAGATCCGCAACGACTGATTGATCCCATTGCTCGTGATAAATTCAATGGCATCTCGCGTCTTGTTGCTCTCGAACCGCACAAAATGGAAGATCTGGTCACGCCAACCACAGCAATTAGATCTGCTATTATTCACAGCAGTAGCTGCATAATACTCACTCCATTGAGCGTTTTGGAATGGATCCGAAGTCTCACGTCCTGTACTCCAGTACTACCGAACGAGTGGTGCTCGCGCAAGAATTCATTCATTTCACCCGCCGCCACGTCCAGCGACGCCGAGCGCGGACGCTTGCGCGTGTCATTGCCAGCTTCGTGACGTTCAAAGTACACGATCTTGGCCAACGTGCCACCTGCAGCAACAGTCCAGAACCGAATCAGAACCTTGTCAATGGATTTTTTTTTCGACTGCCTCACGCACCAATGTCCAAGCCGAAAGACGCCCCCAGGTCGGATCTGCGGTGGCAATTGCAATACATCAGTGGGAGGTTCTTAAACGGATGACAAGAAAATGATCCTGAAAATTATTACGATTTCGACAGCTTCTTATAGGTCAGACGCTGACGCCACACGCGCTGACGGTGCCGCTTGCGCTCCAGACAGAAGAGAGCTACGGTCGAGGAGAAGAGCAAGAAGCCGCTCGCCAACAGCGCGCGCTCAGCGCCGCCACTGCCGCCGTCCATGACGTCGATGTCCGAGATTGAACTTTACAGACCCCTCCCTTTTTTCGAAGGACTTTCAGCCAATGATGAGGCGTCTTGCTGGAGTTCATTTCCCTCTTTTTGATGACACTGCTCTTGAATCAAGACTCTTTTGACACTTTCCTTCAACTGTTGGCTAGTAGATATGCATGTCGACTTTCATCCATTTCACTGACTACATGTAGCTATTACAGCTCTGCGTACATGTATGGACAGCAGTGCATCGACTACTAAATAGCTTATAATTGACTGAAGGCCTATCCGGTATCCATTATTGACGGTCTGTGATTCGGCGTCATAGGCAAAAGCCGTACAGTAACCAGAGAGGTCGATTCACCATCGCGTCTACGGCCATGAATCAACCGGGATTCCAACGAAACAACCAATGTGTTTGAGGAGAAATGAGCTAGGGCTCGTCAATCGGAGCAACCATCTGATACACGTGTCGAAGTCACACATGTCCGACAAGGTTTAGAGCTCTAGCACCGCGCCCCGATCCGATCTGCAGGAGCGATGGACAGGGATTGAACCCATGCTCACTGTTGTTCGTCTGCGGACAGTGATCACTGCCCGCGTCAAGACCAACCACGTGACATCAACGAACCTAGACAAAATCCTGCCATCGCGCGGCGGCGCGATAATAATCCAGCTCAAACAAGATGTTCGTGATCTCAAAAAATCGGGAAACCATTTTTTTTTGTATGCGTGTTTGCAAAGAAACTCAAAATTCGACTACTTTTCACGATTTTTTAGAACCAGATGACGAGTTGCAGGAGTGATGGTCTTTCCTATAATATCATATACCCGGTTTATACAAATTGATACCTTTTTGTCAGCTTAATACAATTGAGCTGCGAAAAACCTTTATGATGCAGGTGTAGGTAACCAAAAAAGAATCCGGTAGGGTACCTAGGTGTCACTCCGTTGTCGTGTCGTCGCTGGCTTGGTGATGGGCAATTCGCAGTGCTTGAAGCGCTGGTAACAGCCGTAGGACTTTTGGTGCTGAGCTGAGAGCATCTCTGTGGCCAGCTCGGTGACATTCCGCTATTTGCAGACCAGTGCACAGGCCCACCGAATCCAACTATGTCTTGCAGCAGCAGCCTGAAGCCGCAGCCGATGGTGCGTCGCATTGTGCGCCGCCCGCTGCAGTTCGCGTCGCCCGCAAAGGAGCAACAATACCGCGCTGAAATGGACCACGTGCAGCAATATATCTGTGAACAGGTCGGCGGGCTCGATGAGGCTTCGAGCCAACTGCTTGGCGTGCACGATAGTCGCTCCCGTAGCCAATACGAGGAGATCCAGGAGTTCCTCGAGCGAAAAAGCCAGCTCGAGAAGCAGCAGCGACAACAAACTGTTCCGCCCGAGCGCGTGCTTATCCGCAGCCTCGACGAATACCTGAACGAGCTGGATCCGAGCCTATTCGTCGAGTACGCATCGGTCACGCCCAAGCGCCTCGCAGTCGCTAACTTGCCGGCGCACAGCAGTTACATCCGCCGAAAGCAGGAGGAAGCCATACTTGCGCGCATGTGGACCAAGTACCAGACTGCCGAAGCTGAGCGCTGCGCAATTACCTCGTTCCCGTGTGGCGGTCCACTCAAGCGCCAACGAGTCATGTGAACGATAATAGAACCTATAGAGCTAGCAGGGGCTTGGACTCCAAGTTGGAGGGCCAGACCCCCGCCAACGAGCAGAGCCCTCAGTATAGTAACAACAGCCAAAGTAATTTATCTATCGCCCATGAGGAGGCCTTCTTCGTGCCGTAAACGCTTTTCACTTCTTCTTCTCGCTTTTATGGAATAAGGGACTCCCAACGACCAGCTGGATCCATGCCATCAACAAGTATCCAGGGGACAAGGCAACGATAAAGATACAATACCCACATTAAATCAAAGACTCCTAATTAACAAGTCAGGAAGTGCTTGGCATCATGCCTACATGCCAATGACATGTATGGATAGAGTGAGCGATAAGAGCCATTGGCTGGAAGCCGCGTGAGATAAACACAAAAACGCGCGGCGCCGTGGTCAAGCTGCAGCGAGGAATCTTCGTTCAACGGAAGCGATTTGCACAGCGATGCTTCCCCGATTTAGGATTCCATGATTACGACTTTGATGTTGAATCCCACGTATCTTGAGGAGATGCAGCAGCATGGCACCTGGATATTCTTGAATGAGTGAGCTTACTGGGCAGAACAGTCCATTAGAGCTCTGCGCCGGTTTTGGCAAAAAAAAAAACTATATTTCCCCTTAAAATACAGACTGCACTCTCACTTCCGACGCCATATGTTCCGGACCTTTTATGAAGTCTATCAACTCATACAGGAACTCTACCCCAAGCTTACAATTCGATCGCAGCGATCTTCAGCAAGAGGTCAATCACTTCTTCGTCGGAGTCGTCTTCCTCTCTGTTGTCTGCGTCAGTAGCGTCATACTCCTCAACACCACGAATGGGGGCAAGAAGGCCCGCCTTCTGCCAGCAGTGTGCGATGGTAGCACAGAGACGGTATTACGCGCGGGTGCCTTTGTCAGGCGAAACGCTTGCTGCGCCCATTCAGCAAGCTGTGTCTGCGTCATTCCAGGAGCCTCACGACTCTGGCGGATAAGGGCGCGCTTGTTATCGATAGTCATCCACTTCCTCATACTACTCACTTGTCCAATGTGTGTTTGCTTTCAAATTTTCGCGCGCGCGCGAAAATTACCTGTTCAAGATGATAAGCGTTTGGTCAGGATATACAGTTTTTTTATACCTTATATTTCAAATCTGCAAATCTGTTGCAGTGTATAAATTTTCAGCAGCGTCGGAAGTGAGAGTGCAGTCTGTACCACTATAGCCTGACACCGGTCTGAGAACACGTGGAGTATATTTTCCTACGGGTGAAAATTACGTATCCAGATGTCAATTGACGTAAGGATATGGTAAAAAGATAACCAATCAGAATTTACATAAATGCTTCGGTAGGATCTTTTTTTTTAGAATTTAGAATAGAAGTTATTTTGAAAAATTTTATGCACAACTCGCGAAAAAGCTGTCGTGGCTAATTCAATAACCCACCCACTTGGTCGCTATTAAAATAACGACCTTAAGGACTGGGTATAGGTTATACTGCCCCGTTTGAGTAAGTTCATCGTCACGATGCCAACGTACTCAGGATTTGACGAAGCATCCCACGCTTGCTTATGTATCATCGTCACGATTACACCAGTATTAGTCATTGCAGGGTTACATCTACTAGTCGAAGCGACTACACCTCACCTCGGACGAGACGAACGGTCAACCCGTTCCTATTCTCAATGACAGTGTGGCTGAGCGAAAAATCGAACGTCCTGGTCTCAGCCAACACTTCGTTGATGCAGCCAAGGTCATTGCAGAGGACTTTGATGGCACAATAACACCTACCCGTGTGGCACCGCGATGTGTGGGGACTCTGAGCTAGGCTGGCCAGGCCTTCGTTGATGTCTCCCTCATTGGGTAAGAAGTGTCGGTAAACCAAGCTGTCATTCACGGATATCCGTGGCTAATGCAGTTCAACCCGCGTATCGACTAGCACACCGGAGTAATGCAGCTTCAAAAGATGCGTACCACGCACGACTACCGCGCCGTGAACGTCCTCCTCGAGTCGCTGTCGGCGGTAGGCGCGGTCGAACATGGACCCGAGTATCTTTAGTATCCGCTGCCTTCGCATATGCGATAGCCGCCCATGTCAAAGAAGAAAACTTCCTCGTGTCGTTGGGCAGGAGCTCCATCTAAGCCCTTAGCTGCCAGCCATCGTCAGGACCACACGACAAGCGAAATGACGACGATTAGAACACACGGCTACGTGTACTCACAGCGACGCAGTTTGAGACGAAGGTGAAAGCTCACGAGTACGTGAAGTTCTATCACGGCACAGTGAAGACCTCGCCCAAGGTAACGACCGTGCCTCCTGAGCTTCAAGTGGTGCTCAGAGATTTTGCAGATGTGTTTCCTAGCGAGCTTCCATCCCGGCTACTGCCACATCGGTCCATCGAGCATGAGGTGGTTTGAATCCTGGGGAAAAGAGCAGCAACCGTGCTCCTTTCCAGCTCTCGAAGCTTGAATAGGAAGCTCTCTGGAAACCTTCATCGCCGACTTGCTGAAGAATAATTGAATACAGGTGTCGGATTCACCGTGGGTGCGCAACATTTTCGGCGGACCGAATTATGTTACAGGCAAGTTTTCATCGAGACTAGAGTGGCTCCATTCCAACAATCCGCACATGCCAATTTGCTGGGTGATCGACTCTCGGTTGATCAATGCGGTTTCAGACGTGGGCAAGATACCTCCACCTCTTTTTGTGGAGCGTTGTGGCCGGATGGAAGGTGCCAAGGTGTTCTCCACTCTGGACTTAGCCAGCGGTTACCATCAGATTTGGATGGCACTGACGTCCAAGCGGTACACACCAACAACGAGCTTTACAAATGGAATGTAGAGCCGATGGGCCTTGCTGGTATGCCAGGGACTTAGACCCGGCTGGTGCGGAAGCTTCTGCAGTCTTTCCGCGTTGTGGTGGAATATTCAGACGACTTTTGCATCTTCTCGCGCACGATGAACGGACTCGTCGGACATCTTCGCCACGTCTGAACTGTTCTTCGAGAGAACAAGCTGTACACTCGTCCGGACAAGTACGACTTTGACCAGAACTCCATTGACTTACTCTGTCGTTTCATTGCTTAGGCATTGGCGTGGGTGCTCGCAAGGCGCGTGCGATTGCGGGTTGGCCGGAACCCGGTATGTCCAGGAGCTACAGCGGTTTTGGGGGTTGGTCGGGTACTACCGGCAGCTTACCCACCGGTTTGCCAAGTTGAACTTGCCTCCGAGCTTGCTGGTGAAGTAAAACGTTGACTGGATCTGGTTAGATCCCTATAGCCAAGTCTTTTTATCTCAAACTCACTTTCCAACAGACTGCTGTCCTTCGTTTACTCGACCTTGACAAGCCGTTCGTCGTGACAACGGAGCCAGTCACGACTGCATTGGCGCCGTGTTATGCCAGATTCATGACGGTCATGACCTTCCTGTGGCATTCTATAGGAAGAAGCTTGGTGTTCATGGGCTTAACTGGCACGTACACAAATAGGAACTTTTTTTTCATCAAACAAACATTGCCCCGGTGGCGTTTGTACTTGCACAGATCGCGCTTTGACGTCGTCACGGACAACTCGGCTTGTAATTGGATTTTGCAGCATTCTCGGGTCTCTAGCCGACTTTCTCGTCGACTCAACTTCTTTGCCACCTTCTATTTCAAGCTGCACCACCGTCCTGGGCCTCTCGGGTACCAACGGCAGACATAATCCGGCCCTGTGCAGAGAATTACCGGAAGAGTGTACACGTGTCTTGAACTCGGAAAATTCTGCTTTGTTTGTCTGTTATCTACTAGGGGTCTGACGATCAGCTGGAAGAGGCCTTTAACCGGAATGAGCTCCAGGTATTTCTGGTCAAGAACCCAGTGATGAAGCTCCTACAGCTGCGGACTCCTGGGTCGTTGAAGGGATCGGTGACACCGCCAGCAGCGACGGCGAACAAGCTAGACGCCGTGAAGGCTGTGTTGCGCCTGCTGAAGGAGGCCGGCATCACGCCAGGCTCCTTTGCAGCGACGGATCTGTTCCATCTGGACCTCGAA